ACCCACTAAGACTCGGCCGGTTGGTGTCTTCGTGGGCACTCAATCACCACCAGAGTGCGAATATAACGACGCCAATCAGGCTGACACAGGGTCGATTTGAGGGGTGCGCAAGGGTTTTGAGGTCAAAAAATGGCGCCGAAAGTGGGGGACTGTAGTCGGGCGAAGCAGAAACAATGCGCCACTTTGAGGGTTTCCCTTAAAATGGGCACATTTGGCCTCGCGCCATTTTTATAACGGGACTACTTTTGGAGCCGCGAACTTTCCTCAGCGCGACTAGATTCCGCATTTTTGCTGCTCCAAAAGTAAACCCGTTATAAAAATGGCGCGAGGCCAAATATGCCCATTTTAAGGGAAACCCTCAAAGTGGCGCACTGTTTCTGCTTCGCCCGACTACAGTCCTCCACTTTCGATGCCATTTTTTGACCTCAAAACGCTTGCGCACCCCTCAAATCGACCCTGTGTCGGCCTGATTAGCCCTTTTATATTCGGACTCTGGTGGTGATTGAATGCCCACGAAGACACAAATCGGCCGATTCTTACTGGGTGGATTTTTGTTTCGTAATAGATCTGGCGCGCGATTCTAAACAGCATGCTGCTGCGCCCTTTGCGAGGAGTAGAGTGATTACAGCTAGCACCGCAGAGGCGCTAGCTTCTGCCATAAAATGGAGGAACTCAGGTCGTGGCCTTTCTCTCGAGGTCTTCTGTCAGACATGACTGTCGCAGCCGTAGCCCAATTGAGTGAGCGACAGAGACGACGCGGAGAGAGAGAGAGAGCACGAGCAAGGCCGGGAACGCTTTCGTTCGTTTCTTGTCTCAGACGAGTAGGAGTAGAAGCACGAGAACGAAAAGAGCATGAGCGAGAGTGAGAGTGGGAACCCCTGCCGGAGTCGATGTCGTAGCTGAAAGAAGGGCAGCAAAGTAGAAGAAAGTCGAAGGCGTAGGCGTAGTAGTAGTTGAGCTTGGTTCTTTTCTATAAGGATAATTAAGCGAAAGCGTTAGTGTATCAGTATCGTGATGCTTTTACTACTAGTAAGACCAAACTTACACGACGGCGGGAACATCCAGAACAAAAGCCGACAGAGGCGACTACGACTAGGACTACAAGCACAAGCACAACACCAACAAGCAACAAATCGAACCCATCAAAAGTAATATAATTGATTATAGTCAAACCATAGTAAGAAAAATGCCTCCCGCTTCGGCTTCCCAGTAGCGATTCGCTACTGAAACCCCAATAACCGTCAACGCCCACAAGAATCGGAATCCGGAAAAACAAAAAGCGGAGCCAGGTGCGTATCCGTGATCCGTGGTCTTCGTTGGATATAGCTAGAGACGCAGACACACAAGGACAGGCAGGCCCTCACCTTAAGATATCAATATCGACCTAGATGCTCAGACACAAGCTCAGCACTCGCCTCTGCGATTAGTCTAGTCGAAGACCTAGCTTAGTTTTTGTTTTCGCGCTTTTTGATGATCAGGATCGTAACACGAACACACCTGCAGGCCCCGCCCACGTTCCAAATCCAATCGAGTTGGTGCCGCTATTGACACGCCGGGACTCCAGGCGGCAAAATGGATTTTGATCTGGGTAGCAACGCGCACCCTTCTGGTATGGGTTTCCACGAAACGGGCCAGCGCTTGGATCTGGGTCAGCACTACGAGCAAGACCATGCTGTTGACAGCCACGACATGGACGACTACGCGCGCGGCATGGAGGCCGCGACGATTCGAAATGACCACTATGAAGGGTTCGCGTCAGTTCTAGAAGTAAGCACGCGCCTACAGTAACAGTCTCAGTTAGTTACTGTAGGGGCACACCCGCACTAGACTACTGTAATAAGAATGCCAACAGGTGCAATGTATAAGATTGCGCTTGCTCTCACAATGCACTTGCACAGTTATAATTTGCGTAAGTGCCAAGCGCAAGCAAAAGCGTAATTAGTAATATCAGCGCCGTTCTTGACATTTGCGGCTTAGTCAAGCGCCCTCTTCTTCTAGTCTAAGGCTGTGTGGACCTCGAGAATCTGGGCGATGCTCTGGCGGGAGTCAACTACTAGTATGGTGCTACTCTGATTCTCATTCTCAAGCGTCGCAGAGGTCGGCGAGGTAGTGGCAAGCGGTAGCCTGAGACTTCGTGTGTATTTGCGTACGCTGACACTGGGTGGCAACGTCAACAAGATTCAAGATGAAGATGTGGAGGCAGTCGCGATCGAGATCATCTCCATCACGAAGGCTAAAGCTAAACTACCAGCAAAGTGAAGCCAAGTCTAAAGATAAAAGCCGAAGCCCAGCCTTAGTTATTCTCAGGCCGTGCCCTATCTGAACCGTCAGCGTCGCCGTGAGTGTGAGCGTTCGAGCTCCGTATCCATCTCGTTCGTTTTCTTCATTTTGGAAAGTCATGACCAAGTTGGTGCTGTGCTGGAACTTGTCGACGCTAGAGCTAGACGCTCTTGATCATGATCTTAGAAGCAGACATAGGCCCTGGGCCTCAGCCTCGGCCTGTGGTTGTGCTATCTGCTTGCCTTGTTCGAGTTTGTAGTCTTCTTGTGCTTACTTCTTGCACTTGTTGCCGCTCTAGTTCTTCTCTTGTTCTAGAAATTGTCTGTAGTAGTTAGAGTTAGTATTGTACTGGCAGAAGTAGCTACGCGCGCACGTAGTCGCCGAGCTATTTCTACGTCTGGCTCTAGTTGTAGTTGCTAGCTGTGCTAGCCCTAGCGCTTGAGCCTGTAGATGTAGAAACTGAACAGGCTGAGCCTCTTTATCATTCTCTTTTTTTTGCCTTTACCTTTAGACCAATGCCAAAGGCTTTCGCGACAGCGACGCGCAACAAATCCAAATGCCGGATGCCCATGCCGATGTGAGTGCGAGCCGGAACCCGAGGCAAGATAGCGGTCTCTTCCGTGTTAAATCCGTACTACCCGGCCGGAGAGCCAGGCGCGCCCACCTGGAAAGAGGGACGGCTTGAGGGTAGCAGCTGCGCTTCTCACTAACTCTAACGCTATGCGGTGAAGAAATAGAGAGCCGCGACCATGTCCCTGGTGCTAGTGCTAGTGGTTCCGGGCCACAGCCGCTAGATCTGGCAATGGGAGTGGCACCGCCTGGGGCCACCGGCTACCTAGAACTAGTAGTCGTAGTGGGGCCACAGGCTACCTAGAACTAGCCGAGACGCAATGCCAAAGCATCGCGCGCCAGGTTGAGGCTAGGCGCTAATCCTAATCGTAGCTGCCTGGGGCCGCGTCTGCCGGTGGGATTGGCTGGGGCTAAGGGCTTCGGTTTGCCCCTATGGTTGCGCGGCGGTGGGCGCTGCTGTAGCTGTTTAGCCTTGGCTTTGCTGACGATGGAAAAGCAGACCCACCGCCACCCGCCCCCGCTGCCCCTGGACAATACGGGCGCGCGGCCCAAGCTACGCGCAACCATGGCTACCGCGAACGCCTCAAGGCCAGCCTCACCTAGTGCCAATCCTACTCGAAACGCCCCAGCCACTGCCGCACCCTTTGGCTGTAGCGCTTCCGCTTTGCGTTCGCTTGAAATAGAAAGCAGAAGGCAGTCTGGAGCTGAAGCGGACAAATGATAAGCCTAAAGCTACAAGCCTAAGAGAAAACGAAGCACGACCTTCCACATGTCTTCGCAGATGCATTGGCAGCCTCTGCGCCTGCCCCGTCTTGTTCTTTTTGTTTCTTCAGTTGCAGACCCGTTGCGACACTGCCAACAAGCTCCCACCAAACAAACGACACACGCCTCGCACTCGTTTCCGCTTCTATTGCGATGCGTGAGATTGTGTCGCTGCGAGTGCCTTGAGGTGGCGGCGCTTGCCGCTTCTGGTTCTGCTTGGTTTGTTATTGTTTGAATTGAAGACGTTGGAAGTCAGTTTCTCGGCGTACCTGCGTGCAGGTTATTTATTCAAGGCCGAAAGCTAGCGAGCTATCTTTTTTTACAATGCCTGCCGCTATGTTTATTTTTTCAAAACTGAACGGCCTTCCGGAACGTTTTCCAAACGTGCCCGAGGCTGATTCTCCGCACGCGCCTGAAGCTGTTTGATTTTACTTAAAAGGATAAGCCCCGTAGTGATTTTTATTTCATGCCTCAAGGGGGTCGATTTTTTGGTAATTAGAGACCTGCAAAGTGGCTTTTTCTATCATGACCCAGACTACTTTTTTTTTCGTTGATTCTACTAGCTCAAAAAAAACAATATATAAAATTCGCTAAAAGTTCGCTCCTGAAATTTACAACGACTTCTTTATGGGTAGAAACATATGGTCAATAAAAATTTCTATAATTTTTATGAGAAAGCATAATAGTTTTAGTTGTACTTCTGCACCAGCCATACTAGTTGTTGCACAAGTGCAAGTATGTGCTGGTGTGCAGATACAACAATCTTCCTCATGCAAGCAACAGACGCAGTGGCCATCACACCCATCACGACGATCACTGTCACTTCTTCCTAAAAATCGATAAACTGAAACATGCGAGTAACAAGAACAACTTACGATAGCCGAGCTATGTTACAACGTAGTGACTCTTTTATTTCCATAATTAGCTAATCGCTTATTTCAAGATTACATGTAGGCTAGGTTAGGCGTTGATTCGCCGTCCACAATTTGACTTGTACCCTCAAGCGAATGTGTGGTGCAGCCACAGACACAGAATTACTACCAAGCTTAAGATTTACATTTTTTGAAAATATCTTCTAATTCCTAGACGAGCAAAGATTTAGGTTTTAAAATCAGTTCTCTTCAGCCTCAAGATGAAGTTGGCAAGAACTTGTTGCGACAGATGTCATATTAGACTCCTGCTATGAATGCAGCGCTGACACAGAATTGCGCCAATCAAAGACGAGGGGTGTCCTATTCTTCCACCTCCCGGAAGACATTCTATTAAATACATTTACATACTAGCTGCTTCAATTTCAAAAAGAGGTCGGTCCCGCCCTTGTTGAGAAAAGTCAGTAGAGGACGGCGCCCTTCTACAACTTTCTCAGGATGATAGCCTACAACTAGGTATCATTGATAGGCCATGCCAGAAAAAATCAGATTAGATTTCAAAGAGATTACTAGATCTAGAACTAGATGGGGGTCGTGTTCCGACCTCGGCCCCGAAATGAATCCAGAAGATAAAAATGACTGACACGACTTTAAAGACATTTAGGATAGGATAGGAGTTAGCTCACCTGCGACAAGGTAAGCGTATAGGCACGACATTTGTCCATGTCGAATCTGCTGACCATGTCACGGCGGCAAAATACCAGGCTGGTCGCCCTCGAAAGTTCGGAAAAGCTTGCGGCGCAGGGACAAGAGCGCGAAACTTCAACAGTAGACTACTTCAATCTTCTGCTTCATCAGTAGGCCACTGCTGAGAAGTTGTAACGAAGCGCGCAACTGCAACTACACTTCAAGCATAGGATAGGATAGGAATTGGCTCGCCTCGGATAGGTGAGCGTTCACGACTACAATTTGAGTATTTTTTTTTTTGGACATTCTGAGACTGTTGAGAGGACAAAAGTAGATTTGAATCTAGATGATCTACCTCTACCGCGCGACCTATACATATACACAGCTCCCCAAAACCAGATGTCACAAGAATGTAGACCTACAACTGCATAGCTGTTCACTTCTTTCCGCAGATGTCCTAACCTTCATGTTCCTTTAGAATGTAGACCTACAACTGCATAGCTGTTCACTTATCTCCGCAGATGTCCTAATCTTCATATTATAGAATGTAGACCTTCTTGATGTCGTTGTCCTTGAACGACTGCTCTACCTTATGCATAGAATGCAGAGTAGTTCTCCAGATGGCTTTCTTGATACGGTCTATAGAATGCAGATATACCCAGATGGCTTATACCTAGAATGCAGAGTTACCCCTTTGATACGGTAGGTGGAGATGTAAAACCTAGATGATCTACCGCTCTCGTCTCAAGGTGAAATGCTTGTGCTCCTGTATGTGAAGACTTCATTGATTTTTTGATTGATAGAAAATACGAGTACAACAGATGAATGAACATTTATGAAAAAAAACTCTTAGGCTTAGGGATCGAAAGGTCATCAACAACTCTTCAGATGACAACTGCTCTCACATGTAGATGTACTTATCCGAGAAGGTTGCGGTTCCGCTGACCTGCGGCCAGGCCACGCCGACAGGGACGACAACATCATATACCTCTACAACTATAACCTGAGCTTGCGAAAGAGACGCAGGCGAAATACATTTTTTTGTGGTCGTGTCAGCCTTCACGTTGAGTCCCCTGTACTTGCTGTTGTTCAACCTCTATTTTGTCCTTAGTTGACTTCGTCAGACGTACACCTCTACAACTATATAAATATTAGTGCCAGTCGTGTTATTGACTGACGACAGTGCCAGTCGTGTTATTGACTGACGATAGTGCCATTCGTGTTATAGTTATTGACTGACCCAGAGATGATTTGCTAAGGGCATCGCCTTAGGGCTGCGTCTCAGAGATGATTTCTCCCACCATCACACCAATAATTAATTTCATCACGATCACGAAGATAATCACACCTCGTGGTCATACGGCAGCATACCCTTACTCAGCAACCTTGATGAAGATGACGACTCGTGCTGACTTACTCTTTTCACGTCCTTCACGTCAGGCAATCCCGTTAGACCTAAGGAGCCTTTTGAACTTTTTGAAAAAAACACATGTTAGGTTCTTCAGGCTTTTGCGCCAAGTTGATGTCTATGGAAACCGAGATGCTGGATGTGGATGATGACCTTTTTTCAATTCAAATGCGTATTAGCTTTAGCAATTTTCAAAGCTCTGCGACGAGATGGAAAACAAAATTCTACTTCTGGTGTCTGTAGCAATTTCAATTCAATTTCAAGCAAGTACAACGAATAACTTTTTGTGTTGCTCGTTGTCATTTGATAGACAAACTAGATTTAGATAATCGTATCTTTACGTCAATTTCAATTAGCAGCATTCAAAGCTCTGCGACGAGCGGACTCTGCGAAGCGAACCACTCTTCGTGCCACTACGTCTTGCGCTGCTCGATCTCCCACCGTGGCCCTAGTCATTCATTTGAATGGTTAAAAAGTAATCGGTGTATTGAGGGTATTTTTAAGAGCAATTCAAATTCAAATTCCAATACTATTGAGGGTATTAATGAGGGCAACAGAACTGTTACTACAGATGGCACGAAGTTGTGTTGATGTAAATAATGACTTGTTTTACTGCTACAACTAGAGCTGCATAGTAACTTAAAGGGTAGATATAAAATTGAAAGTAAGTGTCTGTGTCAGTCAACACACACAAGGATGATCATAAAAATTTCTATACATGCAGAAGGTATTTTTAAGTACGCGAAAAGGATCTTCCACCTGCATGGGTTGTCCCGGAAAGTCGGGAGTGTGCATCCCCAATATCTCTCCCGGTGACATTAAACGCGAGACCAAGTCTGCTGCGGATGGCTTGTTACCCTGAAGATAGATGGTGATGTGGAATTGATGCCTCCAGATCTGGATGTGGATTAGATCAGATTACATTATCAAGATGTGGATTAGATCAGATTAGATTACATTAGATGTTGATTAGATCAGATTAGATTACATTAGATGGGTGTTTCCACCGCAATGAAGAGTTGGAATCTGGTGGATGGAAGGTAGTTGATCCCGCTGGAATAGGTATAATACCTTCCCATCGTCTACTGTTTTCCCGAATCTGGTGCGTGCTCTTCCAGTCGACGTAATCCTATCGACGTTGGTGTTGCTATCTGACAATTGTGAGTGGAAATAGAATGTGAGAAGAGAGCAGTTGTAATGAATCTTCAATACTCGGTAGCCTAAATAGAAGTATTTTTCAACAGCTTGCTGGAGTTGAAATAAATTGTATGATGAGAACAAGATGAAAAAGCATGCATGATCCCAGCGCTACACCTCGCGGTTTCCTGCGTAAACAAAGTGAAAGTACCCTCCTTGTCCTTCGACGTTTCCTCATCTTTCTGAGAGAGCAAGGCATGATCATTTTGCGGAGTGATCATCACGTTTGATACTGCTGCGTTATTCTCCATACTGAGGCCGGAATCAGTTGCCATGGGTCTACCAGATCCGGCAGCTCCTGTACCTCCTGCTAACAAAGCGCAAAGTTTAGAACCTTCTTCTTCAACTAAACCAGCTTGTACTTGTGAAGTAGAAGAACAACACGTGTATGAAGAGGCTCTTCATATTCTTACCCGTGTTGTTTTGGTATTCGGTAGCCTGATTTTGATCATAAGGGACAACAAGAAGAGAATCCCTGTGATCAAATTCAGGTTACCAATTTATACCGAAACCATTCATACACGTGTTGTTGCTGTTGCTTTTTGAGCTGGAGTATGTTGAACATTTTCATAATCATGCTCAGTGGCGGAAGCATTCCTGCGGCGCTGTTCGTCGCAAAGCCCGCATTATTAGACCTACTTACCAAAAAATTACCTTCTCGGTTACTAGCGTCTTGGTCGTTCTCGTTCTCGTTCTTTTCCATTCAAAATTTTTGATTTTTTGATTGGACCCTTAAAGACATTAGCATTGTTGAGACAGCGATTCATCAACAGAGCTGCCTGCACTGGCTGAGGTTGGAAAATCGGGACTGCAGATGAATCGACTACAGCACTGGCACCCCCGGCAGACATCTCGAATAATCCTGGAATGCTCGCTGTAGGAGAGACGTTGGAAAAAAGTCATGTCATATGGAACTACCCTGTAGTTTCCTGACTATAATATTAATTTCTTCAAATGAAGATGTGAAGGTTCTGGTTCACCTTGTTAGTGTTTCTACGTTGATATAGTTTGAGGAAGATCTTTTTCTTTAAGTTTTTTTGCAACCTTTGACTCTCATTCTCCAGCTTTGACATCAAGAAAAGCAATTCATCATTCATAGCATCGACTACAACTAAGTACAAGACAAGAAGACCATAAGTCGCAAATTCAATACCATCTCCTCCACCCCCAGCAGTACTCGCAATAAGGCCCGGCTGAGAGAAACAAGATAACAGGTCCGGCGACGGTGACGCACTAGTGGGGCAAATGTTCGGGCACAAGAGAGACTGAAAGTTGTTGCTCGTGGTCGAGTTAGTTAGAGGAAACAGGTTCTAGAAGTCTTTATTTACCTACTTACACTGAATCTGAATTTCGAAAAGCCCCCAAACGAAAACAGTGAAATTCTACAGCTCTGGAAAAAAATTCTCCGCCACTGCGACTACAACAAGCTCATTCTTCTTCTCTACTACTAGACTTTCCTAAATCTAATATCGTGTTCCGCGCGGGATACGTGCTAGTTGAGCGACCAGCTCATGAGCTTTTAAGGACAAGAACAAGTGACCTAACTTAAAAAAAAGAGACCAGAGAAAAGAGAAGCTGACTATCTATCATCAAGTATCTTCTTATCTGCTACATAGCTACCAAAGTCCAAATATTATAATATCTTTTCCTCCATAACCAAAAGCTTCTTGCGGAAACAGCATTTGGAATGCTATTCGGAATACTGTGAGCGGTAGATAGACCACCAGCACCTCCTAAGCTGCTACCACTCCGTAGCATCATGCCTAGCTCTTCAAACGGTGTTGGCCCCGTTCCGGAAAAGGGATTAGAATGCTCCAATTGTAGTTGCTAAATACTCTAGAATGATTACATGACCACACGACCCAAGAGAGACAGACCATAAGAAACTCCTGCAGAGGTGGTGGGGAAGCGCTGTTTGGTCTGCCTTGAGTAGAGTCTGTCGACATGGCACTCATCGTTGGCGGTAACGCTGGAAGAGACAAAGACTTAGAGCTCGTTCAGGGTAGGCTATTTTTCATCGATCTTCCATCGGGGTCAAGTCAAATAAAAAAGTTCTCGTGTAGTTGTACATCTAGCCTAGGAAGACCAAGAAGTACTGATTAATAAGCTTAAGAATACCTGTTCTTATAGATACATATAATTTTTCATCCAGTACGAGTTGGCGTGGTCAAGTCATAAAGATTCCAGGAGTTGTGGTCGTCGTAGCTCCTGTTGGGCTAACATTTTTCGGTGCATTCGAGCCCGTCGGTCCAGTAGAAGCGACAATCCATTGCGTGTTTGATGTAGATTCCTGCTCTCTGTTTGTACAAGAGTCTTTAGAGTCACCTTACCTTCTTGACCTCGCCCCCCACCCCTCATCTTCTTGATGAACCCTTTCTTTCCAAGAATGAAAAGACTTCTACAACAATATTAAAATGTTATTTCTAAACTCATGAAATAGATGAAATACACGGGAAATAAAGGGCGAACAAAGAGATATAATGTTCCTGAGCAAGATGGATAAAAGGTAGGTGACCTTAAAAAAACAAGGGTTGGAGGAAGATCCAGCAGGCGTCGGATACGGAAGATTCGCCTGAAGATTATCATGATTAACAAGATGGGTCTAAAGAAGAACCGGGTTAGAGTATTCCCCAATTCATCTTCCCTGACGAGTGGAGACCCCTGACGAGTCATCTTCCCTGACGAGTCATCTTCCCTGACGAGTCATCTTCCCTGACGGGTCATCTTCCCTGACGAGTGCCCTCGATGTATGGTTCTGGTATTTGGTAACCTGAACTCGATCATAAGGGTTCTCTTCTTGTTTTCCCTTATGATCAAATTCAGGTTACCAAATACCGGAACCATTCACTCGAGCCGCGTGTACGTCGGTATCCCCCTGCTGGTATATGTTTCCATTCATTCATTTACCTAACAAGAAGTACTCACACAAGGAGACCAGCATACGGAAATGGTTGAGGAACGATCTTCCCTAGGGAGACGATGGATTAGGGGAAGCCTCAAAATACAGGATCCTTCATCATTTTCTTGAATGTTGCTTCTACTACTCAGTCTCAGATCTCTTCCCGTGTTCTTGAGAATGTTACCACCAGATAATATCATTACATCTTGATGTTCTACTACCTCCTGATGGGGCACAACTCCCACTCCTCCTAGTACAGCTCCGGTGGTCGCACCAGGGACACCCAGTATCGCAGGCAATGGTGGAGGCCCAGTGGCGCGAGGAGCAGTTGATTGAGTAGGCAATGGTGGAGGTCCAGTCGTATTGAGTTGGAAGTGCGTGGCAGACATGCAGCTGATGTTAATGTTCGCGAAAGAACAAGAATAGCCACCAGGAGCAGACGTCGGGTCGTACTGGCCGTGATTCACTCCTGCACTAGCAAAGGCATAGGACGACGATTCCAGCCCTCCTTCAGAGAGCTGCTGGTGCCAGGAAGAAGATGCTCCTGGACCAAGATGCTCAAGATTAGAATTGGTCCAGGAGCATCTTCTTCCTGGCACCATCAAGGTCAATATTAGATGAGAATTGCAATTGATGAAGTTTCTCCCTCTAATTCAAATAGAAGCATTGATTAGCACAGTAGAGAGATAGCCTTAATTATCGAGTGAGCGTTTACGGCCTCAAGACTCGTGCTAACGGCGCCGCCGTTTCCACCAGTAAAGCCCGGTAGGTATGTTAGAGCTCAAGACAATTCACTTCTTTACTTCTCATTTCTCCAGAATTATCCCAAAGAGGAAACAGAAGAGCATGAACAGTGAAAATGAATTCCTTTGAGCCTTAAGCTGTATGGGTTGGCTCCGTAAAACATGATGCTAGCATCTGCCGCATCTGCGGCCAGTGCAGACGCTGCATTCTCTGTACCATGTAGCGCCTGGTTCGCAGTACCACCGTTGAAGTAGCTGTACACATTCTCGCAGCTGTCCTGTTGGTCTCCTCCACATTAGACCAAAGAAAAAGAAAATGGAGAACCCCGTTAGCAGGATGAAAATTTCAAAAATCAATCTGAGGAGTCTCTCTCTCAGGATGGGCAAATATGGATTTGTTTTTAAATTATACGTGGCTACTAGATTAGTGATGATGGCGTAGGCCTTGGTGAATTCTTAGGGCTTAATTGAAATTCCCAGCCTGCTCTTCGATCAGTCTCGCCCCATTGAGAAGACTCTGTGTGGACGACCAGCTGCTCTTCGTCGTGCGCCTATCGTCCGTGGCGGTTGTGGATGCAGTTCCAGGAGGAGCTCCTGCGGTCATCATCGCTTTATTCGACATGGGTCCTTTGAAAGCTCCTTCTGATGCGGATGTGTTTGTCGCATTCGCTAGTTGCTTTATAGAACAATTTTTGTAGTTGGTCTTGGTGGAGGTGTAGTTCTTATCATCTTCATTCTTATAGATACAACTGGTGATCGTTGTAATTGTTGTAGTCATCGTCCTCGGCAGCAGAAAAGTCAGAATAATCAGCAGGTCATGTATATGTAATGTCCTCTGTAAACATGATTATTTACTTGCCGTTGTACTACTATGTTGAGCTGCTAACTTGAGAGAAAACGTACAACCGAGGACGGGAGCAGTATTGCTTGATGTTGGGCCGCTACAAGCAAATAGCAAGCCATATTCAAAAATTGGAGATCTTTTACTTTTAGCACATGTGACAGTAAAAGAAAAAGTCAATGTATGGGCACGTCGTTGTCAAAATGAGCTCATAAGATACTGATATCCACCAGGTGGGCCACCGTCTGTACGACCACTTACTTCCTGGTATTCATCGCGATAAGCATACTGCTCAGCCTCCATTTCCTCTTGTTAACGCTAGACACTCACCATCTGTGCTGCGTGAGTGGATTCCCTTTCCTTCCCTTGACTTCACGACTGGTGAGGGGAACCCCGCACTCAGGATGCCTTACGCTTACACCAGATAGAAGATTAGTAAGTGTCCTCTAGGAGCCTTAATCTTGATACTGATTGTACGTGTAGCCGTTGCCCATGTCCTCCGCGTTGTAATCGTTGTAGTCTTCGTATGAATTAGACTCTCCACCATAGGTATGACCTCCCATCTGTGCGTTGTCAGAAGTGCTGTAGTTTCTATTCCTACGTCCTCCTCGTCCTCCGCCTCCACTTCGCTTGCTTTTATTCTTACGGCCTCCTCCTTGCATCTTAGCACCAGCGCTGGGGCTGTTCTTGGCACCAGCGTTCGCCAGAACGGCAGAATTAGTTGTGGTGGTGCGAGTCACTGCAGCGGCGGCCCCGCGGTCGAGGGCTTCGTTAATGTCGGGTTCTGCTTCTTCACAGTGGTTAGAGCACAGCGCTGACGCCCTCAACGACCTGAAAGAATGAATCTCATTGACCTTTTTAGAATTCAAGAAGCGACTCAGTCAGACTCTTCTTATAGAAAATGAAAAATTTCTTTGTAACAACTATCAGAGTACTAGAGAGCTACAAGTGAAATAAGTGTGCACATAATTTTATTAAAATTTAATTATGTACAATCAGTATTTTTACGTCTACGTGTGAAAACACCGTTTCGTCTATTTACGACCCCTAGTACGTAGTTCATCCGTCGATCAGCCATAAAAACAACTTCGTCAGCGTTCCAAGCTCCCATGCCTGCTTGAGCTCCTCCGAGAATTCTATTCCTACGCACCTCTGGGATTAACCGGATTTCAGATGTTCTCAGCTCTTCTTCGGAATGTGCATACCTGAGGAGTTCTTTCGTCTTCTTGCTCATTATTAGCTCTCAGAGGAAAAGACTGAATTTGAGAATACTTAGACTTATACTTATTCACCTTCAGCCAGCAGAGTATATAATACCGGCATCCGTCACCGAGCGCGCAGTGGCCTTCTGCGAAAAACTTGCACATTTTCGTTTTTAAGAACCCCTTTCCATTAGAGGACGACAAGCTGCTCAATGTGATTCTAAATTCTAATTCTAAAAGCTAAAGCAAGGAAGTATCAAATAGGAAAACAAATAAATAATCTGACTTTATTATCAGAACTGATATCTCTCAGTCACTCTCCCAACAAGTCTGAGTCTCAGTCTCATCAACATGAAGATTCAACATCCCGTCATAACAGTAGCTCGAAGCTCGGCTTTCGAGTGAGCGTAGCTGCACCTCGCGCCCAGTCGGCAACGGCCTTTACGGGTCATTTCTTCGCACATTTTTTAGAAGAGCCTTAATGTTGTACCTAAAGAGCCAAGGAGGGATGACTGATTGGTTGATTGATTCATTTACCTAGTCTTGAGGTATAGGGGCTGCCATATTTTTGGGGTGGGGGATAATGATACAACTCACTAAGGATGATGCTTCGTAATGTATTTAAAGAGCCAAGAATGTATTACACAGCTCACTGAGGATGATGCTTCAACGTTCAAAGGTTGGCCTTAAAGTTTGGTCTTCTGCAAATCCGGTAAACGTTGCAGATCTGCTTCATCATGGGCAAACATGCACTCATGTCCTTTACTGCACGTACCACGCAAGAAGAACTTGCACATTTTTGTTTTTCTTAGAACTCGCAGAAATCTTTCAAGTTCAAGGTCATTCACCTCGATCAAGTCAGAGTGCCATGTGCAGCGACATCATCTCACTGACCGTCTTCTCTTGAAAAATGGGACTGAGTAGTAGATGGATCGATGTTACTTAGGATAGGATAGGAGTTGGCTCACCTGTGAAGGGATGAGCGTATAGGCAAGAGGCGGACAAGATGGATTTCATTAAGGAGCCTTAATTTGCGGAATTGACCGCGCTTCCCGAGGATCTCGCCGTCGAGGCCGATCACCTCTTCCCCGTAGGTCACGACTACTGCTTTCTTGCTTTTCATCTTTTGGTTCTCGTAGATGAAGCGGACGTTGAGGTAGAAGTAGAAGTTTCTAGTACTTGTTCTACTAGTGAAACGGTTTGTTCACTAGAAGAACTAGTAGTCGAATAGTTTATTTGCGAAGTCGAGAGTTGTACTAGAAGAAGAGAAGTACTAGAGGCGCTAGAAGTACAACTTGTTTTGAAGAAGATGAGCTACAGCTAGAAGTTGTAGAACCACGAAGACGGCGTTCTTGATTCCTTCGAAAACTGCTAGTCCAAATGCGTTTGTTCCCGTCGTAGTAGTAGTTGCACTAAATCTTCCTACAAGAGAACTATCGGCATGCAGTCCAGCATTTTTACTTGCTTTTGCTAAGCTACTAGTTGTTCTTTTGTAAACAGTATTAATACTAGAACTACTGCTCGTAGTCGTACGTCAACACGAAGCTGCGTTACTAATACTACGTCAGTCAGATCTAAAAATCAAGTTCAGGTAATGCAGGGACTTAGCTTACTTTTTTAAGGCAAAAATGCTAAGTAATGCTAAGGCAAGTAGGTTGCGGCTAAAATTGTTCTCGTTGGAGATTTTGATGTCCAAGTGCAGGCGCTCGAGAGATTCCGCCTAACAAAAACGCTGGATCATTGCACGTCGCGTCCTCGGAAGGCGCAGCAGCACAGTTATTTTTCCTCAGGTTCGTCGCTACTTCAACATTCGGATGCTTTCGAGATAGCATAGTGCTAGATAGAAAGGTTAGTTAATTTCTAGCGAGTAAAAGTCGATGAGCACGAACTACTTACTGTTATGAATTAGAACTTCTAAATTAGTGATGCATAATAGTAATACCGAGAACGACAAGTAGTAGAAGAAGATCAAGATTGCACAATGTATATTATTGCTTAGAAGAATATCTAGTACTTCTTGATGTCGTCTTGCTGGTGCGAATTTTTTATTACACAAATTTTACACAATAACTTCATTCAGTAGGCACATTATACATACTCAAGAAATGCATAGGCTGGCGCAATCTAAAACGATTGATGTTGTCAACTTTTGTTGTTTCCAATACAAAAATGAAATTCTTGAAATATAGTCACTCTTGCGCTTGCCACCAAGACCAACTAATTGGAAGTTGTATGACCACTGCCATAGTATGAAGGTTGATGATAATCAAATGGAATATGAGAGTACAGATTCAGGCAGCCAGCTGCTTTTCTACATTACACCACACGCTCCAAGTTCGCGCTCAAGTTCAAGGGTCTCGATTGCGTCAGGGATGCCAGGTGCTCCTACTCCTTCTTTCACTCAAACAACTCAGTTTCACTCATGATGCCCAAGCATGGCATATAGCTGCACAGACATGTTGGTATTAAAACCAACAAAAAAAACGAACGTCACGTAGAATATGAAGATTGGCATGGACTAGTGCTTGCCCTTTAGAGTATTCTGAAGAACATCAGGTAGAATATGAATAAGCTTAGAAGCGGAGAGAACAGTGCAAAAGGACGCGCAACTACTCAACATCTAGATGAGGTAGATTAGGTTAGATTAGATTACCTTCGCGTCCATTGAGGTAGAATATGAATAAATTCAAGTCTTCAATGAAGATGAAGAAATTGGAAGCACACAACCATAATGGAAATGCAGCTAAGTAGCAATTGGAGGCACACAAGGACAACTTATATACGTGAGAATATATTACCATTACCTTATCGTGGTCCTTTCTCCCATTGTCGTTTCTGCAATGAGAATGCAATACAATGTATATTCTCGCACAAAGTTGTTCAGTGCAGACTGCCTTAGGGTTACATTGAGAAATAGTTCATCGCGGGCCAGTACTATTCCTTAGATACTCTGGACTGGGTACACTACTACCACTGCTACAACTGGAGATCACATGCACTTATTCTCAACTATAATCATCGAGATGAAAGAACTACAGTTCCTGAAACATGTTACGTATAATCAACACAAGACATGATGACAGAAGTCTGTCCTCTCCAGTGTGGCACGAACATCACATCAAAAAAGATGCAGCAAAACTTCTTATTGCGCTTGCAAACAAGGTTGCAGCGCGTTCTTTCATAATTCAATTATTGCCAAGTAATCATTTCTCAGCATCAGGGGCCATAATGCTCTTGTTGGTGTGTCTGCTTCATAATTTTTCATAGTTCTTTTCGGTTTGCTTGAAACGAATTGTTTCTAGTCGTCGATGACAAGACAATTGCACCGCACGCTTACGTCACATAGATCCTTCTGAAATTTTCTATCGGTAGGATAATCTGAGACCCGTCTCCAAAGAACTTCTGAGCTTCGTCATGATCAAACACTGCAAACTCTATCTCGCCAGGAGGTTGGTCACTAGAGTCAGCGAACAGGTTTTCCTCTTCTATCTGCATCTCGAAGTCATCTTGATCTTCCTTAGCCGCGATCGCGTTTGCATGATAATCCTCGTCGCTTCGCATATTCTTGCCTTCTCCTGTTTGTCCAGCACGCGGCAGAGGACCTTGCTCCTGATCGTTATGATCCACACCCTTATCCATCAACATCACCTCCTCCAAGAGCTGTAGCAGACGACCCTCCTCCTTGTTCCATCCTTGCTTATGTATTAGAGGATGAAGATCAAGTTCAAGATACAGATACTAGTTGTGACCACTGTGAGTACAGGGTATATTCATAAACAGGCAGCTCTAATACGAAGTACTACAAGTTCTAATACTAATATGTTGAAGTACTACAGGTTTGAATATGAAGTACTACAGGTCGTTCTAATACGAAGTACAACAGGTCGTTCTAATACGAAGTACTACAGGTTCTAATACGAAGTACAACTACAAGTTCTAATAATTGAAGAGAGAGAAACTACACAACACATGAGTTAGTATGACCCAATTAGAGGATTATTAAAGAGAGAGAAACACATTGGATTAGAGGATGTAGTGGTCTCCATCAACATCACTTCCTCCTCTAATTCTCCTCATTCTTTCATCGTCATCCAGAGGAGAAAGTGATGTTGTTGGAGTCTTTCAATCACATTTTTATCAAAGTGTAATAAATGAAAAGGTGTCGTATAAATTTTATATCTACCAAATCATCTTGAGCAGCAGCAGACAGTGACTCTGACTGATGTGCCAGAGACACGACAAAAATCATTTCGATTTCCACTACCATAGCTTTTTTTTCAGCATCTTCCCTGCGGCCGCAAGGGCATTGGCTGCTGACGTCGCTCGGATTGTTCTCGCGTCCAGGAACCCTTTCGTGAAAATGATTCCACTCTTCATTTCGTATCTGAGATCTTCTTGCTGATATTAGAGGTCGTTCTGGTTCTGCAGAATACAGATTAATAGCACTGGGAATTATCTCTCCGCGATCAATTGGATGATAACGAGTACTACTGCTTACGAGAATCTCTAGAGGACATCAATCACGTTGACAATCTCAAGCAGTTCCAATCTCATTAGCCATAAAAACAAGACCCTTCATCCTCACCGCCGCTGCCTTTGTCATGACTCGCGACTCCACTAGCCGCTGCCCGTTCGAAATTCGAATTGATACTGTGACAATTGGGCACGCGTCGCTTCAAAAAAGGCGTCCATAGCCACCCTTCATCGATCGGACAGCCTGTAGGACCTACTAATCTCGGTTCAGCTGTGGCGACACGACCAGTGGTGGTCATGTCGACATCCTGATCCTGCTGTTGTTGATTTTCTCGAGTTGCTGCTGTACTACAACTCTTGACGTCCGGCGAACTTGACGACCTAGAAGTAGAGGAGTGGTTTCGAAGACCACCTCCACCACGTCGCATTGTTGTTGTTGTAATACCATATCTCCCTCTACCACCTCCAGGTCCACCTCCTCCGATTGTTCCTTCCAAAGACGATGACGGTTCCCCTCCTCCGCCTCCTCCTCCTCCTCCTGTAGTATTATTGTTTCCAGCACCAAGACTGCTATTGTATAATTGGGTAAAGATATGACTCAGCGACTCCTGATTATTTCTCAAATTCCCTGAAGGACTGCCTGTTCTTGTCGTTCCCGCTCCTGTTCCAGTGGTATTCGTATTGCTGCCTCCCCCGCCACCATGTGGAAGAAGATGTGGATCACTATTTAGCACAACACCTGACTCAGCTATTTGCGCAGTCGAAGAAGCGTTTCCGTTTTTCAAAGCCAGCAATCCAGATTCTAAAAATGCTTCAAAGAGTTGCTTCCGAACAGGCAAGCCATTGACTTCGCGAAATGTCCTCATGAAAAATGGCTCGATCTCGCAGGCGAGATCTAGCAGGAATTTGTACTGTTCGGGGACTTCTATGAACAAACCATTATTTTTCGAGGAAGTGGAAGTGGAGGATACTACACTTGTACTCCGCAGGGATCGTGCGTCATTTACCCCTCCCAATGACTTTCGAGCTTTAGATTCATCCTTGTAACTCGATGAAACAACATCAGCACAATCGATTGTCAAAGAAGATAGTTGTAGTTGACCTCCATCTGCACCTGCTCCTTCTCCTCGCAGCATTGTGCTGGAACTACTAGTACTACTAGATCCTCCTCCTCCTCCTCCTGTAGTTCTTGCTCCGCCTAGGTAGGTCTTCTTGATGCTTGATTTCCTTTTACTTTCTTTTTGATCCTCTGCGAGGACGGAAGCGTAGCTTCGAGTGTTGCCGGAGGTAGATCTAGATGCGCCATCACGGTTCAAACTCTGAGCAGCACTTCCAGCAGTTGTTAGAAATGCATAATCCTCTCCATCAAGATTCGCATTTGCTATTCTTCTATTCCAAACAGCCTCAGCACGACGAAGGACAGAGGAGTCAGGCTTTTCAGTGTGTTCTTCATCTAGCAGAGTGCTGCTTTCTACTTGCATTGTTGAATCTTGGACTTGGTCTTGTTGAAGCTGAACTTTAGCAGTTTCCTCGATGCCTTTTGCCTCCTCATGGTCAAGGCTGCGCACAATCACAGGACTCGGAAGATGGATGTCAGCGGTTGACTGCTTCTCGGATTTCCTTGAGCGCGCTCTTCTGGTCTTGATATGAAGTGCATATTAACAAGTTGTAGACCCCTTCACCCAGTGGTCTTGATATGAAGAAAAAAAAACGAGAAGGACCAGGCAAAAACTAAAGGGTACAAGAACTTGTACTCACGATAATAGCCTGCATAACATTTCTTTTCTTGCTACCAGCCCGGTACCTACACGTATACAACAAAGTAAACATCATCAATCTGAAATTTTCAGATTGATGTTTACTTTGTTGATGTTGAAAATATTCCTTCAACATAAGAATCATCCTCTTGTTCCTGCATTACCGCATCTCCATCCCTATCCCCACTAGTGCCCTGCTCTCGAAGTTTTTGTGCCAATCGAAAGGAGATGTCTTCCACCAAAAACAGCACCAAGCTGAACGCTTGCCGCATAAAGAACGCAGTCGTCGTCGCACAAGAACTCGGATTGTTCAGAGAGGTTTCCACATTTTTTGCGAAATTTTTCAACCCTTTCTCCAAATTCTGCATGGCTGTGGAATGACGTTTACAGAGTTGGTCTCTTTCTTGTCTTTCAGTTGTACGCCCGCGTCCGGATCCGGAATCCACTTCCACATTCCCTCCGCCTCCACAACTTCCATCAATACTAAGGCGAGCGTTCGAATTTCCATGTTGAAACAAGTCTTGATTCTCCCTAAAAAACCCGCTCAGGAACTGTTGCACCAGAAGCACTGGCAAGAAGCGGTCTAAAAGTTGTAGACTTTTCCGTTCCTCGGTTTCGGCTGTCCCAAGACAAAAAGTTCGCATCTTCTTGCACCATTCAATCGCTGAGTCGTACTTCTCGGTTTTCAGATCTTCCAAAATCCTAGCCTGTTCCCGATACAGACTGATTTCTGACATGTCTTCTGCAGACATCTTTTCCGCTTTTGCCAATGCCGAAGCCGTGTCGAGGAAACCACGCTCAGCTAGGTAGTCGACAAGCAAACGTGTCACGCGAGTGTTGCTTTGCTCCTCTAGATCGTCGAACTTGTGCTTAGGACGGATGCTACAACTGAAAGCAGTAGTTCCACCAGCCACCTTTCCTTTCTTGTTCTCTTTGCGAAACATCAATGGGCGGACTAGGACACTGGTCGACGTAGTCGATGAAGAAACGGATGGACACGCAGCTCCAAAGCTGGGTCTGCCAAGTAACGACCCTGAGCCTGATAGGGGAGAAGATGCAACTACTCCTGCTGCTTCATGATCTTGTTCGGGTGGAGGATAAACAGCAGCATCAGGTGAATGTGGTAGTTGCACCGGTTCTTGTGACGGTTCTTGTGGTAGTTTTCCTTCGACACCCCCAACTGTTTGTATTTTGTCGCCTCCAAAAATCCCCCTACTCAAGAACAAGTCCTTGTTCCCCTTCCCGCACATTATATTTCCCAGTCTTGCCACCACCTGTCGCATCAACCGGGTATCCGCTTCCTCACTAGCCACATGTTCTTTTTTCAGACTTTCCAACTTCGCTACAATTAGAGGTACATGTTGTTGGTGTTCGTGGATTCTACTCCCGTTCATTCTAATATCGCTGTCCCCCTACTACTTAGGAGCGAGAGCCATAACATCAAAAGAGAATTATAAAAACAAAAGCACCTTCACCTTCTACTTTAACCAACCCTACCTACAGCTACACTGCTTAATACAATCTTGCTGATCCTCGTTTTCGCTTCTGCCGCAGTCTTGATTCCCTTCGAAATCTTCTCCTGTTCCAAATACCCCTGTATATGACCGATGTTCTTATCCGCCGCCTTCACTTGCAATCGGGTAGATCGTTGGAGTTGGAGGATGGGGCAACGCAACGTGGCTGCCACTTCCAACGCTTCGGACTCACCAAGCACAGGATGAATTCCTGTTCTTGCACCCTCTTCAAGGGAAGATGTTGACATTCTTTGCAGAGAAGGAGGAGACGGGGACACTATAGGTGCTGAGGGTAGGGATTCTTGCAGAGAAGGAGGAGACGGAGACATTATAGGTGCTGATGCTGAAGAGGAGATCATCTTTGTGGTCGATTTTTGATGGGGGTAGTCGTGATAAGACTGGTACTTTTTGATTTTTTTGTACTTACTAGTACTTGTACTTAAAAAGAGGATAAGGATGTTGTTCGTGAAGATAAAAAAAAAGTAGGGAACTAATATCTTCAAGAACAGGGCTTGAGAATGTTATTCATTTTACACTCGGGGACGGGGAAAGGGGTGAATATCACGCTTCAACCAAAACGACGAAATCGCTTCTCGATGTCGTCAAAAAGTCGAAACGCCAGGATCGCTAAGTACTATATTAAGGGCTTTTACAACATCATGATTCACAAAGTCTATTGATGGTTTATGTTTTTCGAGTTATTCTTTGATTATTCCTGGTGAAAACTAAAGCATTGATTTTGATAAAGTAAAGAGCAAACCGTCACCGTGAAACTTCACACTTCTTACTCCAGATGCATCAGTATCATCAGTCTCATCTTGTTTCGAATCTCTTCCGATAAAGGAAACCACGTGTCGCTGCTACTACAGTGAAACACAACTAGGCACAAGTGATCCCCAAAGCCAAAGATCTTGAACCGAGAGAAGATTTGGTTGGCGCTGCAATCGATCACGGTATAAGCAGACAAACAACGGCGCCTCAACCATGAGTGAAATATTAGGGGAGAGGACGCCCACGGCCATGCCGTTCTTCGCGGTCCTCTGATGGCACAGGAAGAGCCGATCATCCTTCTCATTCGTAAGCGTATACAATTTGATCCAAGCGTATACAATTTGATCCCCTCAAGAAAAAGAACGTCAAAGTCTTTGCTTGTCTAGCGACATGACATGTTGGATATAGAGTTCTGTAGTCCCGTACCCAAACTATAAATAACAATCGAGGCAAGAAACGAACAAAGAGCATAAGGTACATCGCACGGAGGCGTTGCTGAAGCTGAATCTAGATCTCGAAGATGTGATTTGTGATATGAAAATGATCGTGAATTATGAATTGTGGCCTTCAGCTTCACAAGTCACAATAACTAGTATTTGCTTGACGAGTGTAGCTGTAAGTGTAACCAGTGTGAGCAGTTGTTCTACGTACTGGGACGTAGAAGTCGCATCGACCCATCATGAAGATGATCTGCGTAAGTTTTTAAGACGATGAAGTCGAAGCTACTGGAAAATGTAGTATTCGCTAGATTTATGACAAAAAAAATTCAAGTAACTGCACAGGAAGCCGAAACTTCAAGTAACTGCAGCTTTCAGCACTCGACTGAAGGAGCTCAAATGGGTGTTATGTTCCGAAAAAAGGTGCTCCAACCTCTCATCACTGAAGGAACTCAAATGGGTGTTATGTTCCGAAAAAAGGTGCTCCAACCTCTCATCCGCATGAACACCCCAGTAGAAGCAGAGCTCAGGCCAGCGGTATTCCGCGAAGGTGAAGAACAGGATGTGTGTGAAGCAGGTGGTGTAGTATGTGACGAAGAAGACGTTGATGTTGTACTGCTACTGCTACTGCTAGAAGACGTGGATGAAGTGGAGGTACTGCTACTGGTAAGCGTTGTATGATCAGTAGTTGATGACCCGGAAACACTCGAACGCAAACTACCAGGATCTCCAATCAAAGACGAAGATGATTCTAATCCCGGCAGATTCTCATTGTCCGTAAGCCTGTCTGTCGCAACCTGCTTTCTCTTGCTCGGAGGACTCTGGGTTATCAGATCATCCAACGAGTGTTTGATGCTCGACGTGGCCAAACATATCTCAGCTTAGAGCTCAAAAAATTGCATTTATTGCGTACATGATTTCTCCAAAGGATTCATCGTCGGCAGAAAGAAATAGGGAGAAAAAGAAATACTTAGGAGGGAGAAAAGGAAAGATCACTTAGGGAGAAAAGGAAAGAACACTTAGGGAGAAAAGGAAATACTTACAGGGAGAAGTGGCATTAACATTATGTTCTAGAAATCACAATGACAATGAATTGGAGAACTGAGCCTTAATCATCCTTCATCTCGCCAGCTTTATGCTTCATTTCGCCAGCTTTGTGGCGCATCTCATCCGCCTTATGCCTCACCTCTTCCTTCACATGGACGATCTCCTTCTCGATACTATGAGAGAGCTCTTCCGCACCACGTGAAACAGCTCTCTGGAACTTCTCCTTGCGCTCGGAAGCAGAGGAACGGAACTCGACCTGGGTGGGGGTGGGTATTGAAGAGGAACAAGTTTCAGATGGATTGTCGTTACAATAGCAGAATTTTTGGTTGTTGAAAGGTCTATCTCTAAAAAGGTCCAAGGATCTAAAAAGGTCCAAGGATCCTAATCTTCCATAATAAATCTAGCTCTATTTTTAGAGGAGCAAGCTCAGAAGTACCAACATCCTCTCCCACTGCTCTTTCTGCTGTTCGATTCTGTCCTGGTCAAACGTTTCTGCGATCTTGTGTTTCATGACCTCAAATCCAACTCTGGCTTTCTCCTTCGCTTTGCCGAGTAGCGTGTTTTCCATGACACTTTGGAGACCGAAGGACCCTCCGCCAAGAGGAAAACGATCTTCGCCGGGAGGGATATGAAGGAGGGAAATTGCAAAAGAGGGATTGGCTACCGGGCGACCGAAAAAATATTTTCCCGTGATGAGGAAGTATTTGGTACTCAGGAGTGAGCTAGTTCTTATTCGAGCAGCATTTACAACTCATTCATCTACGACGCACAATGGTTTTTAGTTCTCCACTTTTTTGTCATGGTGTCCCAGCTAGTACCACTACCACTCTAGCCTAATGCCGGATGAACAAAACAGTTCCAGCAGTGTGTCTAAAAAAGACGGCCGCAGACATCCGCTAAGAATCTACGTCGTCATTCAAATATTCACCCATAAAGATTCACTTTGACTCCCATCCTATTCGTGTATAACGTTAAATATTCACCCATAAGTATTCACTTTGACTCCCATGCTACTCGTGTACTAAATAACGTTAATAAATACTCATCCATAAAGGTTCACTTTGACTCCCATGCTACTCGTGTACAGCGTTCTATTCGGGTTCTCCGGGTCTGGCCTGTAGACGCATACCTCTTCTGTGTTGAGGAACCTCAGCAGTCCTAGATTTCTGCTTCGCAATTCTAGGGTCTTGGACGGCAAGTCCACCGTAGCTTCTTCCAGTGCTAGACCATGCATTTTCTGGCCAAATACCCGCTCAATCCACTGGGGTAGCGGATATTCTAGGGCCATGATCCGCCGGACGCGGAACTGCGCAGCACTCTCGATCTGCTGTAGAGGGGTAGTCGAGGAAGACGGAGAAATGGAGCTGCAAGTAGAGGTTGTGGAGGACACTCTTGCAAGCGCAAGATCTAGATCAGATGCAGGGGAACTACTAGTTGATGAGGTGCTGGCCGAAGACGAGCCGAACGAAGACGCAGCACTATAAGTTGAAGCTGTTTCCACGTCCGATAACACGCTAGAAGACGAAGAAGATGATCCCCCACTCGTAAAATTACAACCCCCTCGCTCAACAACCAGCACTTCCCGAGCTATCGGATCAACGCTTTTAACGTTAGAAGCATGCTCATTCGGATACTTGCGCCAAAAAGCGGCCGTCACCTCCTCCCACGGCGAATCGTACACCTTACTTTCTTCCTTGTATCGCATTGTTGAGGCTAAGGACGCATTGTCACTGTTGAGGCTAAGGACGTTGATATATGCTAGATGAACATAAAGATGGGTCACAGCGAGCTAATGCTAAATCTATCTTCAATTTGTACTTATAAATTATGCTCACCTGCTCTAGTATAAGTACTTCGAGTCTTGACAAAGACCCACTACTTCTGCACCAGGTATTTTATAGTGACCGATGCAGCAGTTGGAGTCGCTGCCTTTCAATTTTTCCTGTGCATATATTATATGTCTATGTGCACGGTACGCATAGCTTTGACGATCGCTGATTGTTAATCATGTGCAGCAAGGGACATCTCTTCTTTTTTCCAATTTTCTCGCGTGAAGATCATCCATCATGTGAAATCAGTCATTTCGTGTTTTCGTCATTTCGTGTTTTCGTCTACACTTGCACTCAAGCGAGATAATTCCTTCTCGCTGGTTCCTGCACCTCCTCATTTTTCAGATTCAAATTTTTTTTTGCTCCCGCCTACTGGCTTTGCAAGTGGCTCGTCCCCAGCCACGTCCTAGCATCCCACCGAAGCCGGGTGGCTCATGGGGCGCGAGGATTCCTGTGAACATGGATAAGTTCGACCGCATCAGCGTTTACACGACTTAGTCAGCAACAATTTCATCTTCCCTACACAAACTGGAAAGCAGTGCTGGTCTTTATCTTCTTAAAAACCTATGTCTATTGTGTAGTTCTAGTACTTCGTCCACTGCCACAACAACCATATCCGGAAGAAGTAGATAAGTGTAGTTTTGTCTTAAGGTTATACCGTTTTTCCTCCCGCGGCGCCAGCTGCTTTCTTCTCAGCAGCTTTTTTAGCAGCTCCCTTCTGCGACAGAAAGCTGCGGTACAATTCGCTTGAGACGTTGTACAACATTTTTTGTGGAGAATTCTGTGAAGAGATGCTATGCAAGATGACTGAAACACTATCAGACTCACACTGAAGGAATAAACCACTGTCTAGTTTTCGAGAGCAGCAAAAATGTGAGCAGGAATAATGTGACCTCTCTTGTTGACCAATGTCTATATTCTAGAAAACGTTTCGCGTTCGGAACGTGCCTGTTGGTCAATACATGCTTATTTCAGAAGTTAGATATCCACAACAAATGTCCATGTTTTCTCGGTCCGCATAGAACTAGTCGCTGTTGCTCTTCGCAATGTTGTTCAATTGGGATGGAGCAATATCTGATCTCAGTGAAGAGCTATTGTCAGCTGGTTATTTGTGGCAATTCAGGTCATGACATCTCGCGGATCAACATGCTGTGTCTGATGTACATCCTTCACGGAAAAGACTTTTGTCCTCGTTATGAGTCTCAAAAATGTGGCAGGGTGAACGAGGTAGCAGTTCTCAAGTTCTGTGAAATGTATGCAGTGACCACATTCCATCCTCGCGTGGACAAGTGCCCTAATCTTCTGGGGAGATAAAGAATCACAGCGGCGAAAACCAAGCTGAGACTTTGGGAAAAAATACCTTTCACAGCAAACTGCGCGCAAATGATCCCTAAGGCTAGGACGGACCAAGCAAGACGCTGCGATGATTTGTGTTCAGTGACATGAGCGAGGAGTGTGAATCAGCAACACGTAAATGTAGCAGCTGTTGCAGCAGGGTATATGGGTAAGACTTTGAAGAGCATTGAGATCTTATGTTTTCATGCACGACGTTTTCACATGGTTGTAAAATAGTCGCTACGGAAATTTCGGACTTCGGGTCGGAGCAGCAGAATTGGCAAGGAAAATGAAAGAAACCTGCGCTTCATAGAAGCAGAGAGAGATATAGGAAATGCGGCCATGAGAAGGGATGAGGGACATACAGAGGTAGCAGACGCATACATTCAGCGCAGTGAGTCTGAAGCGGGAAAAGATGAAAGATACGATGGTGCATACACTGTGCGAATTATTCGCAATGGACGACAGCGCCATCTATGCAGCTGCAGGTCGAGGGTGAAAGTGATGGTACGTCAAAAATATCACCTCCCTGATCACATACACAACCCCGCATCCTATACCTCAGGAAGACATCAGCCTCAAATCTCGGCTCTTGTTCTTGTAGGCAGTCGCTTACCTCAAGGATATATGATACAAGGGATATAAATATGTTTGATCAAAGGCAAGATCGTCTCCGTGACACAGATGCGAGACCAGCAGAACCGATTCAAAAGTCAATCAACACGCCGCAAGGCCTCGGCTCCCTATGGAGAAGGGAGTGCGTGTGTACCCGAGACATTTCCTCCAGTAGGGACTCGATTATGTTAGATTTCAGGATCTTCGTGCATTGCAATGGAAAATACGCATAAACTCAATTGAAAATTCAGAAGCATGTACACTTATCATTTTGTAATCGTCATCGTTTCATTGACTAAGAGAGAGTATGAACTGAGAAGAAAAAGAGTTGAAATCGGAGTATCTTCGCAGCTGCGGTATTCATAACTGATCTAAATTCATCCGTTAATATCATCTGCACAACACACGAAGATGCCCAACAACAAGCGCATACGTAACCTGACAAATAATCGAAAGAATGTCTCTTGAAACCAAATATCAAAAACAGCTGCGGACGCCGAAGCGAATGACAAAGTAAAATCACAATTTAGTTATCAATGCTTGAGTCTTTCTATAGATCCTGAAACCAGCTATGCCAATCATCTGTTACATTGAATGTACAACATACAACTACTAGAAATAGTACGGATTCTGTATTCTGATCAACAACAACACGTTTCAGTTTCTGGGAGTCCATTGACCGCCTGAACAACGTTCGTGCGAACGCCTCTGCAAGAAAAGAACCTCTGGTCATTCAGACCATCACCAAACTACCTAGATTCTAGAAGATTCTTCTACCGCCTTCAATCTACATCTGAGCAAGAATCTCCATCGCCTCCTTCAAGGAATCGATCTCTTCCTGGCGCTTCTTCTGCTTCTCCTCGAAGGACATGCCCTTGGCGATGCACTTGGGCTCGATCACTTCACGCTTCTCCTTCAGATGGTTGTCCAAAGTGGCCTTGTACTCGACAAGAGCATCCTTGGCGTTGATCAAATCCTCTTTCTTCTGGGCCAAGTCCTCTTGCGTTGAGTTCAGGGAGGATTCCTGTTGGAGGATACGCATAGATTAGATGATACGCGTAGATTAGATGACAGTTGATAGTTTTAAGAAGGCGTGATTCGAGCGAAATTCTAGATTTCACCATGAATTTGTTCAATTACGATGTTGCGTGCTGGTGTTGTACTCTTGTTCCTTCTTCCTACTACACAACTAACACTTCTTCCTACTACACTCCAAGGACAAATCCAAAAAGGCAAACATTATACCTTGCTGGCCTTGCTGGTCTCAGCTTCGGTCATGAACTTATCATGAGAAGAGGCGGCCTCGGATTCAGCAGTGGTGGTTTCCCGCACAAGCTGGTCCATCTGGGACTTGATGACTTCCAAAAGTCCAAGGACACCGCCGCCACCCATACCCTTGTACTCGCCACCTGGAAATGATTTGGGGATTTGAAAGGTTAGAAAGTGTAGAAGTTGGAAGTGAATATTGGGAAAGGAGTAGCACAGAGTGCAGCTACAGAGTATACACGACTTAGATAGTGAGTTGTACTGAAACGAAATTGCATTACTAGAGGTGCGTTGTAGAAGTTCGTTCAAAATGAAATTCACAATGTATCTCTACTACCTTCGAACGCCGGCTGCTTCTCACCAACCTTTACCTGGACAAACGCTCCTTCCACCTTGGAGTAGTAGTTCTGCAAGACGGTCATCGCCTGGTCAGTAGCCTTGCTGGCGGCAGTAGTCTCGGTGATGGTCTTCTCGTTATCGGCCTTTTCAGTGGCGCGGTTCTTCTTGGCCTCCGCCATATCGGTCTTCAATTGAGCGATTTCCTTGGTAAATTTCTCGGCAGAAGCGGTCAGCTGTTCGACGTTGGAAGTGAGCTTCTCCACCTTGGTAGACTCCTTGGCGACCTTAGACTCGAACTCCTCAATGGCAGCCTTGTTCTCTTTCATCTCCTTGTCGCACATACCTTGGTGATTTTGGTTGGGGAGAGTGTCATTGAGGTAAGATAGTCACTATGATGCTCCCTTGGTACAACTGGTAGAACGAAAAAAGATTGAAATCGCGTTCCGCTTACACGAATAAGGTTACAGAAAGTAGTACTTTCGGTAAACTTTACGTTTGAGAACAAGATGCAGATGTTGCTCAATCTAAACAAGCAAATTCATAGAGTACCCTTCTTCGTCAATTCAGCCTTTTCTTCTTCCTTCAGTTTGTTGATCAGTTCCTGGATCATCTTACGGATCTTGATAAACGGGTCGGCCTCGGCGGATTCGGCAAGTTCCATAAGGATCTTGCTGTGGAGGGAGGCGCCACGAGATCGCAAGAATTGGGTCAGCTTGTTGTCGGAGCTGTCGCCTGCATCCTTGTTGCCGGCGCGGAGCTGCAAGAAGGATCCGAGAGACTGAGCGGAGTCGAGGTGTCCGGAACCAGACTGGATCTCGGGAGAGGACATGATACTGATGGCCTGAGCGATGGCCTCCATCTCTTCAGTGCGGCTCTTCTGGCGCGCATCGTAGTCGGAAGATTTCTGCTTGCAGTCGGCGGTAACCTCAGCAAGGTACTTCTTGTCATCGGCGAGGGACTGCTCTTCAGTGGCGAGTTCCTTCGAAGCGGAGTATGAAAAGGAGCGGGAGAAGATTCGGGTCTAGGTGCGGTCCCTTCAGTAAGAAGTTCGCGTATGAATAAAGTGTGACCGTCTATCCGCCTGAACTCAACGGTACCAAGATCCTGCAGAACCTAGTCGGGATTCATTTAAGAAAAGGATAACTTTCTCGGTGTAGTCAGTCCATAAATTTCCAAAATCAGCCTCGGCGTTAGACTTGTTCTCGGTCTCAGCAGCCTCCATCTTGGCAGCGGCCTCTTGTTTTTGAGTGGCATCCTGCATGTTCATTTCGAAGTGATGCTGCCTCTCGTTCTCCTCCTTCGTCAAGTCTTGCTTCTCTTCCTCAAAGTCCTTCTGCAAGTCCTGCACCATCTTGATGACCGTGTCACTCGATTAGAAAGTACTCGCAAGAAAGAATCCAAGTCAGAAAAGAATGGATTTGCCTTTCTGTCCTGGCGGTCAGTCACTGGCATCATACACACGAAAATTATACTAGCATTACTACTACTTACTTTCGGCACTGTTCGTCTAGAACGTGATCTAATGGTAATGTCACCCAGTCTCCCACTCCATAAGATTGCCTCTCGCTAGCCGACACGAAGGGGTCCTTCATCTCGCTCAGCGTCTGCACCAATGACTCGACGGCAGCCCAGTGCTTTCCCTTGGTGGATTTTTGCATGACACTAGATTGCTGGAAGGTCTGCATCTGTTGCTGGACGAAGGAAGCGGCCTCAACCTTTTCCGGAGTGGAGGATAGAACTTCGATAGCCTTGTCGCAGGCGTAGATGGAATCGGACAAATCCGTATGCTCCGCGATATAGGCTGTGTTCTCTTCAGCGCGGACCTGCATGGTCAAGGAGGGAAAAGGCTAAAGGAGGTGCGTGGTTTTTAGGAGATATCGGTGTCTAGTACTTCGGTGAGATAGAATAATGCAACATATCAGAGTGGTCTGCGAAAAGGATGAATCCATTTTTTCTAAATTTTCTAAAGAGGAAAACAAGACTAGCCACCTGAAGAACGAAAGAAAAGACAAAATTAATTCGTACCTTCTCCATCGCCTTCTTGTTTTCCTTCATTTTTTCTTGCGTGTCTACTGCCTCGTTGATAGCATCCGTCGCAGCTGCAATCCTCTCTTGGGCGTCCACGATTTGAGCTTGAAATTGTTGAATCGCCCTCTCGCTCTCCTTGATATCTGACTCCTTCTCAGCTTGGGTGTCAGAACACCAGGTGCTGAATGCGGTGAACGCCACTGTCTCCTCTTGTTTTTCCTTCTGGCCACGAGATTCCATCTCCTTCAGCATCTCGACGACCTTTTTTTCAGTGTTTTGGCTACAATATGCCACGAGGTAATCAACGCAGTTTTCTCATCGAACGTAGTATCCTCTTCAATGACATACATAAGAAACAACAAGAACAACCCTTGTCTACCACTTACACGATTATCACATCACAACTCACCTTATCAATGGCCGCATTTTTTGCCGCTTCTTCTGACTTGATGGCAGCGACGGACACAAGCCCGCATGCAAGCGTGGCTACGCGCATCTTGTATGATCTTGCTCCTACAACCTATACAATAGAGTAGTTGTTGACAACTAGCGCGTCCACGTTGCTGATCCGAGAACGGCAGCTACTCACTCAGGGACGCTGTTCGAGCACCGTAATACGACCACCTAGATGAAGGAGATCAATGTAATAAACCGTAGTGGTAGTCAAGTGGACTGGAGATGATCAGTGGAACGCATTGCTAGTAGAGGATCCATGAAAGTCGCTCGTTCAACTCTAACCGATCACACCTTTTCACCTCACACAATGCTGAAGGGGAGGAGCTGGCCACCGATTCTCATCGGAACTTCTCCTGAACTCCGTTCCACTTCCGGTTCCCTTGCACTCTAACAACGAAAACTACTTGGATCCATTGGTTTATCAAAACCAGATCGTACTACAGTGTGAGGTAAAACTGCCAGCCTTTCTTCGTTTTCCATTCCCTTAGTACGCCATCGCCACTGCAGGAGGTTCAGGTTCAGCAGTGATAAGTGTTGCTGGTACTGGTGGTCTGAGTCTGTTTCTTTGGGTCATTACATTAATATCGCCAGTGTAGACAGATCCGTTCGAGTCTACATCATCAAATTGATTCAACAAGAGAGCCTCAACCATACCTAAAGAAAGTCTGTGGGGCATTCTGACAGCTCAGATAAGGCAAGACCATGTGTTCCGAGGTTCTTCGTGTATCTAACATGAACATCTTCGTGATCAGCCATCAGCCCCAACACTAAACGTCTGCGACCGCTGCAACCCAAACATTTTCCTCATCCTTGCGCCAGTGGTATTTGCTTCTGCATGCTGAACTGCTAGAAGACGCAAGGGATCCCTAGCATGATCCTTTACGCGCTTTCGCAAATGCTGACGCAATGTCAGAAGATGAGCATGTAGTTTCACAGCATCTGTGCCGAAGCGAAAGTCAGACGCGCGCAAAACAGTCGATACCGCACGACGGAAAACTTTTGCCTGAGGATAGTAGTTGTTATCGAGGACTGTGTTGGAGCCAGTTCTCCTTCCTCTTGCTAGTTCTCCAATTTCTACTACTACGTGTCCTTGCTTTCCAGGCTCATCTACTCCTCCCTCTTCCGTGCTGGTGGCCAGGCCCTCGTTTGATGTGGTATCGCATGCATCGAGATACTTCTCTTGCGCACTCGTGGTGGCTGGATAGATTTTAGCTACGTTCTCTTTCGCCACTTTATCCTTTGTTCTCTTGTCCTTTCCAGGCGCTATAACTGCCTGTGCTAAAGATGATGGCCACAGCTCTCTGACCCAGTCGGCGAACTCAATTTTGCCATCAAAAACATGACAGTGAACTACGTACAGAACGGCACATACTGCAATGGCATAGAATGAAGACGCCGATGCATGCCCGACCGCTTCATTAGAAGTTCCATCATGTGCTCTACCAGAAGTTCCATCTTGTGCTGTACCAGTCGTAGTCTTGTGATTCTTGGCACCGGGCGTGCTTCTTCCTTGCTCATCACCACTGCTAGAAGAAGATACAGCTGCATGTCGATCTGATTTGCCATCTTCCTTATCCTCGAGATACAAAAAGCTAGTACCTCCATTTCCTCTCCCAGTCCCACTGGAAATACTGTTCATCATATTTTCCTCCACCACAGCCGCAATCACTTCCGGAGTTTTCTCCACAAACTGGTACCCTAGTAGAAACAGCAGAAAGATATCTTGTCTGTGAATGCTGCACTTTCGGAAGAGAGTGAAAACGCGCACTAGCTGTACGCCAAGTGACAGGCCGCGTGCATTCACCTCGACCGCCTGCACAGCCGCTGCTGATGTGAGGGCGAGGCGCAGCTCCGCTCTTCCTCCTAACCCGCTCAAAGAAGCTTCCGTTGCCACCATCTGCAGAAGCTTTTCGGTACTCGGATACTTTGCGCGGGAGGGGAGGTTAGAGATGACAACTATCTCGCATCAACGAAGCAGAAAATTCGAAAAAAAGGACAGAAAGACCAGCAGTGTGCACGACAATTATTCAGATTTTTATCATTTTACACTACAACAACTGTTCGATCTTTACCTTGCAATTACTAAATGCAACAGCATACTTACGTACAATATATATAATCATCAAAGGACCATAACACCCGCTCCCCTGCTTAGCGGATTTCCACTTTTGACGTTCCCTTCCTCGTCGACTTGATTGGCGGCTGCTAACGCCAGTTGCAGACTCGCCGCACCATGCGACGACGTCCGTCGTGGTGGTGAGCGAAACTTGTTTGGCGATCTGCTATTCGGTGTGCCTTTGTTCTTGCTTGGCGATCTTGCAGAAGTCTTGCTCGGATCTCCTCCAGTCACGCTAGTAGTAGAAGAACCAGAAGTGTTCTTGTTAAGAAGAGCTATTGGGTCTTCTGCGTAGTGCGGGATCAAGAATTCATCTCGACTTTGACCAGGTGGAAGTTCTCCTCTTCGTGGTCCACTAATGCTGTCCCTCCCGCCTCCTGTAGCCTCTTCCTCCGCATCAGTCGATCCATATCCGCCTGTGTCCGTTGAACTCACGTAGCCCGCCGATGCGGCGCTCGAAGCTGGTAAAAACGTTTCCTGGTCACTGCTCACTGCTACTAGTGCATTCGGCACGAAGATATCCACGCTACTCGAAGCGGCTACATCTTCAGATGAGGACGCGCGGTCGAGACGAGGTGGTCGTATGATAGCGGCTGCAGTTCCAGTTTTGCTCGTTGAAAATGCATTAACACTACTAGCTCCTTCGTCGCCAGAGGACGATGCTCCTGAACCACCTCCCAGACTCGTTGATGTTGGTGCTTCGTCGCCAGAAGACGCAGGAGGTGGATCCTTGTTGGATATGAAGCGTAAGGTGGAGGTCTCAAAAAATGGATCATGTTCAACTACAGCAGTCCATATCTACGTATAAACGAATAAGAATACCTCCAGCATCAACATGCTGCCTAGTAGTTCACATGAGTTCTTGTTGTGCAAGGTGTACGGCATGATCTAGATCTGCATTCATTTTATCCAACAAGATGAGCATGCGCTAGTTGGAGTCACCTAAGAGAATAGAAGGACTTGGTCGTGCTTTGTCGTTCTACACGTACAACGCCTCATCTTCACTATTGCTACTTGCTCCCCAAAGCGACTCATAATCTTCTCCCCCTCCAGCGCCTCATGCTCTTCACGACTGCCCCGAATTGAACGTCGTCTCGCTGAAGTCGCTGTGCTTATTCTCCTCTTTCCGCGTGCCTTGAGCATGGCGGAGGTCATGAAGTGGTCCAGTGTTTGTTAGAGGTCGCTCGTGAAACTGAAATGTTGAGGAGTAGATACGGACCGACACCAGCTTGAGATGCTTCGACTCACATCTTCTACTTTGGACCGCGCATGTGACGAGAAGTCGTAAACTTCATGCTAGTTAAAAACTGTGATGCCTACTAAGAAACACGGATATCTGGTATCAATATCTAGACTCTCCATAACTATCCTCTCCCAGTACAACCTCCCTGGCGAGACGCCTACTCTTATCACCTGCTTCCACAGCTCGCCCATCATCGCCCAGCACAACCGACTGAGCCTCATCCAGAGTCCCCTTCGGTATTGTCATTTTCCTGCCTTCAAGAGCGAGCACGAGAAGGTTCCTTGCCATCCACATACAAGCCTCCAGATCCACTGGCGTAAGCAGCTTCTGCATGGAAGAATCCACTATCGAAGGATCGGAGGATCGGGGAGCGGGAGTCCTTGTTAGAAGTACATAGAAAAAGATACTCATGGTCGTGTTACGTGAATGTGAATCGATCCTTCTGAATTCTCTTGATAGAATATTCATTCTCCGATCTACTAATTATGTGAATCGATGATTCTGAATTCTCTTGATACAATATTCATTCTCCCATCATTAGAAGGAGAGAGTGCAAGAATGGAAAACTTCTAAATTGTATCTCCTCAGCTTATGCTGTTAACACCGGTCGGCCCCAATTACACATACGATTGTCGGACCTACAAGTACAACTGATGAACCTTAAGCCATACTGCAGTCTTCGTCTCCGCATCCGACCGTCCAGAGCTCGGGAAGAACTCCCGAAACCATTTTCCGAGAAGAAGGCGCATTGCCTCAACAAAGATGGCTCCTGTACCAGCTGAATTGTCGTGTTCAAGCGAGGCTTATTTTTGAAGTGCTCGCTGAGCGTTTGCGGAGTTCCTTTTACGTCCTCCGTTGACTCACTTGTTTCTCAGGCAGTTTATCTTGTAGTTCTATAAATATTCTTCCCAATGATCCCATTCATCCAACTGGTAGAACTATTACTGAACCTCATCTTCTGATGTGCTCCTCGTTTCTACCTCATGATCTGATGTACTCCCAGCCCCCACCTCATCTAATCAAGAAAAGCATCATTCACACTGCCAGAAAGATGGTGAAGAGATGCAAAGTCACTGAATACAATACAAATGTAGTAAGTTATGCCTGGTCTCCACACGCAAAGCATCCCAATAAAATCAAAAAGAACTACTTCTACATGTGCTGCATTTGGGGACAATACAACAAAATCTGGGTTCTGAGGGGTCCTTGGGTAAAATTTTGATACAACTGCTCACACCTCTTCAACAACAGTGCTGCAGCAGGTACCAAATAGTCCCTGCACCATGAATATGTCATCCAAGTTGGATCCAGCAAAGCACTCTGCATCAAAGGGTTGGGGTTCGACACCATGATTCTCTCCCTCTCTCTCTGCGACACGGCCAGCTCCGTATAATTTACTACAAAAAGAAAGAGGATGAGCACTCGCACACATCGACAGATATAAACCGAGATAGACGAACTATTTCACAAGAGAGCACTCGTTGTCGTCATAATATAATGATCATGTGCCTTATATGAAGGAGTCATAATATAATGATCATGTGCCTTATATGAAGTTGAGTCAACGGAGGACGTAAAAGGAACTTCCGCCATTTCGGAAGTGGCAGTTACTTATAAAATCATCGAGACGACCTTGGTACCCTTACGGCTGTGTGCTTCTTCTTCCTCCTCCCGTACCACCCAAAAGCGTCTGTCCTCAGTGTTAGCTTCGCCATCTTGTGGCCCGAGAAGCGTTTGTCTGTGTGCACTACCCTGCAATCCTGTATCGTGGCTCCCACTCCTTCATATAAGGCACATGATCATTATATTATGACGACAACTTTCCACTCGAGGAGATATGACACCGACAGTTTGATTAACTCACGAATGCAGTAGCAGATCAGTCATTTCAGAAAGTGTTACCCCTGTCGATGCTCCATTCGAGTCGAACGGACGACGGTGACCAACGCGTCACAGTCATCGACCTGATGCTCCAGGTCGAGTCCCCACATTTTCTGTCAGAGTTGCCTTGCGTGGTGAGGATGCAGTAAAGAAGTAATCTCCCTCGCCACAACGAGGACCGAGGTGATCATTAGAGGTAGCTTGTTGGTGCTCGCTTACCCCGCTTGTTATGCCTTTCTCATCCTAAGGGGGAGAGGCATCAAAAGCGGTAAGAAAAGCACCTTTAACCTACCCTTAAGATCATATTCGCCGAAAATGAACGAAAACTCTGCCTCGTCCATATCGACGTTTAATTCCGTGCCCAAGCCCTTCACGCACTTCTTGAGAGCCCCTCGAAGGTCTTTTTTGTATTGCGTCAGCCTGGCTCTTTTATCCTGTTAAAGAGTGTGTTTCGGAATGTGAAGGTCTCAGTAAGAAAGATTCTCGCTCTTATCCTTCGTTTCCATTTACATTGTATTTACTGCACCATCACTTTTCTTCTCAGGATGATAGATAATATCTTGTCAGGAGACAGGCACTTCTTCTTCTTCTTCTTCTTAATATTCTCACTGCTGAATGCTGATTCGTAACTGCTTATGGGAATCAGATTCACTCAAAATAGTCAATAACTGTCCAGCATACCGCCAATAACTAACAAGCCAGCAGAAAGCTTCTAGATGAGCGGGGAGAAATCGCCGGGGAAATCTTAGGCAGATCGCCGAGTAGATTAATCTTAATGTTGTCATCAATCAATAACTGCTCATATGTTTGGACAAAAAAGCTGAACATGCTTTTCAGCATTTCTCCTAGAAACTTTTTGTGTTCCTAAGGAGGTGTGTCTTTCAGAATGCTTCAGTAAGAAATGGTCGGGGCAAAGGCTGAAAATATTCTTCGTTACGAAAAAGTACGAGGAGGAGTACGTATTCAATACGTGGAGAATAGGTTTTCATGGACAGCATGTCTCTCCAGCACTACGATGCAGCATCGGGTCCGACTCGATTATGTCTAGTACTGCCTCTTCGTGTCGATAGGAAGACAGAAGAAACGACATTGGCAATATCATCGACACCAGATTCAGATGACCGAAATCGATAAAGAGATCAACGGAGCGCTCTCGATAAAGCACCAGACGACAGCACTCGCACTTTCCTCTCTAAAATAGGTGACAAGAACAGCTTGCTGCTGTTCTGCAAAACCAGTATCGGCGTAGCACTAACATTTGTGCAAATCAGCGAATTCTCTGCATCTGCATTCATCACGCAGCATCCGTCAGAGCAGAAGTGATCATATGTTGTCGCTTCGTCTTCTATAATGATCATCTGGTGCTATATATATAATAGAACAGATACGAAGAACTTCATCATGCATCTATCACTCTCTGTGATGTGCATCCTTTTTTCTTTTGTAACTCATAAAGTGGAAGTGCAGAGGGGGCGGGAACGGGATCAGGAAACGGAATTATTATAAATACATACTCGTTCTTGTACTAGCACATTCATGAAATTCAAATTTTCGTGATAGTAGGAATACGACTGCTAGGCCTTTGTCCTCTTGTTGTCGGAATAAGCGGCAAAGCGGATCGAGATGACTTTCTTTTTCGCTCCGTTTTTCCAGAAGTTAGCGCCATGTGAATTCCCACGTAAGCGAGACATCCCATGGGGAGATACGCTTGACAACCATAGATTTAATGACTATCGGCTCGCCTCGTGCCATTCCTGCTGTGACCTTTGACCTGCCAAAAATAGCCTCCACTTCGTTTCTCGTTAGAGACATAGCGGGCTCTTTGGTTTTCACGAAGGTCTTTTTCGAGCCATCGCGGTACGTGCATTCTGTGGTGACTTTCTTCGCACAGATGCGATCGGTGTATCCCTTGAAAACGTAGTCGAACTCCTCCTCTGTCATAGACAACGAGTCCATACTTTCACGTCGCTCTTTCACACGCTCCTTGAGCTGGTCTCCAAAGTCCTTAAGGTACTTTCGAAGTCTGATGGCTTCCTGTAAAGTAGATTCTCTGAGTACATGGAAGGCGAATCTCTGAGATGGGTGATCCATCCACCTATGACAACAGCAACATGAGCATGGATCTGGACGAAGCTTAAGCTATATACATATTCCTAAGGTGTAAGTAGACTACCTGTTTGTCCACTTCCTGTGCTGCTCGATGCAGCTCTCTTTCTACTCTGTCAGATTCTCGCTCCGCTTTGGCTTGCTCTTTTTTAGCCTGTTTCTGCTCCTTCTTCGCCTTCTTAGCCGCCGTATCCGCAGCAATTTCCTCTGCCGTCTTTTTCTCTCTCTGCCGCTTCATCGGAGGGGCTTTTCCATTGTCGGCTCCGCCTTCAGGCTGTGGGTGTACCACTGGCGCAGTCGCCGATGAAGTAGAGGCAGCGGGCGCTGACGTCGTCTCCGGCATCTTCTTGTTTTATCTTTATTTCTGGTGGAGCCAGCCTACCTAGGAAAGATAGAAAAACAAGATTATAGTAGGTCTCTATTTGCAATTTATATAAGTTTAAGTTGACTAAAGATCTAGTTCTAGATCTGTTCTTTCTCAACAGGTCTTCCTTATTCTTCAAGTCGCTGGTCGGAAACAGGGAGAACAGGACTTCTCCCAAGACAGGAGCACCATCAAGAAGTCAAATTGAGAACGAAGACATCTATGACCAGCGGGTCGTACCTGTTCTTCGACCCGCTGGTCGTAAACAGGTGGACTGCTTCCCATAGATTTAGATAGATACTTACACAAGAAAATCCAGACAAACCCTAGTGGTCTCGAGATGCTTGATCTGAATGCCTCGGAGTACTTGTGAATGAACACGAGAGTTCGATAATCCCCAAGTCCATCCCCCATTTTCTGGTGCTTCCTAGTGGGATACGAAGCACAGGAGTCGCTGACTCATCATCCGCATGTATGACCAAATCCAGCGTCACTTATACCAAAAGAAGTTAAATCTATCACTATCAGGTCATCTTCATTTTCAGGCGTATTAGTTGCGTATGCGTGTCTGTCAGCGTGATAAATCATTTCCTCATGTTTTCGTGCTTGTCTATGACGTTACAGATGAAATAAGGAAAGGGGACGGGCAGGGGTGTAGTGTCACGAGGGACACATCAAATATATTCAAATGAGCTAGCGCTGAGCGTCCATCTAAGCGAGACTTTTGAGTCATACTCGCGCTCCCGTGTCACGGCCATGGACGTGATATGCCAGGAGTCCGTGGAGAAACAACTAGCCGAGCTAGGTCCCACGTTTTTTTTCACATTTGTACTACCGAAGACAGTCCTCACCTCTGCTGCATTCTCCAGATCCAAAACCGCGGCCGTAACACTCACGTTGTTCTCCACTTCTCTGCCTGTCCTGAAGGTGACCAGGGTCGAAGTCCGGTGAGAGCTGACGTTGCGCAGACAATCCGCAAAAACGAAGTCAAACTCTTCCGGTGTCATAACCACATCCATTCTTGTCTGACATTTGCTCTCCACTTTTTCCATTAGCATGTCTTTCAAGTCTTTCTTGAACTTTTGCAGTCTTGCGAGAGCCTGTGAGTGATCGCAATAGCAATAGCGTCAGTTCGTGGGAGTCAAAACCCATAGGATCAAGCGCAAGTAAAAATAGGTCTTCCAAGAAATTCATTCGGTGGTCACCAAAATTAAAGTTGCTTTTCTGCTTGTGCTTGCTTCTTTCTACGATAAAAAAAGGAGTCAACTCAGGCTCTTCCTAGGGCTATAAATGTCGATAGTTCTACCATTTCATCTTTGGCTTCGTCCGGCGCGTTTTCCCAATAAAAGTAGCCATCTACTCGCTTCGCCTCCTCGTCTAGCTCTTCTCTGGCCAATTCCAGAGCTTCCTCCGCTTTTGCCACCCGCTCAGCAAAAAGGATCTGTTTTCCTGTCTTCTCCACCTTTTGTTTCTTCGGTGGCGGAAAGCTCCCACCAGAAGGCTGGTGACGTGCCCGAGCACGTGACGAGTACGACGACAACAAATAATTCTCCAGCAATATTTGAAAAATATTTGTATGATGCGTAGTTCTTTCTTCTAAATCTCGTACTTTCAGATCCTCTCAAACAGAATAACTTATATACTAAATCAGTCCTCAGGAGGATATTCTTATTTTCATAGAAGAAACTTTCCTCAACTCAGAGATCTTTCAAAGATGTTTCTGACTCAAAATCCAAATTCTTATTACTAGTGTTGCCGTACTATCGTCAGTACGTACATTCTTCAAGAAGAACAGGTGACCAACATAGGCCGCCCATTTGGATTTGGAGACTTCAGAAAAAAATTTCTGGCCACCAGTTGGGGCACGTTACGTTTCGCAAGCAAAAGACAGGCGCGGAGACAAAGGGATGCCACGAAATGATGGAAGGAATGAAATAAACCTTGAAAACCTGAAGGCTAGGTAACTAAGCACAAGGAACCTCAACTAACAGCACAGCTTACAGCGCTAACGGTCTACAACATCGATGTCCCAAGATCTGAATCTGAACACGAACAGTGTCCTGCCAAAGCGTAGTTCGTCCGGTTCATCTCGTATCAAGTAGAATTTTTCATCATTTTATGTTCAACAGCTGCTAGAACAGCCAACATGTTGGCGTTATCTCCGAGATGAGCATCAGAAACGAGCTTCGTGTCTTTGCGTTCTTCAGTGTATCTTCCATCATGAGGGTGTAAAAGTGTAAAAAATGCGATGAAGGTGAACTCGTGCTGCTAGATGTAGATGATGATGAATGATCAATTCTAAAATTCATTGAGGTTGTGAAGAAATATAGAACACAACATCATGCCAATGCACCGTATTAAGTCTGTGCTTCGTTCTACTGCAAGTATCGCCTTCGCATTACTGCTCATGCCGAAAAAGGCCAGGAGTTGATTGTCGTCGCAAGTTTTGGGCTACTGTTCGTCTCGGAAAATTGACGACGGGACTGGAAGGGAAAACGAGGTACAAAGATGAAAAACTGCTAAGGAGACTCAAAAATTAATGTCTCAGTACTAGCACTAGTAGAATAGACATTTTTTTAGCAAACGAAGTAGATCGAACACTATCACTACGGGACATATTTATATATTCATACGAGTCAGTATCAACATATCAGTTTCTTGAAAAACGGTAACATACAAGAAGAGATGAATATCAATAAAACCTCTAGTACCGTGTCCCAAACTTCTGTGTCCCGACATTGCTCAGTAATGTCTGTTGTGGTTGCGCATTTTGTTGACCAGCACCACTAGCTATCGTAGTAGAGTTGTTGACGTGGTTCTGGTTAACTGGTTGGTTAATTTGTAACATGTTCAACTTTCCAAGTATCAGGCCCCCTCCACCACGTTGGCGGTTGTTATTCATCATAGTACGCGGACGATTGGTCATGTCATTACTAGCACTTATTTGTGTAGAACTACTAAGTGTTCTCGAGGACGATGTAGCTCCAGTTGGTCCGCCAGTATTAAAGTTGTTCATTATATAAGAAGCCGCTGAAGGTGAAGGCGATGACGAAGATGAAGCGATTCTACCAGATGATAGAGGGGAAGGCTGTTTTGTTGGGTGGCGGACCACATGCTGATTATTTTCTCCTATTTGATCGTTTGTGTTTGAAGCAGCTTGTTGCGCAGATGTTGATTGCACAACTCCCATTCCCCCTATTGCCGCAGCAGCACTTGGAGGTCTCCTCAGTTGCAAGGAATTGCCACCGCTCCCACCAGCTGCACCTGGGGCCAAAGGAGTGCCTACCGCTGAGGCCGAAGTAGATGTCGTTGGAGAAGATTTTCGCATTTGTTCAAATATTCTGACACCCATTTTCACGGATGGCATCCCCGTACCAGAACTTTGATTCATCGCTAAAGGAGAAGAGGCTGATGCGTAGCCAGATGCAGACGCTGAAGATGCAAGAAGCGGAGGTCCTGTTGGAGAGGATGAGGAAGTACTAGAAGCAGATGCAGTAGATGTAGACGCACCTCCTTGGGATGAAGTACCAAAGTTCATCATCTTCAGCTGATGATGTGCCCTATTTCGGTTTCGGTCCCCTACTAGAGACGATTGAGGCATAGGCATAATGCAGTTCGTCGGTGAGCAAAGCAGACCCGGAGTACCTGGCGGGACACCAGGTGAACCTGCTGATTTGCCTACTTGCTGACTTGCCTCACCAGGTGGAGAGACAACACTCTTCATCTGCAACGACGAGGGTTTAGAGTAGGTATGAAATTTGAAAGGAAGACCAGAATGATGAGGTGGGCCTAGGAGTACCAAAGAACTTGATATCTTTTCAAACAAACATAACGTTTCTGAGCCTAGAACTCAGAACATGCTGCACAGCAGAGGAGTGCAAGCATGGTTTTCATCCCTAGGGGTCACGTAATCGTAAACGTAACAATCATTATCAAGACAATCACAAATAACATTTAAGTACATCTGCATCATTGATACTAGTGACTACACGCTAAGGAAAACCCTCCAAAATAACTGGCAGATTCTGCACTACTCTTGGTGGGGGCCGTGAACCTATCCCGAAGTTTCCGAAGTCCATGCTCGTTGCCAACCCGTTTGCCGTCCGTCGGTTTAGGCGTTGCAGTAGTGAGCCATTTCGCTCCGCTCTACCGCTGGGAGCAGCTGCTTTGTGTTGAAGATGTAACTGGTGCGAAGCAGACGCCGGTTGATGGTGGAATAACGGAGAAGGTGATGGTCTGCGAGGCGAAATGTTTGTTGAGTGACTGCTGGCGTTGATATTGGTAATCATGTCTTGAGAAGTTCTTTCGAAGTTATTGCTAATATTGCTATTCCGAATCCTATTACTTTGGCTACCATCATCATGGATCATGTTGAGTTTGAGGTCGACAATAGGAAAAGGAGCAACAAAGCGGGATTCTTGTGGACTCCTCCTGGCTGAAGAAGAGAATGATGGCAGACGGGGACGAGCGGGAAGAACTTTCTGTATCTCCACTGCGTCAAGATCTTCATCTACTTCTTGTATCTCTACTGCTCCTTGAACTTGATCCTGGTCATCGCCTTGAACTTCATCTACTTGATGGAGCACGAAGTCTTCATCAACGACAACAACGTCTTCCATTAGGTCCTGTGGTCGCGTGTCTTCTGATGTATTGGTATTCTCATCTGTTGTGTAATTCTGCTTGTTCACCTCTACCTCTTGTCCCTGCAGCTCTCCACCAAAAGCTCCTTGCTCTTGTTCGAAAGCGGACACGCTAACTCGACCTCTTGGGTGCTGTTGAGGGGACAACTCCTTCTTCTGCTGCTCCACGGTCCTTCTATCGAGTGCTCGTACTACAGGCGAGAAGCCTTCTTCCAATGCACTGGGAATATCGTCCATCTCAAGGTCTTCAAGATTCTTCACGTCATGTACATGATCTACATGTACATGAACTAGGTCATCTTTGTCCACTTCTAGCATCAGTACTTCATCGTCGTCGTTCGGAGTTGATGTCTTGCTAATCTTTATGCTCGCCTCCTGCGTTAGATCGATTTCGATTTGTTCCATCTTCGAAATGTTAGTATGACTTCCGGACGAAGTCGTGCTAGAACTAGAAGCTGAAGCCCCTTCTGCCTTGTCCAGATCACCGGACGAAGTCGTGCTAGAACTAGAAGATGAACCCCCTTCTGCCTTGTCAACTGGAGTTGCACCCCTTGAGGGGGAAGCTCTTGGTATCGAAGAAGCAACGTACGAACTTCCCACAGGTGCTGCAGCAGCAGTGTGGAGGTTATCCAGTGGGGAGGTTTTCCGGGAACTAGAAGTTGTCTTAGCATCATTAATAGAAGTAGACTGAACTACAGCTGTTGATGTGCCAGCACTACTACTTTTGTTAAAAGCTACAAGTTCGAGATCTCCTGTGGCCTTGAACAGGAAGGGGTTTGGTTTACTCGGAGACGTTTTCGGAGGAGAGCAGGCACCTTCGGTCGTCTTAGGACTACTCCTCATGATCATTCCACCGCCAGACGACAATGAAGTAGAAGTGGTAGGCGAGGCCGTGGGTGTAGTAGACGAAGGAGTAGTGGATGAGGGAGGAGGATGAGGCCGATCTATGTTATGCATGTCCGTCTTTAAATTCAAGCTCCGTGATTCATCATCGCGCGTCGATAAACTTTTAGGTGAAGTCGTGCCACCGGTGTTTAATATTCTACTTCTAGTATTCTCATCAATTCTTCTTGTAGGCGTCCCTGCTTTCGCACATCTACTTTTCTCTGCAATAGAAGGAATATCTTCTTCTGAATTTTCTTCGGATATGTCTCCGAGCCTAGTTCTGCCAGAACCTCCGAAAGTTCGACCCCAACCTCCTGAGAATGAGCTAGCGGCCGTTGTTGCAGCTGTACTTGTAGTACCTGGTGAAAGGATGTTCTTGAGAAAATCACAGTCGCCTGAGTGCTGTGATTCAATGTGCTAGTTCTTTCAGTGGGCGTGGACAGGATGCCAAGGGAAAAAATGTGAAAAAGAATATTAGGTCCCGAAAAAACTACAGATCGATGTGGATAGATGATTCCTCCTGTAAAAAAAATGAATGCCCACTACAAAAGCAAAACGCGGCTGTAAAGGAAAACGCGGTAGTACGTTGTTTCTTCGGTGCGCTTTTTTTCACGAGAACTTTGCTTGAAAATGACGCCGAACCATCACCAATAGGTGATCTTGCTTTTGTGGAAAAACTACTAGAACTTACAGATGTAGAAGACGTAGAAGAGGAAGTAGAGGATGAGGAGCCTCCTGAGGAAAAAGTGCCAGACCCTCCTGATGAAAGAGGGCCTGCGATGCGTAGTGAGGGGAGGGAAGCTCGAATAGGCGCAAAAGCTGGCACGCTGCGAGAAGAAGAAAGGTGCTGCTGGTGCTGCGGGGGAGATTATAGAGGAGTCCACAAGGCCTGTCTGAGCAAGAGGGAGCAACAAAGACGTTCTGAAACACCGGATACTAGCCATACCGAGCTGGAAAGAAGATAGCGAATGAGCAAATCAAGAACAAGTTATCATATATAATTAGGTATTCTTTATTCGTGACAACTAACACCAGATGAAGAAAACTAACAGATGACACATGTAGTAGAAGTCTTAAGTGAGTATTGTCCACGACATCTACAGATGGTTCTCCTTCGCCTTCGCCTCTATTTTGTTGGCTTGCCAAGCGTCCTTCCTGATCGTCGTGTCGAGTCCTGTGATCTTGGTCTAGGAGGCTTACATGTTGACCGCTCTGTAGTGTTTGTAGACCGCTTAGACCTCCTAAACCAACACCGCACTCTTCAAGATCAACAGAGGTCGAGCGCTGTGCAAAACCTCCTAGCCGTTGTTCGCCAACATCTGCTCTGTTGGAGGATCCCGTGGAGTACGATGGCTTTATCGAAGTAGAAGACGAGGAACATACACTACCTCCATTAATACTGGCAGTTGTAGCAACACGACTACCTCCATTACCTATACCTCCATTTGTAGCATTTATCATCCTCGTCGATGTTGTTAGAGCTCACCCTAGTCCATGCTGAAATCCCTCTCGGGCCTCTTTTCCCCTCAGGGAACAGCTTCGAGATGCTTCTGAGGATGGATTAGGGGAAGCCTTAATGTTGAAGAAGTTTGAAACACAGGACTTCGATTCCCGCTTGTCGCAGGCCTTGTTGTCAATATTGTGCGGATGCCGCCACTCGACAACGTCCGATTTCGCATAGGTGCGGTAGCAGTCAAGCGCTCCTCTTCTTCTGGTGACATTTTCTTGCTTGTTATGTCGTTCCTCGCAGTACTATGCAGAAGAGGGCCACCTCGCTGCATGCTACCCTGCAATGACTGTCGGCAAGCAAGAGGATTGGATCCCTTTGCACCGAAGTCGTTTAGTTTACTTGCCGGATTAGGATTTGCTGATGGCCCAGAAGGTCTGCCATTGGGGATAAACTGGAGACCACCTGGTGTGAAAGGTGAAAAGGTGTACAACTCATAAAAAAGTGTAAGTATTCGCATAATTAATTTGCGGATAATTGCGTCTAACGACTTGCAACGAATTCACTAGATAAAAAAAGCTACTACGACTACTCTACTTAGGATAGGATAGGGCGCCTTCACTTGTTCGCTTAGAGTATCAGTTGTATTCATACACACTATTTTTACCAAAACTATTTCTCGGTCGCGAATTTCTTCCTGCTGGTTTCGGTGCGGCCACAAGCGAGGCACGGTGTAAAGACCCACGAGCGGAAACCTGTTGCCCAACAAAACCCAGACTGAGACCGCCATGCCAAGTGGTATTCAAAGAAGAGTTCGGGTCTGCATTTCCGCTTCCTGCACTGTAGTTGGTTCTACTGTTGCTTGTGCTGTCCATCGAGGAGGACACGTCTCCAGCCTTAATGTCGTGTGCAGCGGGTCTTGTCGTGCTTTAGCCTTAGTAGGAGTAAATAGACGAGTAAAAAGCTATCAAATAGACAGAGCGGTGAACTTTATTGAAGCGGACCGTGAGAGATTTTTTACCATAATGTTGACCACCTCCTGTGCTCTGGGGCAGTCTTGCTCTAGAAGCAAAGGCGCCTATGGTGCCTCGAAGATTGACAAGCTCTGCAGTACGCAATGATGCAGAGGACGTTGCACTTTTTGCTGCACCTGCTGTAGCGGCAGCAGCCTGCTTAGATAAAGATAGACAGTCACCTAAACTGTTGAAGCCTAATAGTACACCGAGTCTGCCATGGTCTTCAGTAAATGTGAAAGGGAATTATGGTGTTAATGTTGTCTTACAAGGCCAACATTCTTGATTCTTTCAGCTCAAAGCCACTCTTAACTTGCATCCCAGTCGCCGACAAGTATGGTCGGAGTAGCAGTTGTACAGCTGTCGGACGCTTATGAGGTTCGCGTAGCACACAAAGTTTTATCAAACTCTTCGCGCCTTCTGATATGCCAGGCAGAAACGAGGACATTAGAGATGCTGGAGCCTATAAATATTGCTCAAGACCCTCACAACATCAAAGCTTGAAGATATCTATGAATGTATATGTAATTCCTGTCAAACTTTGAAGGACGTCCTGTTTGACCTATGTAAGTACGATCTGTAATTCCTATGTTGTTGTTCCTGTCTTCAAACATGATGTTGGCCTTGGCCTAGTATCATCTGTCCTTCATAACAAAGCTTGTTCATGTCGCACGTCGCCGATTCTGTAGACGTCGTTTTGGAGCAACGTGAAAAAGACGACTCCAATCGCCCAGACGTCCACCTTCGACGTCAACCTCGGAAAACGCTCTAAATCGCCGACTTCTGGCGCAAGGGGTTAGAGCTGGGAGAGGGGTATCTTAAGATGTTCCTGCCTGTACGTGTACTGTGTTGAGTTTTTCCATCCAATATCTTAATATTTAAGATAGGACAAGATAGGAAGAAGTGACTCGCCGTCCACAGTGTGACCTGCATCTATCATGGAGCGCCTGTACTGTGTTCCTGCCTGTACTGTGTTGAATTTTTCCATTGGTGTCAACGTCAAGCTTCATCTACTAACGCTACAGTTTGAAGAGTCACCTTATTGAAGTTGTGTTGCCCTGCGTGGAGTGCTGATGTACTTAATCGCGATAGCGATATGTACAACAACTGAGAACGTTTTTCTTATCCTCCTATACCTATTCCAACTCGCATAATTAAACAAAGGCGTTCCGCACATTCCGTTGGCTCCTACGTCTCCGGTCTCTTTGTTCAGAATTTCAGTAGCCCATCCAAAATCGCATATTTTGACGCAATTTGTTTTAGTTAGAGTCGGCCTCTTTATTCATGTGCTGGGTCTCCTCCGACCTCTCGATGGCCTTTATTCATGCGGCGTTGTTCTACTTCTAAGGGAGCGAGAGCGACAGAGAGTCGAAATAAAAATGCGGAGAAATAAAAATGCGGATTCATGTATGGCTCTGGTATTTGGTAACCTGAGTTTGATCCTAAGGGTTCTCTTCTTGTTTTCCCTTACGATCAAATTCAGGTTACCAGATACCGGAACCATTCAATTCAACATCAAAATGCCATAAGTTTGGTTCGTACAACAGATTATCCGGCTTCAGGTCCCGATGTGCCCAAGAATGGTGATGTAAGTGGACGACACCTTTATATTATTGGACGTGGACGACACCTTGTCGAGTACTCATAACTGTTAATGACAGTGCAAGTTGACACACACCTTGAATCATGCCCCTACGAGTTGAGATAGTCACAGATTGTAGTCACTGAAAACGAAAAGCATTATACCTCTAACAACTTGAGAGATCCAGTTTTTGGCATATCCCTCTCCAATCCGGTGTGTCCTGCAACCCTTTTGAATGTGCCAAGGTTAGAGGATCCTTTTTGAATGTGCTGAGATTAGAAAATGAGAAGTGATCCAGATCCAGGTGACATAGAAAGCCAAACTTTAGGTAGAACATTTGATTACATATGTCATACGTTTCACCACTTTTTCGCTCTTTTACGATAACTACATGACATCACTAGTCGAGAAGTAGAAACTGAAAGATGAATGGAAGGAAAATATTTAACCAAACCTAAAAAACGACCGTTCTTCATCGTACTCAAACACCCTCTAACTAGAACCTAACTACAAGAACGTGGTCCTCCATAAATCAGCGTAGTTTCCACCAAAGGCATGAGGATAAAGGTATGCGCATCGTCCAAATTGGCCCAGATATGCGTGGCGTCTATGATGTTTTCGTGGTGTGCATCACCTTCTGAACCAAAATACTCCATCGCTTTGACTTCGTCTTACGGGTTAGAGGGCGAGGCCGTTCAGGTTCTTGTGGTTCTAGTTGCTCACATATAATAATTGGTACTCCCTGATGATCATTGTCAACATTGTTGTTGATTTGTTCATTGTCATTCATCTTTATCTTCGTGCTTCTCAGCATATTACTTCGCAGAGGCAGCGTTCGCTAGTTCATCTATTCGGACTCGGAGTGCAGCGAAGAGGATAGGTTACAACTAGAGACACAATCTTGAGGCTTAACTAACAATTGGAGCATTCCCCGTTTCGGATACTCCTCATTCTGCAGCACTTTCAAAGCGTATGCGGTAGAGGTTTCTTTGTCAACAACATTGATTAGAGGACGTCGGAGCATTTGATTTAATTTGCATTTAACTAGATAACTATACTTTCTTAGTCCAAGGACTAAATATGCCAACGGGGAAGACTAAATATGCCAACCCGGGTCCGGTAGTCTTAATTTGAGTACTACAGCGAATGCCCCTGCTCCGAGAAGTTCAGTACATTCGTAGGAGTCGGAGAGCTCCTGAGGTTTTGTGTCTTCATCCCAGCAAAACTTACAGAGGCTGGCCTCTACCTCTGCCGCTAGTTTCATCGAATCTAGGTTCCTGGTGCTGCCAGGTTGAGAGACCTTCATGCTTCCAGGTTGAGAGACCTTCTGCATGCTGCCAGATTGGGTGACCTACTTGTTCATGCTTGTAGTAGGAGCTTGTGCTTGGGGAAGGACCTTCATTCGTCAGCCCTCTTGGTATTGTTGGCGTTGAATGAGGCTCTTGTCGCGGCAATGTTTGGTGTAGAAGTTGTGGAAGATGAAGTATTACTATTTCGATAAAAGTGTCGCTAAAATATATTGGGGACGAATGTCGTAAGACGCATCATGTCAATGTCTTTAGGTGTACAACTTTAGGTTGTTGTCATCGTCATGGTGCGACGACGTGGCCGCCTGTCTCAAGCATTCGCAATCATGAGCTCTATGCTTCGTAGCAACTGGTTTTAGCGGCTACGAAAGGCCGCTTCGCGTTCGCGCTCTAGCATGTGCATTTTTTTGGTTCTAAGCTCTTTTGGCCATGAAAACGGCTTTATTCATTAAGGAGCAAACAATAACAATGTATCTACGTCGTCGTCGTGGTCCATCTTCATCAAGAACATTAAATTTGGTTACTTACATCGACGATTAAAAAAAGAGGGAACTTACTACCAGTGTCCTCTTCACCGCAACCCTAGAGTCACTTGGTATAGAGTGGTTTAGAGTCAACAAGATCAATCGCACAAGCATAGATGTTCCAGGGCTCAGGGCTGAAGGCCCCCCCTCAAAATATGCCATAAAGTTAACTTTTTCCACTAAAAGTTCTTGTTCTATTCTTCGCTCCTTTTCTTCTGATGTTGCCTCTATTTGAATTTCGGATCTGGCCTTCTACTGCTCTGTTCTATCGCTACGCTAGACCGATTGGTGACACTCTGTTGTCAGGAAGGCTAGCCCTCGTCGTCGTCCTTCGCAAAAAACTCCTCATCTCGTTCAGGTATAGAATCCACTTCTACAACGCTCAGCAAATGCAAAGCTGTTGAGTTTAAACTTCAATAAACAAAATCTTCTTCGCAGCAGCAGCTGTTGGAGGTTATCATGGTTCTAATATTCGTATTCCCGTGGTCGATTCAGATTCTCAACATTCTTGTGGTTGTCCTCTAAAAATCGTTTTCTTAAACGTGTTTTTTTGCAGCAATCATGATTGCGTAAAAATGGTCATGGTCAAGTGTTTCATGGTCATGGTCAGTTTGAAATGTAATCAATTAATAGGCCACGACCTATCTGGAAGAATCTACAAATACCCGGATACTTCTTAGTCAAGTTTTCGTAATAGATAAAACTAGTAACATCTAATAACGATGCGAATCTATTCGGCAAGTTGCCTGAGATTTCCCTGACGACTTCTTCTTCTATCCATTCCAATAAATATGTGCATGAGACACGGAGGTGAGGACGGATGACAAATTCTAAACTTAGTATTCCTATTCCTTTCTGAGCACTCGCAGGACCTCTTTACCTATTTGCTCAAGAAATTACTAAATTTATGGCTTCTAATGTCGTGTTGAGAACTCTCATCAAGATGTTAATGTTTATTTTGTACAAGAAAAACATGAAGGACTATGCGAACAAGCTTTCTTGTGAGTGTTTGTGTAGCATGAAATTTAATTAGTGTAGCACGAAGAGACAGGCTGTCTTCAAAGAAAAGAACGAAGACAATCTATCAAGTCTGAGGTCGCTGTGAGAGAAAAGCCTCAATATTTACTAGTAAATCGTGAATCAGTATCATGAGTCGGTCATCAATTTTTTTCTTGATGATTGATTAACATTAATGAGCCGACATAATGACTCGACTCTATTCCGCAACTTGCCGAAGATTTTCCTGAAGATATCTACCAGCTAATCATTCTGACGGATAACCACTATTAGAACAACATCAAAACAACTTGCACTTCCTATGTATGAGTTTGAATCTCCACCTCGTCCACAACTGTAGTCAGTGCCATTTTATTAAGTGTAAGTCGGTTCTTCCAGTTACTACAAACGACCACATTTCTCACCACTAGTACGGATCCTACTATTATTGTTCTGAGGAGTGCCTCTGATGATTGACGACTGCTGCTGTAGCCCTCTGTCGCGCAGTGTCACTCTGTGTTGTCACCAGTGGCGTCGTTTCCTTAGCTGCATCATCATCGTCACCAGGCGAAAGCTGATTAAAAGGGTCTCCCTTCGTCAACATTGCCAGCTCGGTGGTGCACTGCGCATGATCAGCGTCCTCGGTAATTGTTGTACGCATTAGAAATTGAAATAGTAAGGGCTAGGTAGTCCACTTAACGGGTATCAGTATACTGAGTATTATGTAGGAAATGCCGCTATCGTGATCTATTAGAAGTTATGAATGCCATTTTATAGTACTAAAACCATTCATTGAATGGCTGTACTATAAAAATGCTCCACACATCAACTCATCTTCCATGACACAGTATATCGACATCCAAGTCACTCAGTGCTTCTTACGAATCAGAAAGATAAATCACACAAGATCTGCTAAATCCATTGCCATACTAGTGAAATACAGGAGGAAACAAGGCTAATGCTACATCTTTTTGCGCCTACGTATTACAATGATTCCTTGAGAGCCTTAAACCTAGCAATGATCCTTTTGATTCGTCTGATTTCCTCTTGTCTGCCTTCACTCCAGCGTCAGTAACATCTTTGCCACGCTTGAATAGCCTAGCGTACATGAGACCGGCGACGACACTCATGACAATAACGACCAAGAACAAGAACCCACTGATTAGGAACAACGCTTCTTAGAGGAATTCTAAGCGTTGTTAGCAAAAAGCGACCTTTTCCTCCTCCGAGCTTAGCAGTGATTATTTCATCTGAATTTTTGGTCGCTCGAAATGGAAATAAAAAATAACATGACAAATACACAGATGTTTGGGGGTATCTTATTTGGATGTGAATGCCTTGCTTTCATCTTCCTGGGAGTAAGGGTGGGGGGTGACCATACTCGGGGAAGATGGTTGGGGGTCGTTATCAATTTGTATCGAGTTTTTGTGCTATCCTTCTTAAAGCTTAGTGTCCTCTTCTGTGGATCCAAACGGAGACAGCCCTTCTTTTCCCTCTGGTGAGTATCCAAAAGCGTGCAAGAGCCGTGGCCAGAACGTACTCCAATCATCAGGGTTAGAGGAGGAACTCTGTCTGTTGATCTTACCGAAGCCCCGGGGCGCGACCTGGCACACGATACTCGACGAGTGGGGCCAACGGCTTCCCCGAAAACCTTTCTCAAAGTCTCTGTTGGGCGATGGTCGGACCCTCCCGTTGGGGGGGGTCCCGATGGGGGTGCCCGAAGGGCATTGAGAAAGGATTTCGCGCGCCAGAATCTAGCCGATAGCGTCAGCTGGATTTTGCCCCACTGTACGGTGGGCGTAGGGTATCCAACCATCAGGGTTAGTATATTTCGAAATCGAAATGTTGACTATATCCTTAAAGTTCTGCACCAAGCTGTTGGACTGAGCAAAGGACGACGCAGACGATGTTCGCATCTCTTGTTTGTCCAACGGAATCGTGACGCATTCTTGGATCGTGTTTTCTGCTTATGAAGAAAAAAATATGCATGTCCAGAAGACTAGAGAAGATGAGAAGCAGGATTCATTTTGCACGAAACTGCGCTACTGGTTGAGTAAGCACATCTTGTTTTAATGACTTCCTCTATGAAATTGTAAAGATCATCAATGATCATATTCCTAGTTTAAGTATGAAAGATGGTCGTGGTACGAAAACTATGAGCTATCAATTCGTTTCATAAGTAGTTCCATGCTTTCGGTGATCCGGCTCCAGCGACATCATTCACTGTCACTTCTTTCAAACGATATAGCGGAAGGACAATCGCTGCATCACCTGGTGGCGGACAAGGAGAGCCGGGTACAGTCGTGTCGGTTGCAGACCAGCCGCGTTGCTGCAAGGCCCAGTTCGGTTTCCCTTCAATGTACCCAAGACCGAAGGCCGCGTCAGCGTCACAGCTATGGATGAACCAAGTGTTGCGGTGTAGATGAGTCTCTTCCCATCTAGAGCCATGCTGCCCTGCATCCCCTGTGACGAATATTTCATGGAAGACGAGTGGCGTCGTTCTGCTTATTCGGTATCCTGTCTCTGGCGGGGTGCTCGTGAGATGCGTCACGAAACTCTTGGCGAAATTTAGCAGTTGATATTTCTAAGCCTATAATGAGTTACAGTTATTTGACCTGTTGAGTGACTTTTCAAGTTCTCTGTCGAAGTCCTAGTTTGATTTAACCCGAATCCCTTCTCACTGGAAACAGTCTATCTCGACACAAGATGAAGACCTTAAAAACTCCTTCGGTAGAGTTGTGAGCTTGTCCTGGTATGCAAACCCACTAGTGGCGTCGAGGTCGAGCTGTAGAGGAGACGGCGTAAGGCCGCTAAAAAAAAGCGCCTTTCTGATGACGTTTGGCTCCTTATCAGCGCCGTGAGAATAATGCGAATTGTACCCATCATGTTTTTGTAGCTGCTGGTTGATGTATTCTTCGCGACGTTTTTTTGTGTCCTTCTCGATCTGAGCGAAGTAGCCACCTTCTGGATCAGTACCATCGCCAGCAGCAACGTATGTATGGATCTCGTGACCTCTGAGATATTTTTGTCGATCGGAATCATGCTCTGGCGATTGCAGGTTTCCATTAGAGAAATCGGGCTGCGGCCCTCCTGCTCGCCCTATTAAACATGGCAAAACGTTGAAAACCTGTTGAGCAAGAAGTGGAGGACCACTGGAGCATCGATTCGATGCTACCTGTAATGCCGGTCAAAATGCTTCTAGTTCTAACTCACTATCTTGAATTGTTCCGCTATTTAGTAACCTAAATTTGATGAAAAGGATTCTCTTCTTGTTTTCCCTTATGATCAAATTCAGCCTACCGAATACCAGAACAGTGCATATCTAAGGGCTGGGAGAGACAGACACAAGTACAAGTTTAACGTAAAATATAAAACAGGCTAGAAGTAAGTACGGTTAGTAGCTAGATTCTGATTCTGATTATGATATCTGAGTTACAAACCCATCGGCCATCCGAGGCAGCTCGTTTCTTAATATTTTTAGCTTTAATACAAGTGATGTGGCGGTGTCCACCATTACTTCTCGTAATGCTATCCCGTCAAAACTGCGGAACCCATATTTTACTACTTATTTAGTGGCCCTCGTATTAGTACGTAGCGGTGGATGAACCCTAGCCAAAAATGATGGGACTTGCTCAGCATCAACGCTCATGGAGAAGAAAGAAGTTGCAGCCATGTAAACAACTCCCGCAGACATTTCCGAGAGGTGAGCCCCAAGAGACTGGTAGGGAGCAAGAACAACGATCGGCCGGGGGAAGCGGAGGCGCACGCGCCACCGGGCTCCCCCGAGGGAGGTAGGGTGGACGAACCCTGCGCGGCGGGCAAGGAGTGGCTGAGGGCGTCGGGTCGCAGGTCGGGGTTTTTTTTTGTTCTTGGATGTTCTCTGTCTGGTGTCCTCTGTCTGGTGTTTTCCCCCTGTTGTTCTTGTTGTTTCAGGTGCTGCCTTGGGCCTCTATTCCACTGCGCCACCCGCTCGCAAGAAGGGGCTCCGCACGCCAAGGTCCAGCGGCTGGCCACGCGCGTGTCCTCTCTACCCCCGTCGCGATTGTTTCGGGCCTCTAATATTTATGCCGCTGCGCCGCCCTCTCGCAAGGGGCTCCGGGCCTACCCCCGTCGCAGCTTTTTCGGGCTTCTATTCCACTGCGCCACCCCTTCACAAGGTTTGCCGCGCGCCAAGGTTCAGCGGCCGGCTGCGCGCGTGGCCTTTCATCTTTTCCCTCCCGTCGTAGCTCTTTCCTTCGGGCCTCTATTCATTCTGTTCCACTGCCTGCGCCGCCCGTTCGCAAAGGGTTGGCTCCGCGCGCCAAGGCTCAGCAGGTGACCGCGCGCTCAGCGCCGCGCACGTCTCTACCCCCGTCGCGGCTTTTTCAAGCTCCTACTCTACTCCACGCTCCTACTCTACTGCGCCACCCGTTCGCAAGGGGTTCCGCGCGCCAAAGCTCAGCGGCTGGCCGCGCGCATGTCCTTTCTGCCTACCCTCGTCGCAGCTTTTTCAGGCCCCTACTCTTTTCCAGTGTGTGCGCCACCCGTTCGCAAGGGGTGCCGCGCGCGTCTCTACCCCCGTCGCGTGCGGCTCTTTCAGGCTTCTATTCCACGGCGCCACCTGGTAGCTCGCAAGGAGGGGCGCCGCGCGCCAAGGTTCAGCGGCGAGCCGTGCGCGTGTCCTCTCTGCAGTCTGCCCTCTCAGTGGTCTACGCCCGTCGCGGCTTTTTCGGGCCTCTTTTTTTCTCCACTGCGCCACCCGCTCGCGGGGGGTCTGCGCGCCAAAGCTCAGGAGCGCCCGGCCGCGCGTGTGTCCTCTCTACCCCCGTCGCGGCTTTTTCGGGCTTCAGTTCGTATTTCCCAGTGCGCCACACGTCCCCAAGGCGCTCCGCGCGCCAAGGTTCTGCAGCGGAAGGCCGTGCGCTCAGCGCCGCGCGCGTCCCTACCCCCGTCGTGGCTCTTTCAGGCTTCTCCTCCACAGCGAAACCCGCCCGCAAGGGGTTCCGCGGGCACGCCAAGGCCCAGGGGCTGGCCGTGCGTGTGTTCTCTCCATCCCCGTCGCGGCTTTTTCCGGCCTGTACTCTCTTCCACTGCGCCGCCCGCTCGCAAAGGGCCCCGCGCGCCCGTGTTCAGCGGGCAGCCGCGCGCCCAGCGCCGCGCGTGTCTCTGCCCCCGCCGAGGCTTTCTCAAGCTTCTACCTGGTTCCCCAGCGCCACCCGTTCGCAAGGGGTTCCGCCCGCCAAAGTTCAGCGGGTGGCGGCGCGCCCGGCGCCGCGCGCGTCGGTCTCCATCCCCGTCGCGGCTTTTTCGGGCCTCTCTTCTACTGCAAGCCCCGCCCCTTCACAAGGGGTTCCGCGCGCCAAGGTTCAGCGGCTGGCCGCACGCGCGTCCTCTTTACACCCGTCGCGGCTCTTTCAAGCCTCTGCCCTCTTTCACTGCGCCACCCTTTCGCGGGGGGTTCCACGCGCCAGGTTTCAGCGGGTGGGCGCGAACTTCTTCCGCCCTTCTCCGTTCTCCTCCGTTGTCTCCTGTTGCTCCTTGTTCGTTGTCCCCTGCTGTCCTCTGTCTGTTGCTCGTTTTCTGTCTCTTTCTGTTTTTCTCTCCAAGGTTCAGTTGCGGGTGGCGCGCGGGCTCCTTCAGTTCATTCTCCTCCGCTCTCCTTCTCCTCCGCTGTCTTCTGCCCTTGTCCCTTGTTGTCTTCTGCTGCTTGTTTTCTGTCCTTTTCTGCTGTCGTCTTCTGTTGTCTCCTCTTGCCGTCTGTCGTCTTCTGTTGCTCTCTGTTCCCTGGTGTCTCATGTTGTCCCCTGCTGCTCCCTTCTGTCTCCTTTAATTCTCTCTCGCTTTCTGTTGTCTTCTGTTGTCTCCTGTTCCCTCTCGTTGTTTTCTGTTGTCTTCTCCTGTCTCCTCTTGTCCTTTTTTGTCTCCTCTTGGTCTTGTCTTCTGTTGTCTTCTGTTGTCCTCTGTCGTCCTCTGTCGTCTCCTGCCGTCCTCTGCTGTCTCCTGCTGTTCGCCGTTGGTCCCTGTGGTTTTCTGTTGTCCCTTGTTGTGTCCTGTTGCTCTTTCTTGTTGTCTGTTGTTTTCTGTTGTCCTCTGTTGTTCTCTGTTGTTCTCTGTTGTTCTCTGTTGTTCTCTGTTGTTCTCTGTTGTTCTCTGTTGTTTTCTGTTGTTTTCTGTTGTTTTCTGTTGTTCTCTGTTGTTTTCTGTTGTTTTCTGTTGCCTCCTGCTGTCTCCTGTTGTTCCTTGCTGCTCCCCGTCGTCTTCTGTTGTTTTCTGTCGCTCTCTGTTGCCTCTCGTTGGTCCCTGTTGTTCTCTGTTGTCCCCTGTTGTTTTCTGCTGTCTCCTCCTGCTGTCTTCTGCTTCCTCCTTCTGTCCTTCGTCGCTCTCTGTTTTTCCCTGTTGTTTTCTGTTGCTCTCTGTTTTCTGCTGCCTCCTGCTGTCCCTTGTTGTTTCCTGTCGTTTCTTTTCTGTTACTGTTGTCTTCCGTTGTCTCCTGTTGTTCTCTGCTGCGTTCTGTCTTCTGCTGTCCCCTGCTGCTGGTCCCCTGCTGCTGGTCCCCTGCTGCTGGTCCCCTGCTGCTGGTCCCCTGCTGCTGGTCCCCTGCTGCTGGTCCCCTGCTGCTCTCCGTTGTGGTCTCTTGTTGTCCCCTGTTGGTTTCTGTTGTCCCTTGTTGTTGCAAGATCAGATGTGAAGCCCAAGAAACTGATCGCCGAAAGTTTCCGAAAGTTCAACGCATAGACAAGCCTCCGACCAGTCAAAAAGCTGAAGCGCGTGGCGTGATTCCCGCCGCGCGCCGCGGCTCTCTTTGTTGCTCTCTCGCCCTGTCAGGCTCTGCCCCTGTCTTTCACACCGGGCCCACCTTCACCCAAAACGCTAAGCCCGCTGCCCCTAGGCATGGGCGCTCTGGCTCTTTTATGTGTCAGCCTCTCTCTCTCACTCTGTCAGCCTCCACCCCTGTAGTTCCTGCGATGGGTCGTCGCCGTCTCCGTGTGAGTGTGTGGGGGGCTGCCTGCCTGGCAAAAACTAACCAGCGAGCCCCCATCGCTCGACATATGCACCGACGCCCTCGCGCTTCCTTCCTTACTACATGAAAGCAAGGAGGCATGTGAAGCTTTATACATGCGCACGCTTGCACTACCTAGATGCCAAGCGCTTTCATGTGCCCAGAAACCCACGCAAGCGCGCCGAAGTCGATGCGTCTACTCCTATAGAGGAAGGCGCTGCCGCTTTTGTCAGCATTTTGCCAAAAAGAATGAAAGCAAAAAAAAAAAACGCAAAAAACAAGCCGCCGCCTTTCTCCGCTTTTTTCCTCTACTTCTTTCCGTTTTCATATTTGGGCTCTTCAACTCAAGCTTCCGCCTGTTTTCCGTCTTTGTGGGTTTTTTCCGTTTTTTTCCGTTTCTTTCCGTCAATTTCCGAAAGCAATTTTTAACGGAAAAAGCCGGAAACTTTCGGGAAGAAACAGCGAAAACAGAAAGCAACGGAAAGAGACAAAAGCGCGGAGCCCCAAATATGAACACAGAAACTGACAGAAAAAAGCAAGAAAGGCGGCGGCCTGTCAGTCTGTCTGTCAGAAACTTTCAGAGGGCTCTTAGCGTTTTTTGTTGAGAGTTCGACAAGCGTACCCTGCCGCCTACACGTATAACTGACGCCGACCTTAAGAAGCTACGGAGGTAGCTACAGAACCTGACAAATTGCGCAGGCCTCTCGGCGCGTCGGCTCTACCCTATGCCCGTGCGCGCGTGTCTATGTGCTAGGTAGACACTGGAAGAACACTACCAGCCACACGCAAAGAACCCCCCCAGCAGTAAGGCGGCGGGGGAGTCTGCTGGCCTTGCTCGCTGGGCTTATTTCTTTACTGCCATCCGATGCGTCTAGGTAGGGGCTAACGGGTAGGCGCGTGCGATAAGTTCAACCAATGACGGAGAGAAAGCGCTGACCAAACTGCGCACATTTAAGCGAACAGCCTGAGGCCTGGGCACGGCGTGGGCCAATTCGGTTAAGTATGCACGCAGCCAGAAGCCATCCCGCTGCAGCTTGGTGCGTTTGTGGATAGCTATGCATCTGCGGGGAGGCGGGGGGACGTCGGTCCGTGGCATCTTGCGGGGGGTGTTTCCATCGACTCACTGGCGGGAAGTCTGAGATCTGACCCCTCGGAAACATTCGGAAGCCAAGCTTTCAGCAAGGTCTTTGCTGGCGTTCACATCTTGCAACTGCTGCCCTCTGTTGTTTTTCTGTTGCCTTCTGTTGTCCCTTGTTGTCTTCTGGCGTTGTTTTCTGCTCTCCTGCCCCTGTCGCTGTTGTTGCTGTTGTTGTTGCTGTGGTTGTTCCTGTGGCTGTTGTTGCTGCTGCTGTCCTTGCTGTTGTTGTATTTGTCTGCGCCTGGCGTTGTTGTTGTTGTTGCTGTTGTTGTTATTGTTGTGCCTCTCTGCCTCTGTTCTTGTTGTCCTTGTTGTTGTCTCAGCGGGGTCGAGGAGCGGAAAGGCCTTGCTTTATTTGGCCAGCCCTTTTACGTCAGGCAGCTGCAAGGATGAGACAGAATCCCACCCCACTCAGTCGGTGGGCTCGCTTCATCGCCATCGTGGGCGTCGCTGTGTCTTTCTGCCTCTGTTGTTGCTGTTTGGCTGCCTTGTTGTTGTTGTTGTTGTTGTTGTTGTTGGTTGTTGTTGTTGTTGTTGCTTTTGTGTCTTTCTGCTGCTGTTGTTGTCGTGTGCTGTGTTCCGCTTTCCTCATGTGTTGCTGGCGCTGTGCTCTCCTCGTGGGGTGCCTTGTTTTTTTAGCGTGCTGGGCTGTGCTCTTTGCGTGTGCTGTGCTTTTTTTTTTTCGTGTGCTGTGCTTTGTTTTTTTCGTGTGCTGTGCTTCGCTTTTTTCGCCTGCTGTGCTCTGTTTTTTTCGTGTGCGGTGCTTCGCTCTTTTCGTGTGTTGTGCTTTGTTCTCTTCGTGTGCTGTGCTTCGCTTTTTTCATGTGTTGCGCTTTGTCTTTTTTCGTGTGCTGTGCTTCGTTTTTTCCGTGTGTTGTGCTTTGTTTTTTTTCGTGTGCTGTGCTTTGTTTTTTTCGTGTGCTGTGCTCTTTTTTTTCGTGTGCTGTGCTCCGTTCCCTTCGTGTGCTGTGCTCCGTTTTTTTCGTTTACTGTGCTTTGGTTTTTTTGCTGTGCTGCGGTTCTTGTGTTTGGCGTGAAAAGTTCAGTTTAGACACATATGCAATAGGCGTTTAATTATCCCTCGCGGCTTTGCATCAAGCGCAGCGCCATAGAGAGTAGGGGGCCTACCACTTTCTTCACAGAAGTTTCAAGCTGAATCACGAAGAGCACCAGACGCAGTATTATTGTATCTTTCTCAGACATGTCTAAAGGTGGACTATCTTGAGTCTGAGCCGAAGTCGAAGGCGTAGATGGATTCATAAACGAAGGCACTTTTAAGGAGTTCTCAGCCTTTTGGTGGAGTCCAGTCAGTGCGAAAGCGCGCCATCCCAACCGCAGCACCTCTCTATCCGGAAAATTAGAACTGGGAGGGGCGTCCTTTCAGATATTTATAACAAACTGCCAAGCATCAAAAGGCGCTTTCGGTGCTTCAACGTGTTAGAAAAGAGCGACTATGATACTTACTCTACGCCGATAGCTTTTATCGATGTAAAAATGTGATTTCGGTAACTTTTTCCGAATACGATGACCCCCCCCTCCGAAGTCGCCGGTACCAACAAAAGCCATTTCAGCGGACAACATGTTGCCCACCCCCCGAGGGATGGGTCGCGGCGGGCGGAGCTGTGTCCAAAGGTGGGCCAAGCTAATTGAAGGTGGCCCCCGAAGCGTCGCGGGCCACCCGCTCCCACCGCAAGACAGTTCTGAAAAGGGGCTGATGGCTTTTTTGCCAGCTGGCCCAGCCCTGTGCCCGTGCATCTTCATTTCTAGCAAAATAAAGGCCAGATTAATCCGTCTGCCGAGACGGCCAAGGGGCTGCGGCTGACGGCGTTACACAAATGCAACTGGGTAGCTAAAAAGGTATACTCAGATAGATGTGAGGGGATTTACTTCGACCAACGTTGGGATTCTTAACGGAGGTGGGACAGAATCCTCCAGCTCGTTCGGCACAACCGGAGTTGAATCCGGTGCAAACGGACTTCGACCAGGCAGCTACTGCCGCTTCTTCAACCATTTCTTGCACCCCAGGTATTAGAGAATCAGACAGTCACTCGGATGAAAGGCAACGCCAGTAGTAGGAAGCTGCACACGTGAGAAAACCTCAGACACATCGTTGCCACATGCGCAACCAAGGCAAGCGCTACCTAGCTAGGCCAGCGGCAACTGCTATGAGCCGGCTGAAAAGTTGACAATGGAAAGCGAGCGGACGAGCGCTTAGCCTTCTGGCTTTAGCTATGTCGGAGGCAGCCGCGAGCCTGAAACCAAGCGAGGACCGGAGGCGTGGCGCCGGCGCAGTGGCTGCTTGCGCTGTGCCGCCTTTCTGCAGCCCCTCCACTTCCGTCCTGGAGCAGAAAGGCGGGCTACCCCTTCGGCCGATGGGAAGTGCACAGAACGTCCGCCGGGGTATCTCTTGGCCCCGAGAAAGTTCCAAAAGCGGGCCCGCCATCGCCGAAGACGGCGCGGAGCCCTGTGGAGCTTGAGAAGCGGCCCAGAAGTGGACCGGCCGCCAGTTTTTCTCTGCCTTCCAAGGGGCCTCGCTCCTTCTATCACAGAGCCGAAAAAGCTGTAGTGCGTCTTGCTGTTTGTCCGTATGTGTCATCTAGGTTCTGATAATCAAATTCTCCAACTACTTATAGTATTAGCCAGAACAACGTCCAGAGCCAAAATGCTTAGTCATAAGAGTGTAAAGATTGAGTTTGAAACATACGATAGGAGACATGTGCTGAAGAACTACCGCGGATGCATAAGGGCAAAAGCTCACGGACCTCGCCGTCTTTTTGTTTGTGGCGAACGTAGACCACAGGCACGGACGCGGCTACTTTTTTCCCGTCTTCGGGTTTGCGGGCTAGGCCATGACTTAGGACTTTGTGGCAAACCTCTACACGGTCCGCTGGGGCGGAGGTTAGAAGATAGGCCATTTCCTTTCCCTCTTCCTAAATTTTTCATCTTAAAAATTTATCTTCCTCCAAAAAAGATGAATTCCACAAGCAAGAAAACCTGTCAGGAGAGGAAGGTGCCTTAATGTTGGGTCATCTTGCATTTCTGCGAAATGGCTCCATGGTGACTGTTCGTCGTATGTAGCTGCCGCAAAAAAGCTACACTTTGAGGCGTCAAGTAGCAATCCATAGTTAAAAACGCTACCGGGAGGTCTGCTTTCCAGCATTTCCTCGTCAGGATCTGGTAAGTGGGATTATTCGAAATTCGGAAAACAAAATCCAACATCGCTTTCGCTCCTGTTGAGTATGAATGTCCATCGTACCACCTCACAAGATTACGCCACTATCAATTTGTAACTTAAATCTTCATTCGTTTTTGTTCGTGATCGATAAATCAGCTTTATGATCGAGTTTGAGACAGCACTGATGCCCTTGCAGCACATAGATCGTGATAGAAAGTAGATAAAAACATCATTGCATCAAATACTAAATGGAAGAGAAAGTCGCGACGGGAGCAAAGCGGCTCTTCTGTTGTCGAATCCGCTGCCTGGATTTCGGAAAAGGCCCTCGATATCAGGTGGTCTCATATCGAGCATTAGCACTCCATTCTGCGCCGTGTCCGGTTGCTTTTGCAACATATGACTGGAGCTTTGTCTTCATCCATGTATGTCGTCGATCTAGACAAATCAAAAAAAAGTGAGGTTGGTTACCTCTTTCTTTGGTCTTCATCGACCTCACACCCCCGAAAAGAAAAACTATGGATCGCTTTTCAGATGAAAAAAAAACTCCATCCATATGATACTCGGAGTTTGCCAGCTGCTGTTTTGTCGTCTGGTGTACCTGAAGCCAGAGAATCTGATCATTTAAAAGTCTCAAAAGGAAGGTCGTCAAAATTTTATGCGTTTAGCTTCTTGTGGGTATACCATAATCAAATTTCTAGCTCATACCCAGGCACACGGACTTTTACCACGTTCTGTTCTATAATAATGGTACGCGTCGACGCCTTCGTAGGGCTTTCTCGGTACTGGAGGATGATGCGCACGCCCTTGACCTTCACCTTCAAGGCCTTGCCGTCTTTGTCTTTGAGCTCCATCAGGAAAAGTTTGTTAGCGGTAGTTTTTCATCGCCTTCACCAGTGCTTGAATCCTGAGTAGAATGAGACTGATTCATGGGCTGTCAAAATAGTATCATGCGTCTCTATAATATCCTTCAAATCAGGATACTTCACAGTCATTCCTACTGATGATGAAAAATAGCTCATAACTTTGTCAGAAAGCACCACCTCCATCGCATGTGCTCGTATCTCCCTCATGTCGAAAAGGAATATGAACCTGTCATCAGGAGGCGGGAGGTCACTAAGTATATCTACATCTTCAATATTTATGTGATGATGTCGATGATCCCTCTTCAAAGAACTTCCGATGATAAGCAACACTTGAAATTGAATTGTAAAGAAGCATGCGTAAGTATGCTGATGCTCCATTAAGTCTAAAAGTTATCACATATTATTTAAAAAAGAAAAACTCATTTTTCATAATAACATCGAATCTGGGGGCGCTCGCGCCTTCTTCTGCTCCATTTACGATTTCCACATCCAAAGCAATTTAACGCGAGTTTTTCACTATGCCGGGTAGAGTGAGTCTGTTCCCCTCTTCCCCCCGATTTTCCCCTTGAAATCAAGAACGCTCCCACTCAGCATACATAGTCCACATGGGATAGTGAAAAACTAGCCTTAAGAAATAAGGCCCACCTGGAGTCCCGCAAGGCCCTCGTTATTGTACCCCAATGTGTCTGCACGCGATGAAAGTGGTGAGATGAGTGAAAACCAAGGAGAAGAATTCAATGACACTCAGACTCGATGGTGCAGATTTGAGGGAGAAAAAGAGCCCAATCCTGAGTGTGAGTGTGGTTCTTTCCATGAATGATGCAATTAGTTCTAGATCAACGCGAACGCGCATCGACGTGATCTGAATAAAAACCGGCGCAAAAAATCATGCTGATGTTCTTGTACTATTGGAAAATACGCCTTCATGCTGGGTCTGACAGGCTTTGTCAAGGTTGTAAATAAGTGTTCAGGATTGATATATAAAAATATAACTTCACTCTATAGAGGTAAGTAGAATCTAGAATCTACATGTAGAGGAGCAACTCCGCAACATACAAGCTCCTCCTTGTTCAATCTTTCTAGATGAGGAAACGTCTCCTGGCCATCTTCGAGTTTGAACTTGCAAGCACTCTTAGCACAAGCAGCAGCGTCTAGGCACATTTCGTTGGCATTTTTGAGCAGCATCTTCGTAGGTTGAGATTCCTGACTGGCCTCGTCCCAAAAACTGGATATTGTTCCGCAGACAGAAAATCGGCCGCTGCCGAGCTTCTCGTTACGTTTACGTTTGAAATCACCCTGTTTGGGCTTCGGAAATTGGAGTTCAAAGGTACCGTCTCCATCGTCCCCACCAGCAGCTGCATCTCCTTTAAAATGAAAGTCAATGGCATTTACTTTACAATGATCGATGTGAGCGCTTGGATAAAGAATAGGGAATGTAACTCCACTGATTCATTGTCAGAGTGTGCCAATTGTTATTTCTATATTGATATTCATAAGAAAAGTGTGGCAATTGTTTTTGTTATTGTGCGATACATATTGTGGGCAAAATGGACAGAGAAAGGAAAATGTTGCTCTTCCTTGAGATCACTTTCTTGATTTTGGAAAAAAAACCTCCTTCATTTTTGAAACGATGTTGACTCTGCAACCAGTATGGTCAGCATTGTTTTTTCTCAATCACACGCAGAGAGGCCATACACACAGAGAGAGTTCGGAACCTCTGGAGGTGGAGGGAGTGTCACTACTTGATCTGGCTCGGCTTTTATTTGAGGTATACCTCGCGAGGCGGTAGCCTCTGCCCCAACGGGCTGAGAAGCAGCAGCAGCAGCAGCAGCAGAAGCACCACCAGAAGCAGCAGAAGCGCCGGCGGAACCACCAGAAGCAGCAGAAGCGCCGGCGGAACCACCAGAAGCAGAAGCGGGAACAGCAGAAGCGCCAACAGATCCTCCAGAGGACGTAGAAACAGGAGTAGCAGCAGCTCCAGCAGACGCAGAAGATCCATCTCCTGCCACGATATCGCAAGTCCCGTGAAGACAGCCTTGTCCGGACACGCATGGGACGAGCAAGCATAGTGGAACGCTTAGTGGTTTTAAGCGCACACTGCAGCGTGCTCCTCGGTTGCCAAGGAGGATCCGACTTCTCTTCATCCTTTTCTTGGGATGTGAATGTCGTGAAGATTGGAGCTCGATAAGTAGTTTTCGTTTTTGTGAGTAGAGTCAGTAGAGTCACAGTCGTTTGTCTCGACGTCAGAGCAAGACGAGTTCTAGTATTTGATGTTGCTTAAGTATCATCATATTGATGTGAAGACTGTTTTTATAGTGCTGTCTACTCTCGTCCTTGTTCTCGTCTCTCATCTCCTGAAAGACAGGATCACTCGTCATGCTACTCATCGTGCTCGCTCAGAAGTGTCAGTCATGTCATTTCCGATCGCTTTTTACTTCCTCGCTCCGGAAAATGGTGAAACAACATAGAACCTTCTCGATCTACATACTCCGGTATCGAGCAGGTCGAGCTAGATTGAAAAGAACAGGATCACCTCTCACAGAAATAATCCATTACTGTTTTGTAGCAGGCATGCAACAGACATCTATTTTCTTTGACGCTGGCCACGAAGAAACTTTCACCTGGATTGTTGTTGTTGTTGTTGTACTATTCGACTATCCTTTCTTCTTCTTGATGCAAAAAACAAATGCGTACGAAAACTTAGTCATCAACTTGTTCGTTTTCCACTGGAAGTATTCCTTGGATGTAATCTGCAACTGCGTGCAATGTCTTTTTATGACTTATCCAGCTTCTAATTCATAGTACTGACTTCAACTTTGTTCTACTGTCATGCAAGTCGTCTTTTACTCGGCAAAACGCACACTTTAACAACTTTCAGTGAGTTGCTCGCTACTGCTAAAAAATGAAGCATCTTCGTTGCAATCCAAATTGTAATTCATATTCCCACGCCATGGTGACTCAAAACATTGTCATGTCATGTCATGCTACCTCATTGTCCATCCTGTCGAATGGTATTCTTGAGGCCATTTTTTCAAACCTAATTGTACCTTCTGAAAAGAAGAGCAAAGAGACCAAATGATAGACTATCAAGTATTTTCAGGAGAAGTAGGCACGGTTCTTGTCTAGTTACAACCCATCCCCTTACAACGTATCGGTGTCTTCTTCTAGTTACAGCCCATCCCCTTACAACGTATCGGTGTCTTCTTCGAGTTACAACCCATCCCCTTACAACGTATCGGTGTCTTCTTCGAGTTACAACCCATCCCCTTACAACGTATCGGTGTCTTCTTCGAGTTACAACCCATCCCCTTACAACGTATCGGTGTCTTCTTCGAGTTACAACCCATCCCCTTACAATGTATCGCCCATCGTTTTCATTCTGTCTTGCACATCAACACTTTCTTCATGCAGAAAGAAGGCCTTCATGATTTGACTGCGCACGTCATGCTTAAAAATGTTACCCCCACCACTTCGAAATCCCATGTTCATGTTAGAGGAGTCGCAATGTTTGGTTCCTAGGTGGTTTGGCATTGGATGAACGAAGTAAAACGAGGACAAGAGCATCTTCAGTACTACTTGAATGGCCAGAATCAGGACAATGTTGAAGCCCGAACAAATTCAAATTTCAAGGTTGAAGATATAGATAAAGTAGTACTACTTACTCGTACTGGACTTGCTACAACTTCTACAACTACAATACCTTGATGACAAGAAAGACTTTCTACTAGACCAAAACCTTAGTGACAAGCTCAAGTATAAGTAAGACTCTCTACAAAGAAATAAGAGAATAATTTATAGGGGTGCCAGATCCGGGATGGGATGGATCGGATGGACTTCCCACCATTTATTCAAGTAGGATCGGAAGACTTAGGAGGGTCCATTCGATCCATCCAAGTCCATCCTACATCCGCTCTATAAATTATTCAAAAATATTAAGCCTTAATGACAAGTAACGCGAGCATGTGGAGAAGCCCTCGTGCCGGATCCAGGAACTGTGCGTAAGTGATCAACGGATTCTGCAACATATGCGTGATTTTGGGAGTAGTAGTACTGTTAGGGCGATCAAGTGGTAGTGTCCTTCTGTTGAAGCTTGTTTGTAAGTAAATCAGTACTTGACAACAAAAACCACATAAGTAAAAGTAAGTACTTGACAACAAAAACCACATTTGGTTATTAATAAGAGTGGTAGTATGAATGAAGAATCGATGGACGAAGTACAACAACAAAAGCCCCCAACTCCTGCAGCTGCCCGCGTGGTCTTCGCTAAGATAAATGGAATTTCACAAGCACTACATCAAGAGCAACTTTCTTCTCTTCTCCATAATTGTCGGTGTCTTGTTCGCATTCGAGGAAGGAGTGGACAGTTGCAGTTCTGCATCTATGAGTCCTCTTAACAGATGCATGGTCAAGCCTACGCCCACACAGTAAAGCGATGCCATCCAGAGCAAAGGAAGAACCTCTGAAGGAACTAACAGTCTGCAAAGAGTTAGAGGTGGTAGAAGAAAAGACAAGCATGATTCTCTGGTCGTCGGACTTTTACAGAGAGTTTAGTAAGTGGAAGTGGCACTAGGGAGATGTTGTCGTAGTACTAGTAGTAGTGTTGCCATGAAGAATCGCAAGAGCATTATAATATTATACCATATGTGGAGGGCCCTCATGCTAGGCTGCTTCGGACAGGAATAACAAGAGCATCTAGACCAACTTGCAAGTTTACCATGAAGCAAAGTCCGTAGTAGTTCTTGTATCAACTTCAACATACATCTGTGTAAGTATGTGCATCTTCGTAAAACAAGAATCGTCGCGACAAGGTGAAAGAGCGCACGTGAGGTCGACAGTGACTGGAAGAGAACATCAGCAAGATTCAGGTGCGGTGAAGAGTAGAGGTACTGCTGTGTGGTAAGATCGGTATTAGAGGATCCTCCAGGAGCAGCTATACTTTCATGTCTCCCAACCACAACTTCAGGAACTTCTTTCCCAACTTCAACTACTTCTAGAAGCCCTTGTTGTCCTTTTTGTTGTCCATCCTTCAAAACCCTGCTCTGCTCCAGAATACTCTTCTCGTGCAAGTCGTGCTCCAGTAAAAAGTAGAGGACTACTAAACCTACCACAATGCGCAATCCTGGATATAGCAGATGCTGTTTTATCAACATGGGAGTCGTTGTGGATCGCCGTCCTTTGTATGAAGGAGTGGCGAAGAAGAAGAAGGAGGAGAAGAAGGAGAAGGGTATTGCTGCAACTGCATGAGGATCGTGTCAGCGTCAGGATTTTGTTCTTAACCGACTCGTACCAGTGATAGTACAACAATGATCTCACTCACCGAGAACGAGATATCAATTGCCCAACCCGCCTATCAGTATCAACAATATTATTTATTATAACAAATTCTTGTAGAAGAGGTTTGTTTCATTTCTTTCTAGCCTACAGTGTCATAACTTCCAACTCCTGCGCAACTCGCGGTATCGAAATAACAGAAGTTCTCCGTAGGAAACGCATTCGTCTTCGGTCTCTGGTAGGCGCTCGCGTTTCACTAGCTGCTGTATACGGACTTCCTCTCGTTCAGAGGGAGAAAGACCATCCTCTTCGATGTAATTCATCTTGTTTTCTTTTAAATGACAATGTCAATGATTGCTATTTTTTTTTGCGATTTTTGTTCTTTTGGAAAAGGACAATCGTAGTTGTTCAGACCCGGTTGTACGCCAGTGGAACTTACAATCGTAGTTGTTCAGACCCAGTTGTACGCCAGTGGAACTTTTTCACTCCTTTTGTTTTTCCGCCACCACTGGATTCCTGATCCCTAGGAGTACCCTCTCTATTTCGGTTTCCTTCAAAACCGAAGGAAACGTGGCAACTTTGCTTACGTATGCCGCGTAAAGGAAAAGGCACTTTACAAAATTTAAAAAGCTCTTTACAGTTCGTCTTGAAAAAGTAGTTGTCGATAATGGGGAACTGCGTCTATCTTTGCGGCAAAAAGTAACCCCATGCCCAAGCCAATATGCCAAGGATAAATATGCCAAGAATTACCCACTACTTCAATTGACAGAAGCCTCAGACTTCATCTATCTCCTTTCTGATCGCACTTCATTTATCTGCTTTCGGAACTCTTCGGCTGCTCCTTTCTGGTCCTCTGCTTTTGATATGCCTCTCGAAATCGGCAATATGATCCCGGTTCCCTGTGCATTTAATCCAGCCACCAACGCTTCCCGCAAGGATCCTCCTTGCGCACCGATGCCGGGGGATAGGCATTAGAGGAGTTCACTTACAATGAGGACACTTCACAGCAAGAATGGGATTAGATGTCTCCTTGCTCACCATAAAAAAACCAAACCCACCATAAAAAAACCAAACACACCATAAATATGTGAACCACCCCACACCATAAAAAAACCAAACATCTGGGTGTTTTGCGCGGATGTCCTGTAGTGCTTTCGTATCCGTAGCCCCAACCACTAAGCCTATGTTCCCATGTTTGGAGGACCATTTCTCGCACAGAGCGGCGACATGCATGTATAACGGAATGGGTTGGACTTAGATCTATCTTCTACTTACTTACTTAGAATCCATCTTATTCGGAGGACTGTACTTTTCTGAAACTCTGAAAGCCAGTAGAGAGAAGAAGCCCCGCCAATGTTGAGATGCTTCCAACAGATGGACTGTTCCGCTCCAATGCCATAAGTAGTTTCAGCTGAATTTGATGGAGCAACCATCATCGTCTGCAAGTCGTTGCTGCCTGGATTGGACGTTTTGCATAGTACGAAAGCCGCTTTTTCTGCTGTATCGACGAAGGGTGTGACGCCATCTTCTCCAAGGTAAGGGGAAATCGTCAAGGAGATGAAAGAGGCCACAGAGGAGGGCTAGTATTGGTACAACATTGCGGAAGCAAAGGTATTGTTGCACTAGATAAACCTAATATTGTCGAGGTGAAAGCCAACCGGTTGTCTTACTTAGTGCTTTGAGCGCCGCAGGGCCTAAACCTTCACCAAAAGGTAAACTAAAACATCGTATCCAACATTCATAAAGCAATGTCCCAGTTGAAAATTGCCTATGGCATATGCCGCAGACGTGCTTCCGATGTCACCGCGCTTGCAATCAAAGATTATTGGAATATCCTCTGGAATCATCGCCTTTACCTTCTCCAACGCTGCCCACCCTTGAGATCCGAACTGCTCAAAAAAGGCGGCGTTGGGCTTGTAGCTGTGGAGAAAAGAAGAATAGGGAAGATGCAAAAGAGTAAGAGGAAGAACCCCAAACAACTTACAACATACTTACAAAAGTGACACTTGCTGTATAGTAGTTCCTCAGTGGTATGAGTCTATTCGACCCGTAATGCTCCACTACACGACTACAGTTTCAGTTATTCGTACCTACAAGCCACATGCTCCATGTTTCCAAAAAGTAGGCAGAAATTAATAGGGACTTACCTATAAGCCACGTGTTCGGTGTTTCCAGAAAGTAAGTGGAAGTAGGGACTTTTTACCTACAAGCCACATGTTCGGTGTTTTTGATGAGCTTCTCGCAAAAGGCAACAGCAGCCTCCGCAGATGGATTCTCTAGCTCAGCTTGGTGAGGATCTAAGCCAACGCACAGAAGAGAATCCACCTTCTCGATGCGCTTTTGGAGCAAGGAGAAGAACGCGCTAGACGTCGACATGCTTTGATTACCGGAGTGGCTTCTTGTCGAACAAGCGCAAGCTGAGTTTTTGATGAAGACAAATCTTCTGCTCCTCCTGCCTTAGTGCTAATGCTTGTCCTGTTGTTGTTCGTTGTGACAGACTGGATGAAGCTGTAGAGCACTACGGCCAGCAGAGACAGGCATCTGAACTGATAATACTTTTTTGCAAATTGCGAGAACACTGCCTTGTCGCATTGTGCAGTGTATGCTGAGATTGAAGATGATGCACGGATCATTGCTAATGTCAACCAAAAAGGAAGGATACACGTAGTTGTCCCCATGCCGCAGTCAGGTTGCGAAGAGCACCTGCCCTAACTATGCAATGGTCATCGATTTTCATTAATTTCAACTTCAAGAGAGTGAATGTTCGTTAATTATTTGACTCTGTATTGTCAACGGTATTCAGCGATATTCAGTAATTCAATAGTATTGATGGAGGTAGAGGAGGGCTTTTTCATTAATTTTTCTCTATGTGTATATCCCGTTCAATTCACAAATCTAAATTTCTTAGGCTAAAGTAAGAATAATGTGTTGATAGATGTCACGAAAAGCCTCTTGCTCACGATCTTCATTCTTTACCCATGTCATCAAGTTGGTATGAACGGTAGATGCGTGTATGCTTTGTATTTCAGACCCATTATCATTCCCTTTCCCATATAGTACTATGAGTTTGACTATGAGTATGTGGTGTACTAACCCGTTTTCTCATCAACATCATCTATTCGAGTCTAACAGCTCTGAAACAGTTGGAATGGCGGATGCTCCGCATAGAATTGTTCGGCTGCTTTCTTAGCCCGTGTTGGACTCGTGAAGGGAGATGTTAAGGCGTTAGTGTTGTAGTCACTGATCCCACTTACTTGATTGAGCATTTGGTTTCCTCGTTCTTCATCACACAGTACGTAAATCCTTTTAGCGCTCAAAGCCTTTATCGCTGCTGCACAATCATCTTTAGACATGGAAAAAGAGCTTCCGTCGGTCTCGTTTGGGATTTTTATCCTCTTCCCTGTTTCCATCATCTGCTTGTAGATTTCCCGCACAGCGTTCAGGGCTTCCTTTCTTTCCTCTTCAGGCATCATCCGCACTGGATGTGGGATCTGCTCTTTCTTTTTCCGGTACTCGGCAATAGCTTGCTCTCGGTCTTTTCTGTCATCCGAATACTGATGCGGAGAGTTCAGGAGAGTGTAGTCCTGATGGTGTCGGATGTGAGTATTCGCGTTCCACCTGGCTTGTTGTACTGGACGAGGAGAGAAAGTTGATTGATCTTGTTGTTCCTGTTGTAGTTGTACTTGCTGCTGTCGAGTGTAAGTAGGACTCCTAGCTGCTGCTGCAGGAGTGCGTCTACTCATTGGACTAAGCACGTATGGCTCACCATCATATGGCATTGCGTCCACCTCAACATGATGCTGGTAATTAATATATTGATAATCTGCATCCACCTGCACCTGCTGCATCTGTTCTTGTTCTTCAAACAGATGTTGCGGCTTTGCTCCCTTCACCGTGACTGGGCTGTCTGGACGTGGTAGATGCAGAGCTTCTACGTTTGTGTCGTTATGATGGACTCCGTGACCATGTCCGTGACCTCCATGTCCTAGTGGTGCTTCTTCCACTACATAGTATTGTCTTCCCTCTGAACCTTGAATCAATTCTTGATGTTCTCCTGCTTGTAGTTGAAATTGATCTCCGACGACTCCCATTTGATTAATACTGCTCAGATGTCTACTCCTGCCGCCAGGTGATTTACGTTTCGGAGAATGAGAAACAACCGCTGGTGCAGGAGAAGCTCCAGATGCTCTCGGAGAGCTTCCAACCTGATTCCGCTTCTTCACCTTTTCATAGTGCAAAACGAGGTGGTTTAGATCTGTCACCGGTTGCCACGGTCGGTCCAACGGAGAATGCTGGCAGAGCGGCATTTGTGTGTCTGTAAAATCAAAACTACTCACTTACTCAATCGAAACTACTTACTTACTCAATCGTAAACGACTCGACACTACTTACTTACAACAAAGATGTTGACAAGAAGAGAGTATAGCAGTCCTTAGTTCTTGGAGCTGGAGGAATCTTCAGATGTAGCAGAGAATCATCTACAGCAAGAGGAGTCTCTAGTAACTCTATATTAGAACGGGAGGATTGTTCTTGTTCATACAATAATCAAGACAAGATATAATGCATGAGCGTACTTACGTGAACCTGGAAGTAGAAATGATGATGCCAAGTGACAGTATTCAAATCACAAGTGACAGTAACACTGCCTTGGGGAGCCTCATGCGCTACACAAATAAACCGTGTGCACGTCTTCGACGATCAGATACAGAAAGAAAAACATCAAACTCGACGTTCAACAGATTCAGATTTGTATCAGGTTGAAAGAAACTGAAGTATGATCATCTTCTACTCTTTGCACTCACTCCTTGGACCAAAAAGAGTTTCAAAAAAAACGATCGCTCTCCACAGACACGTTTTTAATCCTGAAACAGATTCTGACTTTTTGAAGTCTGCAAGCCAAGCTACTTTGCGCTCCCGAAAAAATGACCGACAGAACCTGCTCCATCTCTCTACTTGTTTTCTTGAATCGACAGGCCTGCTCTACGTGATGAAAGAAATAGACTCTCTCAAATCTTCAGATTTTTGCACAGCCATCTTCTGATTTTTGCACGTCTGCAGTTTTTGTCGCACAAAAATAAACAAAATTGAAATTCTTCTCTATGCAACAACCTCCTGTGCCTTTTTACTAATGCTCATTCAAGCATGACGCGAATCTTGATATTGATTCAAGAAATACAGTGCTTGTCTGATAAGAAAGATAGACCAATTCCAGTGACGATGACTAATGTTGAAATAAACTACGAAACACAAACGTGATGATAAGAACCAGCGACTTCTGATATTCTTCGATTGATTTAATTTCAATTTCTGGAGCCTGTTTTACTATTAATTTCGACTTGCTTGTACTCATGTCAAAAAAACACAGCGATTCCTGTCGCGTACCACTGTTCGTGATCCTGTCATGCAACAGTATCGAAGGCATAGATATTGGCCAAGTAATCGTCCCCCTTTAAAAGCAAAATTGAGTGTATTAAGTCGAATAAGTAAGTATTTAGAACTCCTGAATGGTTCAGTTATTGGAATTTATGTTTACTCGGATGTAGTATAATTTGCATCGGATAGGTTTTTTCTTGGAATTCTCAAGTCTGAAGCATAATGACTGATGTCTTTTTCTTTGGCTTAATACGAGTCGTCCGTTTCTGTCAGTGCTTCCTGTACAATCTGTCGACGTTCTCCTTCTCGTTTGTTACTCCGCGCCTTTCTCATACAAACACGACGACGTGACTCTTTTTGCTCTCCCCTCTTGCAACGCTCTTTCTCCGACAAGGTCGTGCTCCTATTTCTACCGTACCACTGAAGAGGAAGACCTAAGATTTGTTTGTGCTACTGCCATCCGCGGAGTATTCCTGATGTCACCTGCTTCGTAGTAGCACTAGGACTATATCTGCTTCCGCTCTCTACCTCGTAGTAGCACTACTGTCACCACTCTAATACCCCTCCGCCTCCTCGTAGTCGTCGTTTTCTCTACCTCGTAGTAGCACTACTGTCACCACTATAATACCCCTCCGCCTCCTCGTAGTCGTCGTTTTCTCTACCTCGTAGTAGCACTACTGTCACCACTCTAATACCCCTCCGCCTCATCGTAGTAGTCGTAACCCTCCTCCCACTCGTCATAGTATTCACCTTCGGCTTCTGGTTCCTTCTTCTTGTCTCGCAAACATACGAAACGACACAGCAATAAGAGCGCTACTGCAGCGGTGATTAGAGCTATCGCGTTCGCATCTGATTCCTTGAGAGTAATAGTATCCTTGGAGGGTGCTTCTTTTTCAAGTAGAAAAAGAGGCAAGGAAGGATGCTGCTGAGGATGCTTCAGCGGTAGCCTTAAGGTGAGTAACCACCCGACAAGAAACACGTAACTCATGATGTTCCTGTAATTGGGATTTGAGAAAGGTGTTATCCGATCAGTGGAACTGCGGTCGTTTTATGTGGAAAAGAAAGATAAAGATAAAGAAAATGATCAAGATTCTTGCCCTAAGATGTCAAGCCGGCACGTAGTACGATAAAATAGAAAAGGTACATTTCCCACTCTGGAAATCTAGCGCTGCCGTCAAAGCTGAAGGACATGGAACAGATGCCGAGAAATAACAGATACACGCACATTTAGAAGAGGTCCTTACAACCTGAATTCATTGTCTTGGAGGAAGAGAGCATCTTGAAGAAAATAGTAGGAGTAGTGTACCAAGTCTAGAGGTATACACAAAGGAACAGAAAGATTAGAAGTATGAGATTTAGTAGTCGTATTCAAGAAGATGCAACTCGTATATACGAAGTAATTCCAAGATCAAGACTCCTACTACTAGCCCCAAGATGCTCTCGCATTCCCTCAGTTGCCTCTTCATCTTGGGGCTAGTAGTAGGAGTAGTGTACCCAGTCTAAAGGTATAGAAGAAAAACCACGACTCGAGTAGAACGAAAGAAGACAGCATTTATTTTAGCGTCAAGGACACTAACTCAAACTCTGTAAGCAACTAAGCAATTCCAGTGATTCTAATTCTACTTACAGCAAATCAAAAACAGCCTGATGAGCCTAGAATCATAAAAGATAAAGAGGCAGCAAGTTGTGCATCCAGATATCATTGTTTTCATCCTTGCTTCCTTCCGTTTCTTCAGCTTCTTCTTGGGCGTCGGTTCACACTGGATGAACAGAGCAGTTACTAGGGCACTTGTTAGAAGTAGAAGACGCTCTATGAGTACTCTAGTGGTAGGTAGTGGTAGGTACAACTAGTACTCACTAGTGTACTGCTTCTTGTCTAGTAGTACTAGTACTACTTGTTGTCTAGTAGATAGTACTAGTACTAGTTGTTGTCTAGTAGTACTAGTACTAGTTGTAGGAATCGAGAAGATGAAGATCAGCGTGCTGTCCTAATAAAAATAAAAATAAATAATTCATTCTTCATGGTGAACAAGGTGTTCTTCATGGCGATGACAGTTGGATGTGAAAGGAGATTGCGTTCTTGATGTCTTATTTCTGGCGTTCTTCGGGGTGAAACCTTGAAGATGTTGTCACGACACCTAGCAGACTTGGGCATAGAACTCACAGTCACGCTCACGCCATACCATATTCATTGCTATTGCAACGAGAGCCATTCCGGTGTAGACGCCACCATACACCAACGTCCTGTATTTTTGGCATCTAGCGGTCGCATGGGCCCGACAATCTTCCACGTATTTGCATGTATACACGCTCGTACAACCAAACGCTAGCGCGATGTCTGAGACGCCGAAGTATGAAGAAAGGGAGATTCTAAATCTAATGCATGGTCTCAAAAGATAAGAAATTCTAAGTAATGGGAGAGAGCCGCGAAGCTGAGAACGAGAATTGGGTAAAAATGAGAGGGGGAGCGAAGCTGTGAGAATTCTAAGGGTAGTAGAGAGAGAAGCTAGAAGGAAGTTTGAGGCTAATGAGAGAGAGAAGTTCTTGGTGAGAAGTTTGAGAGTAGTACTTGCAGTTGCACTTCTGAGGCGGGGTGTTGGTATATGCAAGAGAGAGGAGATCACAAGAGAAAATGAGAAGTCTCAGCGTCATGAGTGAAGGTGTCGTGAGGCTAGGAACGAAGGTGTAGCAACAGATCCATGAAGGTGCTCATAACATATTTTCGTAGTCCTCGGCGGTCGCTTTGCATATTGCACTGCCTGCCAAGGTAGCAAGGGTGCCACAGGTTAGAAGATGCAGAGGTACATACGATTCATCAGCCAATGCGTGGACGGATTTTTCATGTCCGGGCTCCTCAAACAAGCCGCTTCTACCTACTTACTGTCTCGATCTACTTATACTGCTTGAAGGGATAAGTCTACGAGCAGAGGGAAAGCTTCTAACCGGTTGTTTTACAACTTATGTGCTTTGAGCGCCGCTGGACCTACTTATACTTGCGAAAAAATAGCGCAGACACAGAGCGAGTCAGAGTCCTCGACCTCGCATTCGTCTTCCATAAAGACAAGCTATTAGCAGCAATGACCCATTCGTTCGAGTTCGTGCACAGCGTGTTCATCATCGAAGTCCAGGATTCGATTTCTCTCTCAAATAAAATGTCTTTTTTTGTGCAGATTAGAAAATCTTCGAGTATGACTAAAGCGTAGTGATGATCAGAAAATAATACCGCAATGTTAAACACGAACATAAAAATCCTGTGACTAATGGCCGTGGAGAGGGATGGAAAAAGCTGGCGGTGAGAAGAAGAAAGGAAAAGTGGAAAGCTAAACTTATTGATACTCGCTTCGCGATGTATGCCAAGATCGCCGAAAGGGTGACCCCAGTGTTATCGTCCGGTGTTGCTAAAGATAGTGATAATCATCACGCTTTAGTAATACCCATCTTCAAGTATTAACATTAAAGCGTAGTGATGATCAGAAGGGGCTGTTTACTAGTACGATTCGTCCCTCCGAGGTTTTTACGCTCGCTACGACTCAAGTCCCAGCTGGAAAAAGTGACTCATTGTTCCAAAAGACTCTAGTCCAAAAATTATGACAACTACAACATTTATACTAGAACCAACAAGAACAAAATATACTTATATATAAAAATGTCGCCTAGATGAAGAAAGACTTTGAAGCCATACAAAAATCATCGAGAAAGGCCGGTCGGCCACATAGCCGATGATCGAATGATCCCCTATCTTGTCCAATGGGAATTTGAACAATCCGGAGTAGCTTGGATTAGAATCGATAACTAGGTCATAGCACAATCATGATTGGGGAATGAACCTGCCTCAAGTAAGAAGTGCAAGTGCTACAGGATGTGGATGAAAGAGTAGTCATTTTTGAACCGAGATGATGCGAGAGCAAAAACGAAAGATGTGCGTCTGTGTGTACCACCATCTGAGCGTCGGGGCGTAAAATTGCAACTAAAAGTTATGTGTGTTTACCATCGTACTATCTCAACGACAGACTGTGTACAATCGCAAAGACAAAGACTCTCATACATAACATCCAGTCCCCTTGAGACGTAGATGAGCGAAAAAACGCATATGATTCCAGCGACGATGATGCCGCAGCTGACGACGTTGCCGACAGAATTAGAGCTGCATCCACCTTCTCTCAGCTGCATCCGCCTTCCGAGTATTCTCTCCTATGCGGGGGTGGTCAGAGTATTCATATTCTCCCCTGAGGTGGATACAACAGCTCTACCCTTAGGTGGATACAGTTGTCAACTACCAACTACCCCCTACGCTTCAAGGATGCAGGCAAGGACGGATTAGCTACATCACAGCCTTAACAGAATCATCGTCCCCCTTGCTCTTATTCTTCTTCCCCATCGTGATTGTGATCAACGAGAGGCTCTTCTTTCTACTATGATGCTCCTCTACTTCGTCGCTTTTTTTAGGCAAGAAGCTCGTCTCGTGGTAGTTGTATTTTTGTAGTTTCCAATACAAGAACGCGCGACCTCTCGCGCCACCCGGCTCGGATCGTAATCGTCATGGACATTGTTACAATTTGAAATGATGAGGAGATCGAGATGGAATGTATTATATATTTGAAATCTTAGAATTAGAATTTTTTTTTGCCGAAAGGAGATGCTTCATCATGAACAGTCAATACCACTCACTTGCAACTACTTTGTCCATTGTTTATTATTTTCGAACCTCTCGGTTACTTACAGCGCAATACATCTCGCACGAAGTACAGCGCAGACTGCCACACGGGCGTCGTAGTCGTTCGTCACGATGATAACTCATTTTTCAACAGCGATTACACCTTGATGTCTTCTACCTTTTCTTTCCAGTGGTTTCATTTGGTCTTCATCTAGCATCTCTTTTGTAGCATTTAGAAGTTTCTGCCTATGAGGCCATTTTTCAGTGTACAGTTTCATCTTCATCGCGTATATCTATATTACAATTGATATCTTCTCCACAAAGATATAGATTAGAAGTAGTTGAAGAAGTGAGAACGAGTGCTAGAAGATCATTTATTTTATCTCCACCAAAAAAGAAGCAAGCAACGCCCTTCCTGAGATGATCGGTCAGCGCCCCCCTTGAGATGATCGATCAAACGCATCAAATCTGCCTCTTGCAATAATCGCATGCATCCAGAACCACGCCCCGCAGTGTAGCGCTCCTCCCGTTGGCTCCGCGAGGTGTCTGTTCCACTTGCTTCTGTTAGAGGACGATTTGAGTCTTTTCTTGTTGTGTGTAATTCAGTTCGAGACAGATCATTCTAATTTTGTTGCGATTGGGTGTAATGCAGTTCTTGACGATGTTAAGTTTATTAAGTGCAGCCAGCTTGTCTCGTATAAGGTGAAGAAATGGTAACTAAGCACTGCGAAAAAAATACTGGCGACAATGATTGGGTGTAATGCAGTTCTTGTTGAGGAGTCGTGCGTATATGTGGTTTAAAAGTTGTCCGTTGTTGTCCTTGATTGTGAGATGATCTTAAGAAGTAGTTGATGCACAACGTGAGAAGTAGTTGATGCACAACGTGAGGACTTGTCCCACTACCGAAGAACGTCAATAATGATGAAAAATGTCGTACCGATACATACGAGGAGGGCCACCCGTTGTAGTTTATATTTTTTTGTCTCGACTTTTTCATAACTTTGATATCGTCAGGTCTCCTCTCGTTTTTCTTCAAATCATGGCTGTCAGTAGCATTCCTTAGGATTGTCCGAAAATCTTCTACCCCTAGCTTGATCATCGGCTTATCTTTTCCCATTTCTGGAAGCTCTTTTGTTTGTGTTAGAGTGTAGGATAGAATAGGGTGCTTTTGCTTCAAGATAGTACATAGTTGTATAGGATACTAGGATACAGAGTAGTTGTACTACTAGCTAGTAGTGTAGTAGTATTACGGAGTTAGTAGTATTACGGGGTGGAGGGGACCACGACGATTACACAAGTAAATCTAGAAGATGAAGATCATTCGTTTTCGCTATAAATGCCACGACTAAGAGCAGTAGTAGAGAAGAACGAATCATCTATCATCTCACTCTCTATCATCTCATCAGTAATACTCGTCTGATGAAAATTGAATTTGAAGGACTACAACATTAAAACCGAAGAAGATCATCTCATAAGTAATACTCCAACATTGCGTATCGGAACTTCGAATATTCCCTGGAATTCACTGCGCGATCTGCCGCCTCCCTGTCGAGGCGATCTTTATTATCTGTGTACCATCGCCAGGCTTTCGGAAATTCCTTTCTCATGTTAGAAAAATCAAAAAAAACAGAGTGAACAAACACATCTACTTACAGTTTTGAATACAGAGCTTTCTTTCTCATCTTAGAAAAACAAGGCAACAGAAGAATCTACTGCGTTTTGAATATCAGAGCGGGTTCAAAATCTTCTGACAAAAATAATTGCGGCGCGTCTTCTATGTATACATGATTGTTCCTACATCGTAAGAATTAGACTGAGGATTCACAGCAATACCAGCACAAGTCTTGAAGAACTACCATGATTGTTAAATAATTCCCGTTGTAGGAGTTGGAATGTAGAAGGAAGTACTAGCTGTAAATTCAGTGGAGTAGGGCGGCGTATGGGTAAACTCGGTAGAGCAGTAGAGTTTTACTGTAGAAAATTCAATGTAAACGTGTAAATTGTAGACCATAGTCATCGCATGCAAAACGATAGCCGATTCTTCTTCTTTTGAGTAATCTCGTCGACCTTGAACAGGAAGCCCTTGGTTTACACGTTTGCGGCTACGGTCATTAGCTCCAGGTCCAGGCGGGGGAGGCCTACAATAAAACTCGTGAGCAAATGGTCCTGTTGTGGTAGCTCCTGGAGGTGCAGCTGGCGCTGGCCGCCCTAGACCTGGTTGCCCTGGCCGCCCTAGACCTGGGTGGTAGTTGTTGGTTCTAGTACTACTTCCAATAGTAGCATGCTCTACTTGAGGTGGCAATGCGATCTACTCTAGACAGGCAAGGGCAACCACTACAACGTAACAAGTAAGAAACGAGCCAAGTTCAAGTAACAAGAAGCGAGACAAGTACTACTTACTTCCAATAAATGGCCCTCCTATTCCACCTGCTGCTGCTGGTCGGTTGCTAATGCCATTAGAAGCGAACGATGAAGATGACGAAGAAGAAGAATTAGCCTGGTGATGACCTGCAGCCAGCATCTGAAGAAAGGATCCTCCGCGACTTTGGTTGTTGCTTGTACTGTTAATTAAAGCGCAGCATTCAATGGCCATCATGATGCTGAACGGAAGAGACTCCCTTCGAAGCTCTCCCCTTTCCCTTCCTTTTCCCCTGTTCTCCTCTCAAGGGGAAGTCGCTTCTGCAATCTAAATGGTGACTCCAATCTAAATGGTGACCATTGAACAAAGCTGAGTCTTAAGTTAAAGTGCTTCTGAGCAGGTTCTACTTGTCCAGCACCAAGACCAAGCCCAGCTGTTGTTGAAGAAGAAGAAGAAGCTCCCAGCAGTCCCGTACTAGCTGTTGTTGTAGTTGTCGTTTTATTCTGTGGAGGTTGAGCTCCAGCACTCAGTAGTGCTCCTGCTGTTGAAGAAGAAGAAGAAGAAGCGCCCAGCAGTCCCGTACTAGTTGTTGATGTCATTTTATTCTGTGGAGGTTGAGCTCCAGCACTCAGTAGTGCTCCTGCTGTTGTTGAAGAAGAAGAAGAAGAAGCTCCCAGCAGTCCCGTACTAGTTGTTGAAGAAGAAGAGTTAGACCTTGCCTCTATTCATCTTTGGCATGGGGTTTTTCCCTTAACTACAGTTAGGAGGGGCCAAAGATGCATGCCTCCTAAGATGAACAATTTGAGCTATAGCCTTAAAGGAAGCTGTAGGGCCCCGTGGTAGGTCAGGTTCCTTCGAAGTCGCTGCTTCTAAGGCCTCTATTCGTCTTTTTTTCTCGCCTCCTCCTCCCACAGCCGCTCCTTGCTCTGATACGGTATTCATCTTGTCGCTGCTTCTGCGTCGATCTGTAAAAATAGCTGTGGCCGTCATTTCGCCTTGATGTGCTACTGCTTTTAGAGATAAGAAAGTGGGTTTTATTATCATTTGGTGTTTCTGTATCGTTTCGTTTCTTTTTGTGCCTGTGGTCTCCCTTAAGTAGAAAGGCAAGAAAACAAACGGCAACAGAAAGAACACTGTGCTTAGCCGACCCTTAATTGTAGTTCTCCTTCTTTTTCCACATCCACTTCCTCAAGATCACGATCTAAGATCACCAAGGTCTCCTTCTCATGTCCAGGAGGTGGGTTTATTTTAGAGCAGGTTGCAGAATTAGTACTTGCATTCCTCAGAATATCGTCCCTGACCTTATTTTTCTCTATTAGAATGTAGGTCAGGGAAGAAGAAGATGGTAGTGGGGGATGCAGTGAAAATGTGGAAAGAGACCTTAATTATTTTGTTGAGAGTGCTGTGACTTTGATCGCCGCTTCCTGTTCGTTGTAGGTCTTTGCCTCCTTCGACAACTTCAGCCGTAGGTAGGACCAGTCTCGTCTTTTTAGATGCAGAACCAGGCACCGGAGTTTCGAGATCGCTCTTGCCGATGCCGTTGCCGTCCTGTTTTCAAAATAAGTTTTTTGTGTCAGTCTATGCTCCTCGAACTTGATACATGTACGTCACTACGCAGTACAGAGTAAGTAAGCTTTGAAGCGGAGAGAACAGTGCAAAAGAACGCACAACTACTCAACGATGTAAATATTACTTACTTACAACAGACTCACTACTAAAATGACATGAAAGAGGACGAGTGCGGGTGGACTTCGACAAGCAACAAATAAAACAAGCAAAGTTACAGAATGAGGATGAAACTGCTGCGGACGCAGCCGCTACTATCGTCCATCAAGTCAAGGATGAGCGTCCCTTTGGATCTAAGTTATCAAAATATTATGAGTTGTTTGTTGCACGGGATAAAGTTTGTAGAGGTAAAAATGTATCAAAATATCATGAAATATGAATGTACCTTTTCGTTTGCATCAACTGCTTCCGGTTCCACGTTCGCTTTATTTTTAGAACTAAGGGAAATCCAATTGCAGCAGTATCTTGGGTCCCCTTTTGTTACCTTTACAAACGGGATAGATGCCTCTGAAAATAAATGGGAGACTCCTTGTACAGCCTTAATTTTTGAAGACCCTCCTCGCGCAGCTTGCGGCCCAGTGCTCCTGCCTGCTCCGGTCGTGTCATCGTCATCCAGTTTAGGGTACCCGAAGGACTTGCCAGTGAGAGTGGCCTCTTCAAACCGTAAATGCTTCAACTTCTTTGATCCAGTTTTCCTGTTCCGCAAATAGTCAAAGAATAAGAAGAGGAGGAAGATGATGATCGTAGTCGTATGAGTATGAAGATCATCAACATGAACGCGATGGAAATCATTGCAGTCCCATGGTGACAAAGATCACAGCACTGAAATGCCACGCCAATGATGTGGATCCTTATCGTGTTACTTATGAACAAGAAGGCCCACACATTTGACAACTTTGCAACCGCATGAGAATCATGCAAAACCTTCACGATTTGCACCAATGACCACGCACGGACACCAGACAGTCCGGCCGCCCAGGCAAACAACGACAAGCCCCATCAGCGCACCAACTGTGACTCCAACGAGAAGGCACGGCCAGACACCCTGGAGAGCAAGAGGCCGAAGAGCTGCCACGCGAGCCTGCCAGGTGAACCCCACCCACCCCCAGAGTCAAAAGCACGGCTGCAGGGACCGCCGGCCGATGCGTCCAACTACGGACCTGTAGACGAAGCTACAGATAGCGCCACGACAGGCTCCGCAGTGCGTAGTCGCAGTTTCATCGTGCCCCCGAGAGCTTAGCTGTGCGGCAGACGCTCGGACTTTCGCGCCACGCCTCACAACTTCGTTCTGGTGAGACTTGGCAAAGGTCTGGCGTCTGCGTCAGACGCCAGGTGTTTTACGGGTACGGGCACCGGCCCAGTGGGGTGCACTGGGTCGGTAGCCGTACCGGGAAAGTCCTGGCGTCTGACGCAGACGCCAGACTTTTGCCAGGTCTCAGAAATTCTTTGGCGCTCGAGAATCCTGGCGTCTGACGCAGACGCCAGCCTTTTCCGGGTCCTGAGACTGGTGCCTGAGGCCCTCTGCAGCTCCAACCTCTCGTGCCCCACAAGCAGGAAAAGCGCATGCGCGAGGGCGCTCGCAATGGCATAAAAATTGCCATACCCATCGCATCAGCCAAGGAATCCAAGCCTGGGCGCCCCAGCGCGACTCGCTTCCACCTCTCCGCGGACCTAGCTCCGGGAGCAGTGCCTGAACCTGAGCGCCCAGGGGAGACGCGAGAAATTGGAGAGGGCCAGCGACACGCCTCTGGCCGCAACGGAGGTGGGCCGCCGACGCTACAAACACACACACACACACACACACACACACACACACACACACACCACGCGCAAGGTGCTCCGGTGCTATGCGGCACATCCTCGCGCCAGAAATCACGTGGAAGGGCAGAGGCGCTGCGGCATCCACCACCAGGGGCGCAGCCCCTTCAGCGGTGCGATCCATATGGGCACGATTCTCCCAGTGCATCCTACTGAAGGTTTTCCGCTGAGAGTCTATACTAGAGACGCAAGTCATGCGTTATCATTGTAGTCTACGCGTCACTCATTAGATGGAGTAAGGGGGGGATATGATCCAGTTCCCCTGTTCCGCAAATAATAAAAAAACAAGAAGACGACGAAGATGATGATCGTAGTCGTATGAGTATGAAGATCATCAGCATGAACGTGATGGAAATCATTGCGTTTGCAGTCCTATGGTGACAAAGATCGCAGCACTGAAATGCCACGCCAATGATGTGGATCCTTATCGCGTTCCTTATGAGCAAGAAGGTCCACACATTTGACAACTTTGCAACCGCATGAGAATCATGCAAAACCTTCACGATTTGCACCAATGAAACAGGCCGGGAATTATATAAGAAACGCATCACCTTAAGGGTGAAGATAAACAGTCCTAGTGCTCACAAACATTCTCCACATTTTGATTATTTTCCGAGCTGGATAAGGATACTAGAAGAAACGCTAAATAACACACAAATAGAGGCATGACAGGCTGCATTGCAGCAAACTTTACTAGTACTGCAGATTTAATAATTGCTACAGTTCTTCTACATCTACAGTCAAACACGAGCACTACCGAACAAGGAAGCAACAAGTGGCGTTGTCAAAGTCTAAGTCGAAGGGGGGCGAAGACTGCGAAAGCTGAAAGGTCCTCCGAAGAACATAAGATGGTCGACTCGATGAGCTTCTTCCTTGCTAGTTCCCTTGGCACAGTGAGGCTCGTGAAGAATCTGACCAGAGATCGCCGCAATTCGTACAGAGATAGTGAGAGATAGCCTCGTCGTGGCCGATGTTGCGATGATTTATTTGCCGCTGTATCGAGAGATGAACCTGCTTTGGCGATTCTATGTTGTGATGGAGGAAGCAAGTTGTTGTAAAGCGCTTGTAGAAGAAGTACAGCTGCTACTTGATTTATGCACATTTAACATTACAACGCAACCACATGCAGTGAACTAATCGATAAACTGAAATAAGCGAGTGACTACTTAGAATAGCCGAGCTATGTTACGAAGTAGCGACGCTTTTATTTCCATTAGCTAGTCGCTTATTTCAAGATTACTTGTACTTTCAGATCTATTAAAGAAAGGGAATTCAAAAAGGTGTACTTGTCGACACTGGCTCTGGCTCCAAAACTTTCTCCTGTAATTCAAGCGCTTTGGGAAAGTTTGAACGCAAAAACGACTCCTGAAAATCGTCCGAGCCCGCCGGATGCAGAACTTCAACTTCGACCGAGTTTCCTTTCAGTACCGCAACGATCGACTAGAATATGAAGGCAGGAGGTGGTATTGGTAATCGAACTAGAGCTAAATCACTTAGCACAAAAAGCGGCTTGTAGTGTCGGTCGTTGTATCGAATTCTTCTACTTGTTGCTTTTCATAACAAGAATAACGTCGTCGGTGTCTCTCCCAGGACGCTCCAGATGCTCGTTGAAAACTAGCTGCTTCATCTCGCTATTCGATAGCATCGCATCAAAAGGGTCTTTTTTCCTCCTTTCCGCATCTGCATCCAGCGATATAGTTTAGATTTTTGGGATCTGATCAGAAGATAAAGAACTTCAGAAGAGGCGTCAGCTAGACTAAGTCTAGAAGAAGTCAGGTCAGCTAGTACAACTAGACTACCTTCAGAGAAAGACTACCCTCTTCAGAAGAAGCGTCAGCTACTCTAAGCATGACCCAAAAGTGTCACGACCTTTAACAAGGTGCTGTTACCCTACCAAAAACGTGCCTCAGGTTCTTGATACTCAACAGCTCGTTTTCTACTTCTAATGTAAAGTTTTAGAGGCACTCCAAGGAAGTGGATGGTCGGTCTACTTGTCGATGAAGGAGGGGATGCGCCTGACACATATGAACCAAATTCTTCATTCTAGCACTATTATTTCCTTAACTTTTGGACGACCGAGTCCGAGTCAGTAGCTTATGGTAATTTTCCGTGATCGCTGACAGCGACCGCCTCGCGTAGAATTCATGTAAAATGTCCTGAAGAGTGAGTTGCCCGTCCCTTTTGTACTCGTGGGCGCAGCGGAAGATCTTCTTGGTGTCGATATCATCCAGAGACAGTCGCATCGCGTCACTAAAGTTTAGAATGCTACCTAGAAATAGTACATATACAACGAACTGTTGAAGCCTTGAGCGAAGACTTGTGGTTGCGCCAGGAAAGCTTTCACATGATGCATGTCCTCATAGATCGTCAGCATTATATACGACTAGGACTACTTCTGAAAGGAAGCCACTTCATCGTGCGAGCAAGTCAGAATCTCACAACGACAAGCTTTCTTCAGACTTCTCATCTTATATATTCGGTCGTGTGCTTCTCACTCTAGAAACTCCGTGGCTCTCGTCTTCATTTACTTCATTTGCATTTCCATTCCCATTCGCTTCCACGTTAATAAAAATAAGACACAAACGATTATTAACGTGTGGATCAGTAGCTTGTGGGATTTAGTACTTCATAGAGTAGAAGTACTGCGTCCACATCTATCTCATTCATTCATTTACCTAGCATGAGGCACGAGTTCAAGACTTAGTTAGGATGCATAAGAAAGAAGCAAACAAGAGACGAAAAAGGAAACAAGATGGAGATTTGTCTTCTTTGAGTTAGCTCATTCTTTCTTTACCTTCTTTCTGCACTTTTCCATGTGCTTTTTAATTCAGTCGATGCGCTTAGATCTAGCTTGCATTTGATTATGATCAAGCATTTGCTCTCACCCTAAGAAAAGTGTTGGGTCCACATCAATTGTGTCCTATTGGTTCTACTTCATTTGCTCTCATCTTAAGAGAAGTGCTCTGTCCAAACCTCCTTGGAGAAGCTGACACAGGATCAACACCGCGGCACGCCGCGTTAGCTTTTCGTCGCCATCCTTACTAATGTGCTCATTCGGCTCATCCTCTTTGAGCTTTTGCTCGTGCTCATCCTCTTTCGACGCAACAGTACCAGTGAAGAGAGCTTCCCAGTATTCTGGCGGACAGCTGTCGACAGAAATTAGAGAAACCACATTGCATTCCATCTTGAGAAGCATGCATCTCAGAACTTGAATTGGTTTCAGAACTTGTTTACAGATTGAATTTGAGTCAACCCTTGTTTAATAGATTGTTTCTGTTTATAGATTGTTTATTTATTTTACATAGAGTAATTGTTTACAAACTTTACCCTTGAATGCAAATACTAGCCCTGTGGCCTCGAGAAGATGCTTCCGAAGATGAAAAAACTGCCCCTAAGATTGATGTATCATTTTTTGCCGGGTCGCGGTACTCTCCGCCAAGGAGCATCTTGACACACTCACTCGCATAAGCGGCCGCACCACTCTTTTTTATTTTTGGCCTGTTTTCATCGAGTTCAAGGATAGACGAAGATGAACTAGTACTAGAACTAGCTCTCTTGATCTCTTCGTCCACCTTTGGTGTCATATCTTTCTGATTACGACTAGTTGGCGAAGTTTTATTAGGATCTTTATCTCTCGAAGTAGGAGTAGGAGCTACTTGTTTCTTCAAAACAGTAGATCCACTGACGAGTGCAGAGGTGGATGATGGTACTGCATGATTTCCTAAGGGCTTCATACCCGTTTTACCGCTTGCAGAGGATGAAGCCCTTTCCCCTTGCTTGCTCCTCATCGCGGATATAGATGACGTCGTTGTGGTCGTTGTCGTTTTCATGCTATTCATCTTCTTATAGGGTGATTCATTACTCGTAGTGGTAGTGTTGGTTTTCTGCTGCTCTTTCTTCTTCAGATTTGTATTAGCAGCGGTTGTATCTTTTGTACTAAAGGAAGAACCAGATAAACTTGTACTTGTAGTTTCCTTCATCTTTTTCATACTTGTAGTTTTGTCCTCTATTCTCTTAGCTGGCGACTTATTCGTATGCTGCTTTTCATTTGTTGTCTTTGACCGAGATGAGTCTCTCTTGTCGTCCTTCGCTGGTTTCTTCGTTGCGTCACCTGCTTTCCGAACTTCCTTCATCGGGGGCTTTTGCCCCACAGAAGGCTTCTTGCCTCCACCGCCCATCTTTATGTGTTGAAGAAAATGCTTATGAGCTGGATACAACTATTAACTCTGTTTGATATTCAAGGCTTTTCCTCGTGCAGCTCATCGCGTGTCGACTAAGGAGTAGGAGATACATCTCAATTTTATCTTTTGAGAGACTCGTCTACATCATATAAACCTGGAGAAGTTTGATTTTTCAGCCAGCACTTCCATTTAAATTCACAAAAAGTATTTGCTAGCGACTCGCATGACACAACCCTAGTTTCCTCGCACCTCTCTGTAGTTTTTCGAAACAAGGCACGGCATCAAGGAGACACGACATGGCTGCATCTGCGGGTGCATTTTTGTAGATTACTCGACAAGATGAACGGAAAAAGCATGCTTTTTTTGTCGTCGTGTTGCAACTACATTTTATTGTAGTTCTTGCATTTTTCACATGCGTCGCTTCCTCCACAAAGAGTTGCATGGCATTTTTCTACTTCATCGCAATTGCTGTTCTAAACTTCAAAAATCATGTACATTGTACAACAAGCGCAAGCCTTGGCCTTCCTGTGCAACATAATCATTATATGCTGCATGTGCATGTCCAGAATTTCATACAATTTGGAATTTTACGGTTTTGGTGAAGAACTACTTCCAATTCAGCCATAATGCTGATGCTGAAGAAGAGTTACGAAAATATAAATAAACTACTGCGTTGAAATAATCACTAAATGTTCTAGATGTGTGCGTTCGCTACGATTCCACTTTATGTTTTATTCTTTCCACTACGATTTTACAGGTAGACTCGCCTTGGACTATTCACTTGATGTAGTTGTACTTGTACTACGTACAACTTCGTACTCGATGTACTTATCTACATTCCAATTCGTACTTGCATTGTCCTTGTTCATTTACTTTTCATCCAACTGTCTTTACAAAAATTCTCTACTTAGTAGTTAATGCAGCGTGATCGTCTTTTGATTGATTGGCATCCCTAGTAGTACTCCTCGACTACCAGCGGGACGATACAAGTCCACAAGTGTACCACGAGGGGCGGCCGTGGAGCTGTCATGTTCAAGTCGTCTTTGTCATGCTCAACATGTTTAACTTTCTACAACGTCGAACTAAGTAGCTGTACTAGCAACAGTGTTATCATACAGAGTCACGTCATTGTCATAGAAACAGAGATTTAGATTGATCAACTGACTACAACCAAACCTCCCTAGCTTCATTCTCATCTACTCAATGAATCTCGCAAGAAATTCAAATCCACTACATTCCCGAGGCCTAGTTGTCCAGTGTTGTTGAGATCAGCTCCAGTCGTGCGGAGTAATTGAAATGGTGGTGGAGTTTTTCCATTTCGCGGAACAGCACCGGGAGGACCACGACCTCCTGGAGGACCACCAGACGCTAGGACCCCGTAATAGGGATTCTGATACTGCTGGAGACGAGGTCCTGGAGTCTGGAACTGCGCCTCTTCAGCATCAGTAGATGCAAGAGCAGGATGAACGCCAAGGCTAGAAGTGTTCGCAACATGACTCGCAGATGACGAGTGAAAACCATTTCCATGTCTGCTCGATCCCCATGGCATCGTAGGGGGATATCGGTATCCACCTGGAGCTGATGTACTGCTGCTAGTACTACTCCTCTTGCTAGCAGTATTTCCGGTGTTTCCTCCAAGTCCAACAGGTCCGCGATTACTTGCACGAGTAGGCTTACCTGCAAACGATGTGTCGAGTGAGGATCCATGATGAGAAGATACTGCGTCTTGTTCTTCTAGTTCCGTTTCAACGTCTATGCAGTCGTCATCTCCGCCATCTAGAAATTTTTCTATGCCAACGTAGCGCAATAGGTCATGGTCTTCTAGCACTCCACCTCCAGCAATGCCACCTCCAGCAATGCTCTCCTGCTCTCCAAAAAAGAGCATGTTGCTTGCTCCTTCTCCTTGCCCACCACTGTGTATTCCTCCTAACAGTGTATCCATGTCCCTAATGTCTTGGGACGAAAAGCCTCCGCTAGTGGTAGCTGGACTAGGCTCAGTGGAAGACTTTGGACCCCCAGAACTGCTTGAGGTTTCAGGAGGAAAACCAAGAGTTACTTGTGGCTGCGGTGCTCCCCTTGTTAGAGAAAGAAGATGGAGAAGACAGAGACACGCAGTTGTAGTTGATTACACCTTCTAAGGTAACTACACCAAATAAATGCTCAGAAGATGTTGTAGGAGAACAAGAAGTCCTTACAACTTCTGAAGGGATACACTAACTTGTACTTCTAGCTGCTATTTGTCTTTTACAACCTAGTTCGTAGTGGTCCACTCCGACTTCATATTAAGAATCTTTACATGTGGTCCCTTTTTCTAGCACAAGTAGTACTATCGCAGCAGAGGTCAGTTCCTTTTCCTTTCTTCTAGTTCTCGTCTCTTCTTTCCCCATATTAAGTTCTTCTTTCTATCAAATACAACTACAAGCTTACCCTAATTGATTCCATGTTATAAATATAACTCTGGCAAGTAGTATAATAATTGATTCCGACATAAACCCACTCCCGGCGTGACCTGCTTGTAGACTTCTTGGAAGGCAGGATCCTTCAGGTACATCCTATACACTTCGCGTCGGTCCCACATCTCACAAGCTTTTATCACAAACCGCAGAAACCACGGTCCTTCAGCAGGTAGAGCGCGGGTTCTGTACGTCACAATGTAGTAACTACTGAATACTAGTAAGGGTCACTAGGTACTACAATTGAGAAACTAATACTTCTTCTATCTCTAGAGTAACTACTGAATACTAGTAAGGCTCACCCAACTACAAAATGAAGTAACTAATACTACTAACTCTAAGGGTCACCCAACTACAAAATGAAGAAGTACAATCCCACTCCTTTCTGATGGAAGCTCAAATCCAAAGTCGTTTGCGATAAGACGAAATTCTGCTTCTCACAAAACCGCGTCAAAATTTCTAGCAATGCAGCTTTTATCGTGTGAAGAGGATAGAGCCTGGGCGTCAGTATTTGTATCTCTTCTGCACTGACGTAGCCACTTGAAAACATATCTAAGCGGAGAAGGTCGACTTTACCTGGAGAAGAGTAAGAGAAGGGTTTGATTTTTCATGCTGGGATTCCAATTGATTCCTCCTACTGAACGAGAGAAAAAAGAGCTATAAATTTCAGATGGGACGAGAAACATCAGCCAAAAGTTTGTGATCAGCATGAAGATCATGCGTAGTTACAACCACAAGCAAAACCAAAGCATCTTGAAAAAGCCAGTACGATAAACAACGCTCCTGCTCAAATCCGCCATCACAGCATTCAGATCCGTCGTCTCTACCAGAGCAGTCTTCGGTACCAAAGTGTTCGGCACGTAAGGCACAAAACAGAGCGGAGATTCCAGCAGTGTGTGAAACGAGCACTCTCCATTTCTTGCAGCTATCATTAGAGCTGTCCGAAATTCATCTTTCAAGTGCATCCTTGAAAGGTACTACGGGAGAGTATTACGCCCTTAGGAGGATACTCCTCCATACGTTTCATTTTCAAGGATCATGCGCCCAAAGATGTATTAGGTACAGCCTTAATATCAGTTTGAAGATCAAAGCTTTGTCTTTCAAGCTAGCGCCTTTCGGCCAACCTCTGGAGGTGTCAATTGCGTGGATAAACTGCACAAAATCGGTGGACAGTGCGGTTGTGCCTGTGAACGGGAATTATGGTGACAGTGTCATGTTGAAAATGGTCGGGGTCGTTGGGAATATTTTTATTTGAGATGAATCATGTAAGTAGTGGCAGGACGACCAGGAGAATGATTGGGAATATTAGATAATTGAGATGAATCATGTACTACAGGCAGGACGACCAGGAAGATTCTCTGGGAGTGCCGCCCTTTCGGTAGACTACGTCTCGTATAACGAGGGGGAAGCTGCAAGATAGAATGAGTATGCAGTTAGTACATACTCGACGTAAGCACATTCGCAAACATTCAACTTCTGAAGTTGTACCAAACAAAGATATCCACATGCTTTCGACTTCCAAGACTGTGCATTTTGCCCCTCTATTCGTGGACAACAGACCCGCAGAATGGAGGGAGGTACGGAATTCCCGCAGTTTCTTGAAGATCTGACGTTTCTGATGGAAACGCTCGATCACGTCGCTAGAGGAGGCTGACATCTTTATACTGGTGTTTGATTTGTATTGTGTGATGCTGTTGCTGCTGGTCGTGACAAGGAAGTCGTGTGGGGGAGATGTAGTAGTTGGATATAGAGGACTGGCAGTGCAGTGAGAAGGACTGTCGGGACTAATTTTCGTGCCGGATTATTAATTTTGACATTTGGATTTGAGAGGGCCTACTTGTCTAATTTTTTCTAGTCGTTTTTCTCGTTTGAAGCTTCGTTACCAGATGCGGTGAAGGAAAAGAAAGGCTTCGTTCTCATATTGCTCATCAATTTTCGCACGACGACTGCACGAATGATGATTCTTAAGGTCGAACACGACGAGCACGACAAAGAGAATAAAACGAGTAGCTATAATTTTCTTCGATAGAAGAGACGAATGTGCTATCTCAACGCCAATGCGTTTGTACTCGGAAACGAGAAGGTGGAATGGGGAATGCGTGAGATGTACGTGATGCGAGGAAGCATGTTGGGAATGGGGTGCGGATTCGGGGACGTGCAAGCATGCAATGAATTGGCACAGCGCGGCGCAAGAAAAAGGGATCATGATCTCATGTGCGAATGGGGAAGCATAGTGTGACGGTTTTTCGTTGACCAGTGGTGAGGGAAGAGGAAGTAGGCAAGAGCAGTAGAAGAATGAGACAAGACGAAGAGCATTTTATGCAACTCAAGTCATTCGAAGATGTTGTTATCTTTAGGTGTCCTCAGTATCCCACGACCATGACTACACCAGCGCCAAAACCACCTCACGGCACCATAGCCGCGCCAAAACCACCTCACGGCACCTCCATAGCCGCGCCAAAACCACTTCTTCATGGCGCCATATCTTCATCCTTCTCATAGTTTGGATCCAAGGCAAATTCTTCATACGGTCTCGGTACCAACGGCACTTCATTCGCACGCTCTAGCAGATTCATTACGGAATCTTGACGTTCTTTTTGTTGCCTGATGGATCGGATAAAGTCGACCTCTGCAAAGCGTTCAACTTTGCTTCGCCGGCCAGCGGGAAGATTCAAATACTGCGTCATCCAACGAGGAACTTCGCCTATACCTATGTATGTTTTGAGGGTACTAGGATAGGATCGGAGTTAGCTCACTCAAAAGAAAGGAGCGAGCGCTCGGGGCCATTGATGACGGTAGCTCGAATGCATTCTCCTAGTATGTTGACGACTAGAATGCTGATGGTAGATGATCTTCTTCGGTATGTCCGTATCAGGTACAACTTTGCTTTCTCTAGTAAGGACTAGGAGTAAGGACTAGTGGTCTAGGACGAAGAAAGCGAGACTCTTAGACTAGAATAGAAGATTACTTCCGATGTCCACCTTCGAGCAGCACCCTGCCTTGCATATGTAGCAGTTCGTTGTTGACAGAAAATGAAAAAAATGACCCCCAACAAGTCTCGCTTTCTTCGTCCCTGATCAACGATAAAGAGCTCCCAAGCACTGCTCATAATGAAGCAGTTAATGGTTCCTAGACCAATGGGGGCCATATTTTTCGTGTCAACGCCATATGCTACGTGCAAATGCTACCAATAGTGGGAAATCTGCAAGGGATGCTCGATTAAAATGGGTGAAGACATCGAAAGTACCTTCCACTATGTCGAGCCCGCTTTCTTCATCTCCTAGTCTTATTGAAATTCCGACTTTTGGGGGATTGTAACGTAGCGTTGCATCCACTTAGGCAAGTCTCTGATATCTGTAGTCATGAGTGATATCGTGGTGGCGGACGAGGTGAAGAGAAAAGACTACTTTTAAAGACGTTTCTGGATCTGGATCTATCGCGATAATCGATGAATCTTTTGAGTTTGGTGCTGTTTCAAAATGATGACGCTGCTAGTCGATTCGGATTGGGCCTACGACTTCCCTGAGTCTCCTGTGCTAAAAGTAGAATTATCGTGAACAACTACAAAAGACATATCTTAGTACTGCCGACATTCGTCCCGACTCTTTCTGAATACTGACCTGCGTACGTCAGCCCAATATTGTGTCTTATTTGCGCGCTGGTGATTGACTGGGGTATCTTCGGAACGTTCTCATCGTTTACGCCGTAATTTGTAGGCTTTACTCCTAACCTCAGCATGTCTGGGACTTCGTTGACAGGTAATGGAGGTGCGCCTGGTACGAAACCCATGGCGCCGGCGGGATCTGTCGTTGGTGGATAAGTATTACAAGAACGTGGTCGACAACGACATTTAGTCTGAAGTTCAACAATGAGAACCCAAGCAGACAAAAATTACTTCCTTGCGCATCTAGCATGGGTCCGCCGCCCATGCCTCCTCCGCCCATTCCGCCTGCTCCTGCCATCCCAGGCACGCCTGACATACCTCCTCCTGCTTTTGTTAGAGATGAAAGTACTAGAAATAAGTACAGCCCTCTTGGAGAGTCATCGTAGTTTGTCAAGTAAAAATAGCTTTTTGAAGAAGTCTACGTCTAGGTGGAAAATGTAAATAGCTGAAAGTCGTAGTAGATGCTCAAAGAAGATGATGTTGATGGACTCCTCACTAGTACATTAAGAACGTTGACAACCTTATTTGCCATAACATCATCCTCGCCACTGTCGATGCTGAAGGGTTCATCAAAGATGGCAAACCTACGAGATTTGGCACGGATTGCTGCTTGATCATGCTAGCTGTCTCGGGATCGGCCATGTGATCTATAGGAAGTGGCCCAAGATCCACCGTCTCTTCACCGGGACCCATCTTGGCTGTGATGATTTTGAGGGAAAGTGTGGTGATGGTGATGAACAGGGAAGTCCTAAAAGCTGAATCTCAACGTAGTTTGTTCGAATGAGATGAAGCCAGTGTTAGTAGTACCAGTCGATTGAACTAGAGTTATTTTCCTTCATCTCTAACTCTGTCTAATATTGTGATTCTTGAAGATGAAAATTTGTTTAAAATACTCTTCTCCGCATCTTCTGCTGCTTTTCTCGCTTTAGCCAAGGTAAAATCTGGCCAAACACCCTGTTTTGCGTCGTAATGAGGCAGTCTTCTGTCCCATTGTTGTAGGTTGGTTCTTTGACCTCCAAACGTGTCTGGGATCAATAAATCGCCAACCTCCTTGAAAGGCGGATCCCCACGCAAAAAAATGTTCGCACGTTTGACTCGAAAAAACTCCAATTAGAACGGTCCGAAATTCATGATCTTTCAAGTGCATCCTTGAAAAGTATGGGGGGGGTGTAATCCATACTTCCCTTGTAAGTGTAATACATACTTCCTCATACAGCGTTTCTTTAAGGATGCAGTCAAAGATGCATTAGCTACAGCCTTAATCCAAGTTTATCCTCCGATTCATCGACTCCACTCGGTCATAGTCGTTCCAGAAGGAGATGGAGGGTAAGGCGTTCTGCAAACTTCTCTGCAAGTGAATTTAGAGGTAGGCTTTTGGTGCTCGCTTAACCCGCTTGTTATGCCTTTCTCCCTTAGGAGAGGCATAAAAAGCGGTAAGAAAAGCACCTTTAACCTACCCTTAATGAATTAAGGGATTGATCAATTGCGAATAGCGATGACAGAGTTCCACAAAATCAGCGATGTAATATCTATGCAGCGGTAAAGCAGCGAAATTGATCTCGGAAGTGGAAAACGATTCCACTGGGCAGTCGTCGTAAAAGGAGGATGAATGCTTCCACGACTCATTCAGAACGTCAGTCGGGGAATGTCGTGGTGGGTCCCCGTGCTGGTCCCCCCTTGTAGTTCTACTTAGTTCTAGCTCCCTTCTTATTTAGGTGGAACGACGACCACCTTTATTCCCTATCTTTGTTGAGGTTCTCAATGAGTGGCATCATACGGAGTAGTATTCCGACAATTGCGTACAGGTGAGGTAATGGATTGTCCAGGATTTCACGTCCTTCACAATAATGTAGAACATCGTCTGGCAAAGCTCGACCTGGTTCGTGTGGATAATTGAAAACAAATCTACCTAGATCTACGTCATTTTTGTCATTCACATTCATTAGACCACACAGGAGTTGTATTGTCATTCTTCACATTTTTCATTAGACCAGCACACAGGAGTTGTATTGTCATTCACATTCATTAGACCACACAGGACTATATTAAAAGCCAATACCTTCGACAGCGAGTTGAACTTGAGGAAGATGTACAAGAATTCATCCCAGGTGACCACTTCAAAACAGCCTCCGAACTCCACGAGCCTCTCCAAACACTTCTCCACCCACTTTCTTCTATGTGGTACTAGGGTCGCCAAGGAGCTAGTCGCAACTTCGCTTGCTGTTGTAATCGTCCTGTGGTCTTTCTCTGCTTGTTTCAAGGATGAAAACACTGCGGAGATTAAAGGTCAGCAGTCATTGGTCACTGATTCTGAGTGAAAAGGGCCCCACGCCTCTCCACTTGTTTCCCCTTTCTTTTCCCTTGCTGTTCTCTCAGGAGAGCCCAACCTAAATGAAAATGGTGACAGACCAATCTAAATGAAAATGGTGACAGAGAGACGGAGACCATTCTAAATGAATATGAAAATGGTGACAGACCAATCTAAATGAAAATGGTGACCAAAAATCTCTAATGAACATCAATGAAAGTTGAGCCTTAAATACAGTTTGTTCAAGTGCTTGGGCATGATCTGCAGTTGCATCAGGACTTCTTGGACTTCGGTGCTGGGTTTCAGTGGCGCTCCCCGCATCACAGACCGGAACAAGTTCCGGAACGGCTTCGTCACGGCGTCCATCTTCAGGTAGAAGTGGGGTTCCTTCCTCTGTCTACTGCAAAAAAGGGGCAGGAGAAGTAGTGTGGGGAGGTAGAAGTGGGGTTCCTTCCTCAACGGAGGTAGAAGTGGGGTCGGTCTGCTACAAAAAAGGGGTAGAAGTGGGGTTGGTCTGCTACAAAAGAGGGGTAGAAGTAGTTACTACTGGAGGGGTAGTAGACGTAGTCTCCTCCAGCAGTCTATATGGGTGCTGGAAGTTCTAATAGCAGTAGAAGTAGTGGTCGCGGCAATGGAGAAGAACAAGGAGGCGTCTGGTTCTCACTCGTTCGACGCGCAAGGTGTCGGTTTGCGGCTACAAGTACATCTAAGGGGAGTTGAGAAGATCGGGTAGTCGCTAAACTTGTAGATGTTGTGTTGTTGTTGACCCCTTTAGTACAGCTAAACCACGACGCCCAGCTTGGAGATGTTGTATTGTTCTCGCTCGTTTCGTCGTTGCTCATTCCAGGACCAGGATCTTGTGCTGCGGGTTCTGGTAACACGACGCTGAGAAAAACGACGTAACTCCTACGAAGGCCAGTTGGCCGCTGATGGCCGAAGTCCTCAGCCCTGCACTGATACTGATTTCTCCTCTGCGTTGTTCTTTCACTGTTTTACTGCAAATGCCTTCGAGTTCAAGGACTCGAAGACCTCCAGCTCCACCGCCGCCCACCCCCTCTTGCTGTGATTGTTTTCTTGAGCTAGATAAAGTTAAATCCGGCCGGGACGGATGAATCAATGTCCTCTAGCATGGAGCTATGGTGCTTCGACGCAAAATTTGCGATTGGCGCGGTCGCTTCAGGAGAGCATGTTTCTTCTATTTCAATGGCTCGATTAGATCAAAAAGAACTCTAGCAGTAGATACTCCGTTCTGGAGACATCGGTGGTGACATCAGGATAAGAAATTTTTGATTCCTTTTTCAGTCAATGCGTTGTCGTCCGAAAATCACGATCCGATGCCAATTATCGCTACCACCATCAGACTGAAAAAAGTTTTTTGTTTGCTTTCGAGATCGACGAAGATGTAGTTTAGCAGTTTTTGTACTTCAGATTAAGATTTTTCAAACGCTAGAAGTTCACGCTATCGCTACAGGTCCCACGGCGAATTTTCTCACTCAATTTTTGAATCGCACGAGCCTCATTTTTCAAATCGGTTCCTCTCTCAGTCACTCACTCGAAGTACGTAGTCGATGTTGAAAAACAAAACAAGGTTAGAAGCCGCCTACTTTCACACGAGGAAGGAACACGAAAGCAATGTGTCCTCTACGCGAGGTTCTTTTTGGGTGCTGTAGATCATGTTTCTATTTCTTTGTTCTTAGACTTCTGACTTCTTGCGTTTTCAGCACTAATCTAAACGCTCTAAGGGGAAGAGGTTCCGAATAAAGATGGTTTTTGTGGTATAGAGTTGGGGGTGTAGTTGTGCGGTTCGTGCTACTAAGGGAGTGGAACTACGAATGGCAACAAAACTACTCATGGCACATTCTTGTGCCCCCAAAAGACCAAAAGTCAAAAAAAGTACTTACTTGTGCATGTTGATCTTCATGTCTCAATATGGGCACTTTTTGTGGACCTTTTTGTTCATCTTCATCTGTTACTGTTGTTGCTCATTAATTAAATGGATATTCTTGTTCGTATCCTGTAGACACGCTTGAGAAGCAGTCGAGTTCCTTGCTACTTAGCATAGTTCCTCATTAGCATGGCGCAATCTTGTATTTGACCCTTGCTCTGTCCTTTTTCAGCTCGATTTTGCCAACCGAGATGGTGCCGATTTTTCCGACATCGTCAACGTGTGTTCCACCACAGTGCGTTTCGACTCCACAGCACTCTACATGTCGCACGCCTGCTTTTACACTAATGGAGACTCCGCGTCCACCACTGCCAGCGGCACTAGCCTCAGGAGCAGTTGCACCTGCAGTATGCATCTTAATAGTTTCGCCACAGGCATCTTCGATACGTTGGCGCCAGCCATCTTTATCCTTGTTGAATTCGTCTTTCTCTTCCATGGGGAAGATGTATTCTACGTAAGGGCCGTCGGGGAAGTGGTAACCTGTGATGTTGTGGTAATTTTGGAAGACAAGTAGGTGAAAGTGAATGTTGAGAATGGTTCTGGAGAAAGAGAATAACGAGTAAAGAAAGCAATAGCAAAAGCTCCAAAGATTCCAAATCCAAGCATCAGAGAAAGAGGATAGCAATAGCCTTCTAAATTCAAATTGTACCTTTCGCCGGTCTCCAACTCTTCAAGCCTACTTTGCTAACAGCGACGTCGATCAGATGGCCTGCAGTGTGCAGACGGGCGTTCAGCATGCGAGCTTTCATATCGATCGTCATAGAAACAGGTCTGCCTGTTCCTGTTGGAGACAAGAGCGCTTCTTCTAGCTCTTTGAGAGACGCAAAAGACACTGGGCTTTTCTCCTGGACTACATCATGCCACACAACGCCCGCATTGTCCTTGCAATGTCGGACCATATTGATTTCGAATCGGTATTTCCCGCTTTCTCCAACACCTGCATCGCAGATTTCCTTCCGCACATTCACTGTGCCGAGATCAGTGGGTTGACCACCGCCTTGTGGGTGCATGATGGACGTGTTGAAAGCGAGCGACTTGATAATGATTCGCTTTGGTGTGCTGGATGGGTCTGCACCCGATGAAGCATCGACATCAATTTCTTCGTACGCAACTGCTGTGATGTGGCAATGGTCATCAGCATATTCTCCGATCTCAGTCCACTTGAAATCGTGCATGTACAAAAGGTCAGTCTTCGTTTCCAAATCGCCAACCGTTTTAATCGTGCTTGGTGGAGCTCCTGTTGGTGCAGCTGCTACTGCTACTGCTGGTGTTGAAGTAGCCTTCGGCTTTGGTGCTGCTTTAGCATTACTAGCCTTAGCGTTTTTGTCTTCTCCATTAATACTTTTGTTCTCGGACTTACTATTCTTTTTCTTGTTTGAGTCTCCTGATGATGAAGACTCCGAAGAAGAAGACGCACCTTTCGTCCCAGCTGATGCGGCTTCGACAGTGCGCTCGTGGACAATGCCGATCTTAGCAAGATGTTGGATGGAGAGCGCCGTCATTTTGATGAAGACAAAAGGATAGCTCTCGATGATACAACTACAATCGATGAAAACCAATATCGATGTTAGTGCGAATACGGGTGGACACAATCAAAACGACACTCAATACTGTAAGAGCAAGACAACGCACTTCTACTTGCAACTGGTTCTGGATGATGATTCTATGTTCCCATTTTTTGTCTTCTTCAACAGTTTGGTGTAGATCTTTGGAAATGAAGATGAATTTGGACATTTGCGTGATCGTGGTTCTCAGATCCAAATCGTCGGCGAATAGTCAAGATCATACAACTTGGACACTTTGTCTTCTGCAACGTCACATCTAGACGTCACATCTAGTGCGTCCTCAATAAACTTTGTATTATTATGACCAAATGCAAATCGCACGATGTAGTTTAGAATTATGTTGACCCATCAAGAAGCGGGTGGAGCGTCAATTTGTAGTGGGTAAAGGGAAGTCACTTCAGAAAGGCCAGGTCGTTCGATTGATTGATGTGCCTGGCAAGAGGTTGATGAAGATCTAATTGTAATTGATTGCATGTATAGTTCATATTTCCAAAGGTGGCAATTTATTTCTGCATGTGGGGCATTCCATTTTCACCTGCATCCATTGCTCCAGACAGTGGTAATGAAACCAGTGATTACAAGGTGCACACACAGGTTTTACCGGCTCTCGCCAGTCCAATTCACTCATGCAGATGACACAGTCATAGCGCTGGAGTTGTCGTCTTGGCCGTCTTGTCTGGGCAGTTGGAGGTTGCTTAGACAGAGGGTTTAGACGTGATGTTGAGGAAGTTGAAGAGCCGCCTCCTGTTGGGGGACTGGTAGGAGAGCAAATGATGTCTGGAGCGTCGGTTCTGGTGTCCTGTTGGGTTCTACATCTTGAAGGTGCTGGGGGTGGTGTTTCAAGAATGCCGGAGCCTTGCTGTGCGTGAGATTGTGGAATGCTAGACGGTTGGGACGAAGGTGGTGCAGGAGGTCTTGTTGGTCTAGACCTTGTACTGCCAGAAGATGTTGAGGTGGCTCCACCTACTTGTTCTTGACCTAAAGATGAACCGCTGGATTGTGATAGTACGTTAGCTGTTGAAGTTGGATTCATAGTTGACCCCGACGATGAAGACCCACCAGCAAAACCTGCACCTGTTGACGTCGCAAGCTCTACATACCGACTCAAAGTTCTTGACGACGATGACAAGAACCCTGTTCTACCGAGGATATTTGAAACCATGTTTTTTGCCGGGTTCCGACTTGAAGTGGCTTTCGTTCTCAAGGACTTGCTATTTTGGTTTTGCTGGTCCGTGGCAGTGGGTTCGTCCTCTTCATCGGGAGGGATGTTTATCCCGACGTGATCCTTGTTCTGCTGAGAGGTGGAGGAAGTCTGGTGATTCTCGTCATGTGCCAAGCTGCGCAAAAATCTCGCACTCGGAGAAGAGGAGCTGTGCTCTTCGTCGTTGAAGTTCCGGTCGTCTGGTGGCGTCAGTGATGAAGTAGAACTGACTGCTCCCACTACTGTCGGTGATGAAGAACTGACGCCTACGGGACCTCCTACTGCTCTTCCCGATGAAGAGAGCCCAGCTACAGCTCCTCCGTCATCAGAGACATCAACTGGTGAATTTCTCCCCGCCGTTCCACTACCACTCTTAGATGAGGTGAGTCACCCTTATAAATATCCAACATTTTGGAGACGAAGACCATCCTGAGACGTATATTTGCCCTTTGAAAACCATTTATTTTGGAGACGAAGACCATCCTGAGACGTTTATTTGCCCTTTGAGAACAAACGTCCCAAGAATCCTCGATGCATGACTTCGTTCCTTCTCTGAAGATGGACCATGCATTAGGGGAAGAACAAGCCTTAACAGTCCCATTACTCAGTTCTTCCTCGTCTACACCAATTACTAGGGCTGCGTCTTCCGGTGGAGCTTTGTGGTAGTTGTACACGTGTGGCAAGCAGATCCAAGGCACAAACCAGCGGGCGCCCCACATAGCCTGCGTTCGAATCAGAGCTACTTGGCCTAGATTGACGAACAGGATTCTTAGAGAAGGTGGACAACTCGTGAAGGTCTTATTTCATGGGCATGATCCCTCTCAAGGAGGACTTCGCTTTCTGGCCTCCCTTCTATCTGGACCTGGAGCAGATCCAGACTGCCAAGGACGATAGCCCAGCCTTCTTAAAATAAATAATAACGTATAAAACTAATATCGTCTTTTTGCTTGTCGATTGCTGGCGTGTGTAAACATGAAACTTCAACACAAGGGCAAGGCATCGTAAGATCAACAGAAGGACAGCCTTCTTAAAAAATGAATAAATAACACAAGGGCAAGGCATCGCAAGATCAACAGAAGGACAGCCTTCTTGAAAAATGAATAAATATTAACACAAGGGCAAGGGATCGTAAGATCAACAGAAGGACAGCCTTCTTAAAAAATGAATAAATAACACAAGGGCAAGGGATCGTAAGATCAACAGAAGGACAGCCTTCTTAAAAAATGAATAAATAACACAAGGGATCGTAAGATCAACAGCGTCAACAGAGGGTTCCAAGTTCCCTGGATTTCGGGTAGCTCAGCACGGTCTAAATCGTCACACCAATCGATCGGTTTGTCATGGGCGTCGGAGAGATCGCCAGAGAGTCTTGGAAGAACTTCGCCAGTGTAGAGGTTGTACCTGGATCAGGAAAGAGGCCGTTGTTCATGCCTCAAGCATTCATGAGTACTTCTCAGTAGAATACTGGTGAATGAGGATTTTTTGCAGGTAGAAGAGTGTGATGTCATACTTGCAGTCATCACAGTAGTGGAAAAACCAAAGACATCTGAAGCTCTGCAAATACTAAGCAGTAGGAGTACGGACATCCATACGCATACAAGATCGGAATCAGCCGCAAGACGCTCACTCCCCGCACAAATTTCCATTTCAAAGGATAGCGGTAACCGTGTTGCACATTAGCGATGATCTGGGGAAGCCAGTACAGCTGCGACAAAACCGCGTACATGTGGAAGTAATCGGGCAATGTCGAATTGACTACGAAAACAAGGACCAGTAACGTGGAATAAAAACGCCAGTAGAGAACGGCGATCTGGTGGCGTGTGAAGGCAGGAATTGGAGTGTGCTTGCTAGGTTTAGCATTTCTTTGCGTTCTTGTTGGCAGTTGTAGTAAGTTGCAGCTGTGAGAAATACGTAGCAAGAAGTTGGAGGTCTACTGAGTCTCCTGTATTAAACTTAAACTAAGCGTGAACAAGCACAAAAAAGCAATGTGAGTTTCAATCCTCAGTACCTGCCTCCTAAACGTGAAGCACAAAAAAGCAATGTGAATTTTTCAGTACCTGCCTCCTGAAAACTCTGTCTTCCTCCACTGGATCTGCGGTGACTGGTTCCCTCCTAGTCCGCCACAAAGTCAAAAGATAGCGCATCTCCATACTAGCGAAGAGCAAAAATTTCAAAAAGATGACCACACAGAAGTTGTTGAACAACTCAGTGTTTGACGGCAAACATCTATTAGAAGTAGAACTAATCTAAGTAGTAACATCCTAAGATACATCCGGGGCCTCTTTTCCCTTTCAGAAGCCTCTCCAGGATGGCAAGGAAGCTGGACTAGGGGAAGCCTTAACTCTAGCGGAAAAGACGAAGTAGAGAAAAGTTTCGGTCATGGTGTGGAGGGACAGAGCGAAAATGAGAGAAAGCTGCACTTGCTCTGGTCGAGACTGTTCTTCTCTGGCAGCCTGAGCGTTGCTGCTTTGCATTTGGTACACCCAGTAGCTCATTTCGAATAGCGGATTAGAAGACAAGAAAAAAACGACAGGAGCGATGGATGGTTATGGTTCATCATGATGGTAGGCCTAGTGTGAAGAGGCTATGCATGCTTCTGAAGAAGCGATGCTCATGGTTCATCATGATGGTAGTTCGAGCCTATGCTGAATATGATGGTAGTCCGAGTGTGAAGAGCCTATGCATGCTTATGAAGAAAGTAGACAACCGACAAGTCCTCGTCCTCCTTGAGTACAGATACTATCTGAATCTGATAGGGTTAGGGGTACTACTAACTATAGAATATAAGCCTTAAATGTAAGCAGATTGAGCAAAAAGCAGAGATTCCAACTCTTCGTGCTCGCCGCAGTCACATCCACCTTCCGCCATAGCATTTTGATGCGGATTCCACACTCCACCGACTCTAGAATCCCTGTAAACTGAGCCATATCCCCTGTATGTTGCTTCTTGTTCCGTAACTTCATCTCGAAATTGCAATTTTGCTCTGGTGATGGAGCTGATTCAATTAGCGCTGATGAAAGAAACCATCTTATTTCCTAAGCTCCTTTTTCAAGTAAGTATGTATAATCTGTGTGTAAAAACAAGTTGTCCCTGAGCCTGAGACTGAGTTCTTTTTCAAGTATGTATCTGTTTGTAACAAGTTGTCCCTGGGACTGACGAGACTGAGTTGTCTTCATCTTCAAAGAGAATGTCTTTAGTTTAGTTGAGGACGACGCTTCAGCGGACGCGGAGGTAGCCTTAATTTCAGTGAAGATGTGGCAGACGACGCCGGTTCTTTCTTTTCCTCTTCTTGGTCTTCTCCATGTCTCGCTCTAAAAATGATACGCTGCACCACAGTCCACAGAGACCAGTCTCGTTCTGGCGGATAGAGAAATTCCCCAACTGTGGATGTACCAGTTAAGAGGATGTAGGGGTTTTCTTTCACTTCTTTCGAAGAGGTTGATGATGTACTTGCAGAACTTAGAGAACCTTGTATCCTCTTCCCTTCTTTCCCAAACGGTGGATCCACTTTTCCGGTATTCTTATCCAGATTTGCGCCGACCAAAATGCCTCCTAGATGCAAAGCCCGAAGTGGTCCTGATGGAGAACCGCTACTAGTTGTACTAGAGGACGATTGATGTTCTGGCGGATGGAAAAGGAGCCTCATGTCACAGGTCAAGAGACCGTCTGAAACGCCTGTTTTGTATGCGACGTCAACGCGCATTTGAGAACTCTCACGACGGATGACATCGAGTTTCGGCAGGTCTTTTGACGAGATGGTTGTCGAGGAGCCGGTGCTGCTAGAAGTGTTTCTTTTATTCGAGTTGTCTTTATTTAGCGCTAGTGGAAAAGAGGATGTAGTAGGTTTGGATGTTGGACGTTCATCTTCTAGTCCTCGGCTGTCTTTTCCATTTTGGTTGACACCTGACATATCAGAAGGGCTCCACCTCCACGAGAGCGGTCGAAAAACAGGAACCGCATCAGATGCGTTCGGGTTCGATTCACCAACAACTATGGCTCCAGTTTCATCATAAACTCCCTTGTCATCGTGACGATCGAGACGAAGACCACCACCTCTGGTATCGGCATCCACACTTGCTGTTCTCGTCAGCAAACTCCTCCTTCTGGTCGATGAACTACTACCTCCAACAGCGTTCCAGCTCCTAGTGTCGAAAACTTCCATCTGATACATGCCACGGTACTGCGCTTTTGCTTGCGTGACCTCCTGTGCGGCGTCTCCTTTGTTCGTGAAGTTGAAGGTGTAGAAGAGGAAGTCCAATGCCTGCAAAATAAACAGGCAGATGAAGAAACACACGAGCAGGTTCATGTTTTGAAATTTTTTTTCGGGATCACTAGATATAAAGGGGATTCTCTGATATTTAAATACCCGTCGTATGCGCAGTAGAGATAGTACGAGAGTCGTCTGTTACTTAGTTTTACTTTTTCTTCAATATCAATCCTATGTGCTGGCGCGCTACACTACCGCTTTTATGATTCTTTGTGTTGAATAAAACGAAGGAAGATACTTCAGAAAAAGTTCACTTGCTTCACGATCAAGCTCCTCGCAAAAACGATGATGCTTTAACAACTTTTCTCTTTCGTCTTCCTTCCACAGAAAACAAAAACTTTTCGGCAGTTTACTAGAAAGAAATTATGTAGTTATCTTCTCGCTCGCAGTGCCGATCTCCTGCCACTCGGTCTTCTCCTGAACAAGGCCTTCGAGAAAGCACGCCTTCGAGGAAAGATCCTCCATTCTTTCGAAAATTTACGTAGCTAGTATGCACACAAGTTGTATCATGATCATCATACGGAAATCTCCATTTCAAGATGTACCAGAAATGATCATGGTGCTTCTTAGGTGTCACTTTACAACCACAGGTGGGGGGAGGCGGCGGACGCCACGTGTAGCTCTTTGGTGCGTGGTTGGGATCTGCTTCAGTGGACTGAAGATTTCTCCATCTGTCGTGTAGTTCTTACTGTGCATCTTGTTCTGTGCTGCGGCACTTCTGTTCAACATATCTTGAGCATAATTGTCGTCATAATTATGCGTGATGTAGTCTTTCGTGTAGTATGAGCTCTTCTTGGCCTTGTTCGTATGTTCTTGTCGGGATGTATGTTGCTGCGCTGGTACTGAAAAAGAAAACTCCTGCTCATCGGCATCGTCGAAAACAACATTCGCACTCATGCTAAGAATGTGAAGAGGACTGTCGTTTCTGTTGTTTTGCTGGTGTGTCTGTTCAGAAGCTCTGTTAGAGATAGATTTTTGTAGTGTGTCATTTCTCATCATGCTATGGCTATGCTTGGACGTGGTCGTTCTTCCACTTGAAGTATGACATGTGGTACTTGTTCTTGCACGACCGATCATTTCTTCCTCGAAGTCGTCTTCATCTATGCTGCAATCAGAATAATTGATAGACTCCTGCTCGAAGTCTGCCTCTACTGCCACTTGATGCTGTAGGCGCTGTCCATCACCAACACCCTCGTAATCCGAAAACACGGGACTACTCCCGCCAGCTGCTTCTGCTGCTACTTGATGTGGTCGACTATTGTTGATTGTTTTGTCTAGTCGAGGACCAGAAAGGCTGTTACTTCTATCTTCAGAAGTTCTCCCAGTATTAGACCTCGCATATATTCATCTTTAAGTGCATCTTTGACGCGTTTCCCCCTTAACAGTCAGAGGGGTTAAAGATGCTCCTTAAGATGAATTGTTGCAAGCCTTAACTACAGTAGTTTGCATGTGTCTCTCCACGAAGGCAAAGACTGCATCATTCCGCAAGATGTCATCGATGGACCAAGCTGGTGGCAGCCGGTAGAGGTTGTGGAATTGCGTAAGTCGTTCGGTTCCTCTACTTCCATGAATAAACTTGGTACAACTATTAAAAGCTGCGAGGACACTGCATTCTTCAGGTCGTCCCTGACCCTTTTCCTATTGGAAAAAATGTCAAGGATGGTAGTGAAGATGAATGCAATGTCGTGGTTGTAACCCTTAATATTAACGTCATCATCATCGACCACGCCTCCACCGAAGTCCAATGATCTCCCCATTGCTGATAATGATCCTCCACCATCGCCTTTTCCCGCGCTTGCACCCTCAGCAATGTCCTCCGCGACGTGGTCTTCATCCAACATCCTCCTCCTTGTTCCCCCTCCTCCGCCTAGAACCTGACTCCTCAACCACTGCGACAAACTGATTCCATCCGGAATCGTCTGACGCAGACTATACAGCTTCCACATCGACGAGGATTGAAAATCACGCACCAAAACGCCCAACGCAAAGGGTTCATCAAGTACCGGGGCGGAAGGTTCGGAAATTTCTATCCTCTCAAAGGCAAACTCTTGCTGCACTTGAAGGTCGCAACGGATCCGCGGAAAACGGTGGCAAGCTCTGTTTCGGCTGTGCGGAGGGGATGAAATGAAGTTGGTCTTGGCGGGTGCCGTTTCGCGGGGCGGAGGCTGTGCGCCAATCACAATCGTGCAAATTTGTGTCGGTATCCGGTGAAATGCGGAGATGGAGACCTGTGAAGAAAAATAAAAAAACGTGATTATTTTTATTTTTTCGGAACGAGGAAAACGATGCACCACCAGTATAAATAAAATCGGTGGAGCACACCTAACTAGGAAACAAAAAATTAAAAGAGTCAAGTAATCCAAATTTCTAAATAAGAGCTATAGTGGCCACGTTTATATATTTTCCAGGGCTCAGGGCTGGAGGCCCCCCCCCCGATCTAACTTTTTGAAGGGGGGGGGCCGTAGGGTCGAGAAAGGGACCCCCTGGGCTTTACGGGATTTCTAGTCGTGTAGGCAATTTGGTTTCGCTTCTTTACCATTTTGAAAATGTAAACAGAGGAGGCGCCAGCCTGTGTTA